GAAAAAGTAATGGATTAGTGATTGGATACAAATATGTTACAGATTTCAAAAATCATGACTGGTTAAAAAAAAAAAGTCCCAATTCATGAAACCCTTGTGACCTTTCCACGGAACACTAGGGGTCCACGGAACACTGTTTAAGAACCTCGTTTAATACTTTCATTTCTTTTGGCTAATTTATTATATTTTATCTCAAGTCACGATGGACATAAGTAACTTGATTTTCTTGTAAATTTAGTATATAGTTTTGCAAATACTTCTTTATTACTCTTTTATATTACTTCTGTATTAACCTCATTATTTTACTAATTTCCATTTTTGTACCTGGCACCTCCCTTCCCCCACGCAATCCCCCAATCTAGAAATCCTTATTTCATGTCTTAATTAAATCGATGAATCAGTCACAGAGGTATTCGTTATTTCCAACATTCCGTCTAAAATAAAAATGAGCAATGTCTATTGTTTACGTTAAAAACAGGTTAAAAATTGCTATTATTTGATGATTAAAAAATAATTTTTTTTAACTATTATGTTTCAATCAAAAAGTTTTATAACTTTCTCATTAAAACGTTGCCGCACACTTTTAATTCTGGCTCAGAAACACACTTTTTACCCCAATAGTTTTAGACTGATGTGAAATTGCACGTTTGAATAAATTCACGTTTTGACGTGCAATTTCATGAAATTGTACGTCAATGGGGAGATCAGAAGTGAAAAATTATCACATTTTGTCACAGTTTTTCATGAAAACTGTCGACGTCTGTATCCATCATTTCAACGTCGTCTCAACGTTCTCATTACATTTTTTTGCTCACACACACAAAAAAAGAATTTTCTTTTTATATGCTGTCTAGAATATTACATCTCAGATGTATTAAATAATTAATAAATAAGATGCACTGGAGTATTAATAAAGAAATACATTAACACACTTTTTAATTTTTAAAATGCAGTTGTAGTTCATTTACGTCGCACTACAGCTGCTCAATGGGCTATTCGCGACAGTCTGGGAAACATCCTTGAAGATGATCCGAAGACATGCCATCAGAATTTTGATCATCTACAGAAGGGATGGCACCCCCGCTTTGTGATTGTTGACATTCACCGGTGAAAGTCGACATTCTCTCATTCACGGTAACATTAATATAAAATTTTTAAAAACTAGTTCATTTGTTTTACTATGTGTAAAAACTAATATTAAATCTAGCAACAACAAAAAATATTATTATCATTTTTTTATAAATAGCCATTTTTAGGTGAAAATAAAGCCTTTTTTGCATATGCGTTAAACGCTGTAAAAAATTTTATGACTTAAGACAAAAACTCCTTTGGTTATTTTATTTAGAAGGCTATCAACTTTGTTTTGAACTATTATCTTAAAAGAAGGTGCATATATTACTGAGTTAGTGATCAATGTAGTTAAAACAGCAAATTTTTAAAAGTTTCCGCACTTCTCTTAGCGAAAAAACATGAACATAGTTCACATGTTTTGAAATACAACTTAGTCTGCATTTCAAAACAGGTGAGTCGTAATCATGAACACTCATGAAAAATTGTCGACAATTATTTTAAAAACAACGTGAGATATTGTGTGTATGGTGGTGTAAAATGTGAAAATAATCTGATTTTTAGATAAACGCATTCAAACACTTAAAATTCACTATCCACTATATATCCATTGTCTATCCACTGTCTATCCTTACACAAAAACTGCTATAACTTTGTAAATAAATGGAGTAAGAACGAAAGTAAAATATTTTTAGAAAGCTAAGATTACAGGAATTCTAAATTTATAATAAACTTAATTTCGAAAATTTTGCCCAAAACCACGTTTTTGCACTAGTGCATGTATGATTCTTGATTTATTAAATTTGATTTATATACTTTTTATCACAACTACTTCAAAAAAATTTTTAATCTAATGTGATAAGTCACTTTGTTACAACCGGGATGCCACGGGCGACTAAAAATCTGAAACGTGGTATAAAATCAAGTCATTTTTGCTTATTTATAATGTCTTTTAAATTTCAATTATAACTACCACTTTCACTTGCATTTCAAATCATTCATATTCAAATCAAAAACATTGTTTGCATTTACTTTCATTAGTAAAATGAAAAATATTCGCTATAAAAAGTTCCTAACTTTAATCTTTTTTAATAAAATTTTTAATATTATTAGTCACTTTTTTCTGCCATTTTAGTCACCCGGGAAACCCTTTTACAGTTAATCGGCCTTTTAAAAAGTTGGCAAAAATAATCGAAAATCTGCAAATTTTAGTTTCTAGTTCACTACCGTTTCTTAAAATATTTTGAGGAATCCGGAGCAGTTGGCATCTATGGTTATTCAGTACCGGACATGGTGGACTTCCACTGATTCATCGGATCGGACATGAGTCATAGAGATAAGATAATAACATGGTCAAGCCTATAGTCTGGTATATGGACAACTTCTATCTATGGAATTAGAACAGAATTTTTTAAAATAAAAAGTATGCTTGTATTTGAAAAAAATTTAAATTTTCACACCTCTGCTTAAAATAATTCAACTTCGAAACCATAGTCACCGACAGTGCTCTAGACAAATGACGAGGGAATTTTTCAAATCAACAGACTATACCTGGTTTATAAATAGCTAATGTGAAAATAATTTTCGTCCAGTTATTAATATTTATAGGGATGTCTGAGGTCATTTAAGGCCTGTTTTTATCAATCTTGTAAATAGTGACATTGAGGTAGTACTTTTTAGTGACAAGAATGAAAATTGGAGTGAAAATTTTTTTATAATTTTCTATTCTAGATGAAGATGCATGCTACATAAAAAGCAACCATCAACCTGAGCTTGATTTCTTACTCTTTCAATTTTTCAAATACAAAAATTTCATAAAATCTTGCAGCATCACAATTTAAGGCTTTATCAAAGAATTTGCAATCAAAATTTGCGATATGATGATCTAAATCAGGGATTTCCAACTGGCGGCCCGGGGGCCGCATTCGGACCGCGGAGCCTTGTTTTGTGGCCCGCAAACTAAAATATATTAGTTGTCATTTTTTGTGAACAATTTTCGTAAAAAAATCTTTATGGGTTTAAAATACTTTTCTCGATAATAAAAACCTAATTTCTTCGTTTCTGTAAAATTTAACATACCAACGGTGCAAAAAAAATAAATTATTTCTCAGGTTTTGCATCCAAGAAAATATTTATTCAAATAAAAAAATAATTGTGTATGCTTCTCTCCTTTTATTTAATTTTTTTGTATTTTGTGAATATAATTCAGCATGTGTGTATCAGAAATTTTCTCGAAGAAATTCTCCAATTTAACTTTTTGAGACCATTCATTTAGGCTGAAAATATTTACACACACATTTGTAAATTTAAAATGTAAATATCTATTCTCTGGTGGTTGCAGCAGACAAACCTCTTTTTCTCATTGAACATTTTGTGTGGCACTGTGTAAGTTTTAATACCAACTTTTTTAAAGTTTTATATCTTAACAGTTAGATATCTGTTGCACATTAATTGCTTAATACATAGGTGCACATTAAAGTTATTGTAGCCCGAATTTTTATTATTTATTTAATATTTTTAAAAATATTATTAATAACAATTAAATATTTTTAAAAATCTCCTTCTTATTTTAATTTGTAATTCAATACTTTTGTTTTGTACAACTTGGTAAAAATCTGACAGTAATATTTAATGTTGCTTCCAACATAAAAGAGTTCTACATAAAATTTTGACTAAGTTGCCGCCCGCCATTTGATTTGTGTTTTTAATTGTTGCCCCTGACCTCATGTAAGTTGGAAACCCCTGATCTAAATAATCAATGTTGAGATCATTATGCAAGTTTTTTTCCACCCGTTAACAGGTCTTCCAACTTACAACGCTTTTTTATAAAAATTTCTTCTAGTATCGATGTTTATGCTTTAATGCATTATTCTTTATTTCGTAAATTTGATTATAATTTGATTTGATTATACGTTATTTTACTCACCACTACATGGAAATGATTTAAAAGTATAGCGCTACATTGTTACAGCTGTCTCCTGAGGAGGTGTTTAAAATATTGACAAAACTACTTGAAATTATGAAAGCTTAATTAGTTTTGAATCGTCTACCACTTTGAAAAATGTTAAGCAGAAATCGTAGTATTTGATTAGATCTACGCACGTGATAGGTTTATTAAAAAATAATTACATTACCAAATAATGCCGGTCATAACTAACGTTTCATAACAACTTCTTGATATCAAGAAATACTTTTAATAACATAGATTTAGCTAACACAATAACTTTTTTGATGAAGTGAAGCAATGAGGTGGACCGGGTTCGAATCCAAGCGATGGCTGGTCGATACGAATTCCTCATCCGGCTTACACCAACTACAGTGCTGACGTGAAATATCCTCAGTACTAGACGGATCATGAGTTAGAGTCCTCTTGCCGTCAAGCTAACCGTGGGAGGTTCTCGTGGTCTTCCTCTCAGTAAATGCGGGTTAGCTCCATCAAAAAATTCCTCCACGAAGGCAACTTTCTTCCAGTACTCGATCCAGGAGTTCTCTTGTCTTCTGGATTGGGTTCAAAATGACAAGGCTACGGAGTTGAACATTGGTAGTCGTAAACCCAAAAATTGAGTCGGCTATTCAACGACGGTTATAAAATAAATATAAAAGGAAGAACTGAGGTTGGGGTCTTATTAAAAGGTTAATTAAAAATTTGATAATAAAATAACTTTGCTTTCAATGAGATTTTGAAAGAAATGAAATTGCATAACACATTCGTTATCTCTACAACATATTTAAGATAAGATATTTATATTAACTCATATTAGCCAAAAACTTTTTTCAGTTATTTACGATCTAATATCAAATAAAGAATATCGTTTATCAAGGTTAAGTGATAAGATAAATAAAAACAAAAATGTTATGAAATGTTTCCAATAATTGTAAATTGGTGTTTTTTCTTTATCGTTCGTATTTGATTATTGCGCATTCAATGGAAGTTGAGCTGAGTTGTCAAAAATATTGAAATGTTTAATGTGAAATGCATAAACAATGGGCTCGTTAAAATATAATCAGTAGGCTCGATAAAATTGTTTATTATCTATCCAACAAGATAAGGTATCTATAATGAATACAAATATAAAATTGAGCGAAAGGAATTTCAAAAATTATGTAAAAATATTTTGTGTTATCGATTTGAGAAAAGGGCAATGAATTTTATGCTAAAGACAGTTGTTTTATTTGTGTGCACAACTACGATTTTAAGTTATAGAATTCCTAAGAATATTAAAGATTTTGGGAAAATTGATGAGCCCGACATATACAGAAATGTGGTAAGATTTTATGAAATTTCTATATAAGTTAAAAGTATGACATCAAATTTATTTTCTACTTTTATTTTCATGATTATGTTATTATATTTATGCTATTATAATGTTATTATTATTATGTTATTATTATTATGTTATTATTATGTTATTATTATTATGTTATTATTATTATGTTATTATTATTATGTAATTATTATTATGACATTATTATTAAGGTGCAAAATTTCCACTTGCCATTGGCGACCGAATATTTAAGGCTGGCGAGAAAATTTTGTCCAGTAAAATAGGTTCACAATTAAACTGATTTATTTTTCTCATACCTTGAGTTTATGCGAAATTGATCTCGACACAATTTCAGCAAAATCTTCGAGGCTGCCCGGAACTCAAAATTTTCTAGAATGATTTGGTTAGAATTTTTATGAATGAATTTCCCATTTTCTTCACCAATTCTATTGGATAATTTAATTTCATATTCGTTAGAATGTTTTGATATCGGAGTCTGACTTTGGATATCACAAGAACGTGGTTCGTGTCGACATTCGCGCCTTTAAACTTCTCACGTCCATCACATTGCTGCGGTGTCTATACAAAACATGTACTAACATGTACAAAATTATATTTTGCATCTTATAAAAATAGGCAAAATTATTTTGTGCAACATATAAAGATATACAAAATTGTCTAATGCAACATATAAATACATACAAAATTATCTTGTGCAACATATATACCACCATCCAGCTGTTGCCAGAGCAGAAGCACTTTGATTTCAATTTTAATAATTTTCAAGAGAGAACGTTATAGTCCAAGTTCTTTGTGCATTGACTTGTAGTAATAATTAAAATTTGGTATTCAGCCATTAAATCAGGCAAACCATTGTAAGTATGAATTTGGGACCTTTCAGCATAGTATAAGCACCAGAAGTATTAAAATTATTTCCATCTCTGTCTTCCTCACGCACCTCTCGAGTCATAACTTGAGTATCTTATATTATGCTCGAAAAAGACAAGTTCCATCAACGTCCGTTGGTATGAAAGTATGTGATTCCACAGCACCGTTTATGTTTAAAATTTCTACTGACATTTTGAAAAGGATCAAGAATAATCTAAATAATTACCTCGTAACTAAGTTTTTTTTTCTTTGGAAATACAAAATTATTCTAAATAAATACTTTACCTATAAGTAACTATTTAACACTACCAAAGTTTTTACTTAAGGCAACTTAACAAGATGAATAATAACTATTATGTTGCCAATAGATAGAGATATAATCAAACTTATTATGCCACGAAAGCAAAATATATATAAGTTACTGTGAATGACCGAAATTGGTGGTTGTCGATTTTCACCGGTGAATGTTCACAATCACATTGTCACGTTAGTAAATGTCCAACATATATACTAGGTCTAGTTAAGTGCCATTGCTCGGTATGCCCCACATCAATTTTTTCTGAAGGTCAAGTACCCAGTATGCATTTAACGAACACTGATGTTTCTCCTAATTTGACCTCAGCAGATATTAAAATATCGAATAAATATATTAATATCAACTAATAAATTAATATAAAATCGGATAGAACAAATATTTCTGACATTATCCAAAGCGACTATGTTATAATTGACGTTCACCGGTGAAAGTCGACATTCTCTTGATTTCGGACATTCACCGTAACATATATACACACACTAGATATTTTTAATTTAAAATGACATACTTTTAAAATTGTAAGCAGTCTTTGCAGTTCATCCGATCAGAATAGAGATCAACGTTACAAAACATTACTTGGTATGATTTTATTGCTCGTGGCTCATGATTGTAATTGTCACAAGTTTCCACTATCTACTTATTTTCTCCGTTACATATCTCATTCAAGGGGCCGTAAGACACGTATTTCCTCCTTATTGGAATTAAGACAACTTAGTATTGGTGCATTTTTCAATATAATGCTTTATACCTATATTGGTTTATTTCGTAACGATTATAGAGGGGTTACCTCATTTGAACTTTCCACGAAATGCATTAATCAGTAGCAAATGACTGGAGCCGAAATTTTAAAAGCAAATAACATAGGGGAGTGTCAAGTACCCACGCCCACTGTCAATTNTGCGTCAGAGAGAGAGAGAGAGAGAGAGAGAGAGAGAGAGAGAGAAAATAAACACTAAACAATGAAAGTCTTTCTCTTCTAATTTTTAAATGAAAAACAATGGATATCATTAAATGACACTTTGATATTATGCATGGAAAATAAAACTGATAAAAAAAATTATCTAACGTTTTGTAACAGTAATAAATGCAATTCAAATTTATTTATTATTTGTATGCAATCTTTAAAACAATCAAAATCTTTTTCTGATCGCAAAATGTGTTATCTTCGAAATAGCCCTTAGTAATCAAATTAGTAATCAGTAATGGAAAAAAAATGAAATGGATAAAAAAAATAATCTTTCGATTCTGTCTTAAATACACAAGGTTCATATTTGAAGGTCATTTTGGGAGATAAAAAATGAAATAACAAATATTTTGTTTGAACTTGAAAAATCTATCAATATTATGGTTTTACTTCTTTGTCATCACCCAACAATATCTCGTTAGAAACAAAATTTTCTCTTTATATCAGAAAATCATAAGAGCCGACGCTGTTTCGGATGCGTTACTATTTGTTATACTGTGCAAAACCTATACGCGTTAGAGATTTTAAATTACGAAAGTGTGCCCGAAAATAATGCAGGGAGTAGTAACATGAAATAATATTCAATAATTATTTTAAGAGTAATAATTAATAGTCATGTGCTTTACTCTTTGTTATACTGCGCAAATCCTAGACGCGTTAGAGATTTTAAATTACCAAAGTGTTCCCGAAAATAATGCAGGGAGTAGTAACAAGATATAATATTCAATAATTATTTTAAGAGTAATAATTAATAGTCATGTGCTTTACTCTTTGTTATACTGCGCAAAACCTATACGCGTTAGAGATATTAAATTACTAAAGTGTGCCAGAAAATAATGCAGGGAGTGGTAACATGAAATAATATTCAATAATTATTTTAAGAGTAATAATTAATAGTTATTCGCTTTACTCTTTGTTATACTGCGCAATACCTATACGCGTTAGAGATTTTAAATTACCAAAGTGTTCCCGAAAATAATACAAAGAGTAGTAACAAGATATAATATTCAATAATTATTTTAAGAGTAATAATTAATAATTATTTGCTTTACTCTTTGTTATACTGCGCAAAACCTATACGCGTTAGAGATTTTAAATTATGAAAGTATGGCCGAAAATAATACAGGGATTAGTACCAAGAAATAATAAAAAATAATATTCAATAATTATTTTAAGAGTAATAATTAATAATTTTTTGCGTTACTCTTTGTTATACTGTGCAAAACCTATAGGCGTTAGAGATATTAAATTACGAAAGTGTGCCCGAAAAAATTACAGGGAGTAGTGCCATGAAATAATAAAAAATAATATTCAATGATTATTTTAAGAGTTACTAAATTTGTCATCAAAAATACCATGTTAGATCGATCCGAAGCCCGCAGAGATGCAACTACGAATTTGCAATTCAACATGCTGATATTCATATTTATTTATAAACTAAGCAACCTTTTTTTTAAAAAAAAATCTGAATTGTTCGAAATTTTTTGCAATGTTTTTTTCGTGAATATTTTCTCACTCATCTGTTTTGTTTTTGCTTTACATACCTTTACGTTGCATTTTGCTTTACATATCTTTACGTTGCATTTTGCTTTACATATCTTTACGTTGCATTCTGCTTAACTGCGCAAATACGAAAATACTTAATCTAGAAATTACGGAAAAACATGTAGGAAGTAAGATGTAATAGAAAAAATACATTAATTAGTAATTAGTTCACGAATTATTAACAGTTAAACTTTTTGTACTAAAGGCAAATACTAAATTAAAATTGGAAAGTTTGGGATTAGAAATTTTGCTAATGGTGACAATCAACTTTTTTTTTTCAAAATTTCAATTTGCTTGAAAGTTAATGCAATCACAAGTACTTTTTTGCGAATTTATTTTCATTATTTACCTTTAAGTAATGACTTTATTAATAATTCATTGTTAAATAATTGTTGTCCAAAACCTTATTCAATTCTCTCGAGATCTTTATTTTATAAGCTCGAACTTCAGTTGATATCAAAAGCAACGAACGAAAGAAAGATTAAATGTTGCCAAATATAAATCTTAACATTTATATGAACATTTTTAAAAAAATAATGAAACACTCAATTTCAGGGAGGTAAAAACCGTTTACAATATGACCTGTTATGCTATGACTCTCGTTAACCCTTTCCAGTGCAATAGAGCTAGTCTAGCAACACTAATTTAACAAAAGCTACAAACAACCAGAAATGTAAAAGTAATTGCTTAGAAACATTTAGCAATCACTATTCTTTAAACCAGCTGTTCCCAATTTTTTTCAGCTACGGAACCCTGACTGTTAAAAAAAAAGTTAATAGACAGACATGAATATTATATTGAAAAAAATCTTTAAATTTATTTAGAAACATTTAATGTGAAAATGATTTTTTTTTATTGTTTCATCAATAAGTGTTAAAATAGATTTTATGTTAGCAGTTAAATTTGAAATTCACCAACGGCTGTAGGACTATTATTTTTTGGCATATACATAAATCGAATTGAATAAAATATGCTAAATTATGGTTTTTGAAGAGCTGTTATAAAATATGAAACTGGTTATCGAAGAAAAATAATTCGTAATTCTTGAATTTGGTTGTTTTATTTTGAATATTAAATTTCGATGAGAAATGTTAATGTAATAATTTATAAATACACATCCTTTCAATAATTTACTCAAAAAATTGCTTCAGAAATGTTGTCATTTTTACCCATGCAAAATATACATAGTCCAAAATGAGCACACCAGGAAGTAAAATGCTTCTTCCTTTCTTAATTACCACTATAATTTTTAAAAAAGCATTTCAATATAAATATTGCAAATCCAAATAACAGTTCTGGACGAGATTAATCCTTATAATTTCAGTGTAGGGAGCAACGTGTGGTTATAACCAGGACGACCGGGTCTCTACTTTAAAAGAGGTACACAAACTAACACAATTTAATTACTTTAATGTAACTATCACTATTAACACAACTTTTTTTTTGTCATTTTATTGATTGGCTCATTTGTGATTTATTTTGTAACTATTTTTCATTTTATTTTAACTTATGTTTATGATTAACTTGCTTTCTCAAATCTTAATATTTTGTAAATATCTCTGTAAATAATTTATATTTGTTTTGTTGTATATAATTATTACTGGATTTTCATGTTATTACCAAATTATTACTATGGCAAAGTGTCATTTTCTCTTTTCTAATTTATATTGTGCCATTCCCATCCATTCAAACTGGGTTTTTTTTTTTTTTTAAATATTTTATGTATCTCTAATGCAAAATGCGTGGGTAAAGGGCCATTCTTGGCCTCAGGAGCCCAGCTACAACGAACAGACCAGACCAAATAATAGTTCAGAAAAATTCGAGTTTCGAAGGGATCGAAACTCGATAATTTTTGAGAAGTAATATGAAAATCTTCTATAATCATGGCGAAAGTTCAGAAATTTCCACTTCAAACCTATATAAATAGAACTTTAACCTATAGAAGCCTCGCCAAGCCTATATAGATAGGATTGTCCTCGTCAGAGGATTAGTCTGTTTACGACGACAATAGTGTTCAATAGTGTTCTAGTGAGTCTCAGGTTTCTAAGTCTTTGTTTTGTTGTGTAATATACTGTTATTTGAGCTGAAATTGAGTTCAAGAAATTGCTGTATTTTCAGGAAGATTATAGATTTATATTCTTTATAGATTTTTTGATGATAAATTCATTTTGGAGTCTAAGTGGCTGTTTCATTCATCTCCAATAGAAACGAACCCCTGTGTTCCGTTAAGCAATTATGCTTTTAAGTGTTAACGAAGTAGCTCAAGTATTAGAAAATTATTAGTACGTTAAGTATTATCATACTACCACTTAGTAAAATTTTCTCAACGACCATACATATTGCCAGCTATGTAAAGGTAATTCATTCTCATTGACAATAGGGCTGCTCTATCTTGGGGGTATTTCTTGGCGACAAAATATCTACTACGTTTTGAGGCTTTAAATGCATTAGTAGGACACGAGATATCCGAAAATCAGCTAAAAATTTGGCGACTTTCTTTCAACAAAAACGGCACATGATAGACTATTTTGATTTTTACTAATTTATCAAGCTCATTTGGTACATCCTCTTCAAATCTGATATATTTTGACCAACTTCGGCTTGGAAATTGTCATAAAGTACTAGTATCTAAAGTTTGAGAAATATACATACATTGAAGCATTCATATCTACTAAAAATATTTTCATTTCGTTTTACGTGGTATGAAAAACTGATTTTGTGAAACTAAATTTGAAGTGGACTTTATGAAATCTAAGCAGTCTTGAGAAAAGTTCGTCATCGCTCTTTAATTTTTCCATGTGATGGGTACCCTGTATTTGGTGAGTTATCACGATTAGTACCTTGGACGTAGAATGTAGAAGTCCAGCTTTTCGAATATGTAAATAAAGCTAGAAACTGCTCGGTGTACTATGCATACCAGAAAAACAACTTACGGGATGAGCAACATACTCAGATTTAGCAGAGTGTCATGTGTACCCAACACATGCGCATAAGATGCGAAGTGACAGGAGATACGTCACCTAGGAACCAGTCTTTGGAGACAACTCTACATGCATGGTTGGGTACACAGAATACCGCCACGTGCCATTTTATTCCTTCTTTATAGGTCAAAATGTCTTAGCATATTTAATCAACATGGCTGATTTAAATGTATTCTCAAAGAAATATTTTAATTAATAGTGCAGTACTGTTTATCAATCGTGTAAAAATGCAGAACAAACCGACAATAAATAAAAAGAGAAAAACTCTTCTTCGCCTGCTCTACCCCAATGGTGTTTGGGAGGAGGGAGAGGTGCAAATCCGTTACAAGAACCTGTGTCCCTAAATGTTGCTTTAACCTTTCTGCACAGGGGCCACATTAAGCCTTGTAGGACTGGTTTACAGGTGTGTAACCGGTTTGTTATGTTTAAGGAAGTAACCTTTGTCTCCTAAATATATTCTTTAGATGCCTGTATAATATGTTCCCCTATGTATAAAGGCCTGTTTAGACGATCCAATTTCTTGGACAGAGATTGATTGATATTGATGGAAACTTGTTTTGCTCTGNTCCGAGAAATTGGAGGGATTTCTCTGTCCAAGAAATTGGATGATTCGTCGACACTATCCAATTTCTTGAATGTCACTGATTCGTCGAAAGAAAAACTTGCGCATGCTCATTGTTCATATTCAACATTATAAAATAATACTTACATAAGTTTAAAATTACTAAATAAATTCAAATAAATTCATAATAACACAAATAAACCGCAACAGATCAATTTATTTGGACTAAAATATATGAAAACAGACAAAAAAATGACATCATTTGCTGCCTGCTTGTTGACGTCACAAAACCTAAGACGCTGATTGGCTAAGGGAGAAAAAACTTGGATGGAAAAAAGAACATGCTTTACTATCGTCCAAGAAGTTGGACCAAGTTCTTGGATGATTGCTTACACAATCCAAGCTCAAAGCAAAACAAGTTTCCATCAATATCAATCAATCTCTGTCCAAGAAATTGGATCGTCTAAATAGGCCTTAAGGAAGTAACCTTCGTCTCCTAAATATATATTTGAGATGTCTGTATATTATGTTCCCCTATGTATTATTCCCTATGTATATTATAAGATTAAACGTAATCAAAAAGTTTCATCTAAGAAAAAAACACACTCAAACTTGTTGTGAAGCGTATTTTTAAATGTATTTTTGTATTGATCAGGGCAATATTTTTTTTTCAGTCTGAATTAATCGTATCTAAAGGTTATCCTTTGGAAGAACATACCATCGAGACTTCCGATGGGTATTTGCTCTCAGTACAAAGAATACCCAATGGTAGGAAACAACTGTACAGTCAGAAAAGCAAGCCAGTAGTCCTTATGCAGCATGGACTTCTGTCAGCTGGATCTGATTGGGTACTCAATTTTCCCCATCAAAGTTTGGGTAATTAAAAAAAACTTTTTAAACTTTAAATAGCTTTTAAATTTTTTAAAACTATTAAGTTATAAGTACCGAACGTTTTAAACTGAATAAATGACATTAAAATAACAAGTTGTGCATATAAATCAAAATTGAAAAGAGAAAAACTAGAAAGAAAATCATTTCATTATAGCTTGTTTTCGATAAGATAAAATTATCCATGACTATAAAAAAATTTCTTTACAGTTTATTTAGAAGTGAAGTGCAATTCATAATTTTATAAGCTTATTTTTACGCCTGACGAAAAAGAACAAAAATTAAATTATTTTACTACCAGTTATTTTTCTTTTCCGTCCTACTTTCAACTCTGAGCCAGATTTTGACAAAGACAGGTTTCTTATTCTCGAAAAAGCAACTTAAGGATAAAATTCATTTTGAAAAACAAAATAGCTCTATCTAGCATAATATGCTAGCAACATGAATATTTATATATAACAATTATGAATATTTATATTTGACTAATAGAAATATTTATTTTTGACTAAGAAAAATATTTATATTTTACTCACCAAGCAGTGCTCTTAAAAATTAAAGTGGTTGGCAGCCCTGGGGCAATACCTTCTAGAAGGGAGAAAGCCTTTGCACAGGTTACTATAAACGAGAAATCCGATAATTTAATAGTCCGATTATTTAACCCACACTGTACAGTTTGTGTTCATTCTTCCGGACTACTATAGAGATCCGTGCTTAGACCATCTCTCTTCTTGGATGAGTTGTGATATTGCTCGAAGAACTGACACTCGTATTAATTATCCAATTATAATCTTGTTATCTTGTTCTGGCCTGGCATCATTTTAACCAATATCTCTCTCTATATATATATNAGAGAGAGAGAGAGAGAGAGAGAGAGAGAGAGAGAGAGAGAGAGAGAGAGTAATTAACACGTCGAACGCCACGCTAATTTTACATGACTTGCCCATCTGGCCATGGTAAATAACTACGAACTAAATTTGCAAATATTAGACGGATTTTGCTATTTTTTTTTAGAAGGTTTATCATGACATATCTGACAAAAGTGCTGAATTATATAAGCCTACGAATTGTTTAAAAATAGTGGTTTATAAAAATCTACTAAATTGAATCTGTTAAACCAAAAATCACAATAATTAAATAAATTTTGAATAAATTTTCTGCAATTCCATAAAAGAGTTAAAATTTTATAGTTCTATATCATGTTACACGCTGTCAGCCAGCTGTTTTTCCGCGGCCTATGAAAAAGGTCAGTATCAGCAAGCGGTGGCAGACGCAGCCTAAATGTAATTTCAGTGTCAGCCACCGGTGGTTGACGCGGCCTAAATGTAATTTCAGTGTCAGTCACCGGTGGCTGACGCAGGCCTAAATGGAAAGTTCAGTGTCAGCCACCGATGACTGACGCGGCTCTCAACGTGTTAATAATGCATAATTTATAATTAGGAAGAGCAAGAGTTTACTTTAATCCTACGAAAACTAGCGATAATTGAAATGATTTTACAACAAGTTTTTTTTCTTCACTTTTACGTCTAACTTTCAGGCAAGATCTAAGTATCAAACGTCTAAGAAAGAGACCACAAACATGAATATCAGCAGATTTCAGTTTGTTTGCAAAATCGAAAAAAAAGTTTACTCTATACAACTATCTCAAAAACTATTCCCGATTAAAAGTCTGAGTCGGTTTGCTGTAATGGAAATAAGAACAAAATCATTTCTAATGGGAAAAATAGAATAAATGACGTGTCTCTCCCATCTAAACCAATGCGAGACGGATGACCGTATATCCCCCCCATTCGAAATTCTAACTGTAATGTCAATAATCTTCATGTCAATAATCGCCATCTTGTGAGTCTGATGTCTGGAGGTGTTCTAGTGACAGGTGGACAGTAAAACTTAATCTAGCAGTGGGTTGATACTGTTTGGGGATTTTATAAATGCTCATAAACCATTTCATTTATTCTTAGTTCTTCTAGTGAGGATATTCTGATTTTGACATAAATAATACTATTGTAATATTTCTTGATTAACATAATTGTGAAGTTTTATTAAAGCTAAATGAATGTTGAAATCAGTGCGTGTTTCTGTTATTTTAATACCATAACTTATCGTTTTAATTTCAGGTTTTATATTAGCTGACCTGGGGTATGACGTATGGATCGCCAATTCAAGAGGAAATTATTACTCAAGGCAACATAAAACCTTGAAGCCAAGTGAATATGCATTTTGGAATTTCAGGTGAGCAGAATCCAAGATGCTTGAAAGAAATGAGTAGCATACCAGAAACAATCTGAGTACAGCCTTTAATTACTTTTTCAATGGTTTCAACTTACTTTTCGTTTCAAAACGGTATTTATGTTTGTGCAAGGGTATATTACATTTCATTTGAACCCTTCCGTTACGAGCGTCGTATTCAACCGTCATACTCGTGATGACTTATGTGTACGAGCGTCGTATTCAATCGACATACTCGTGATGACTTATGTGTATGAGCGTCGTATTCAATCGACATACTCGTGATGACTTATGTGTACTAGCATCGTATTCAATCGACATACTCGTGATGACTTATATGTAAGAGCGTCGTATTCAATCGACATACTCGTGATGACTTATGTGTACGAGCGTCGTATTCAGTCGACATACTCGTCATGACTTATGTGTTCGAGCGTCGTATTCAATCGACATACTCGTGATGACTTATGTGTGCGAGCGTCGTATTCAGTCGACATACTCGTGATGACTTATATGTACGAGCGTCGTATTCAATCGACATACTCGAGATGACTTGTGTGTACGAGCGTCGTATTCAATCGACATACCCGTGATGACTTGTGTGTACGAGCGTTGTACTTAGACGGCATCAGCGTGATACTGTTTGATAATCATTACCTATGTTAGCATCTTTTGAACATGCTTAATATGTTTAGCAAGTCAATTGAGTTTTTATTAATAATACTTGTATAGCCGTAGTGGCTTAGGGTATAGAGCGCTTGCCTTCCAGTTAAGTGAACTGGGTTCGAATCCCAGCAATGGCTGGTTGATATGAATTCCGCCCCCAGCTAGCACCGATCACTGTGCCGATATAAAATATCCTCAGTGGTACGTGTGATTATGGGTTAGAATTCCCTTATCGTAAGAATAACCGTGAGAAGTTTTCGTAGTTTTCCTCTCCATGTAACGCAAATACGGGTTAATTCCATCAAAAAGTCCTCCACAAAGACAAAATTTTTCCCAATACTTCATTCAGGAGTTCCTTTGGATTGGGATTCGATTAGTTCAAAATTACAATGCTAAGGAGTTAAACATCTTTTTTTCTTTCATCATGCATAGCACATCAACGCTACCTCCTAATTTATTTTTTGAAATTTTGAATTCAGTAAGAAATACTATTGTATGTAAAGAAACAAACTCGTCTTCCAGAAGTACTATTCGAGTAAAATTAAGAATTAAAAATTATATTTAATACCTTTATCTTTAAAACCTCTCAAGTTTACTCAACAGGTATCCTTGTTTTTACAGTTTATAACAGAAAAGAAGAAATAATTGGAAAACGCACATAAAATTACAATCACTTTTGTAGAGCCACGATGCTTTAGTTATCGAGTGTTAGCCTTCCAATGAGGTGATTCGTTTTCGAATCCCAGTGATGTCTGGTCGATACGAATTTCGCACCCGGCTCGCACTGACCATAAGGCTGACGTAAGATATCCTCAATAATATACAGATCATGGGTTAGAATCCCATGTAACGAAAATGTGGGTTATTTCCTTTAAAAAGTCCTCCACGAAAGTGAATTTCTCCCAATACTTGATCCAGGTGTTCCCTTGTCTTCTGGATTGGACTCAAAATTATTAGACTACGGAGGTGAACATTAGTAGTGATAAACCAAAACATTGGGTTGGCTGTTCAAAGACGGTTATGAAATAAAATAACTATCGTAATAATTTAAATTCCAAAAAACATTTAATGCCAAATAGACCAACTATATCACCAAGTAGTTCTATCCCTGTTAAATCATTTGACATTCGCCTGAGCTGCCGAACGGTCCGCGTGCTATTTTTAAGTACAAGCTTATTATCTATGTAGCAATTTTTTATCCATTTTTTGTGTTACAATTACGCACAAAAAAAAATTCCATTTTGTTCAATACACCATAATTTCAAATTTCCAAGTCTCACAGAGTATGTCACTCCAGTTTTAACGTGTTATCGTTTAAGTAATACAACCTGATACAATAATACTGCATTCAAATTACTTATATTGTTCTTAATCTTATCATTATGAACAAATCTTATTATTTAGTATCAAACAATTATCACGATATAATACGTAACATATGTTGCAAACTAACTTTTTTTTACATTTCAGTTTTCAAGAAATGGCGGAAAAGGATTTGCCAGCGATGATGAATTACATGTTAAACAAGACAGAGCAGAAACAGCTATTTTATGTCGGTCATTCTCAAGGCACGACAGTTTTATTCGCACTTCTGTCGGAATACCCAGAATGGAACGAAAAGGTATCACTTGTTTTATGTTGAGTGTCCTGTTAAAGCTCTGTCACGTCCCTAATTTGTTGACAGCGGGAACATACCAAAAACCTGGTCCTGTCAAAATGGATACTGACCGATTATCACGAGAACTCCTCCAGACATCAGACTCGCGGTTACTATAGTTACGAAGATAAGCCTTTTTTGCACTCTTGTTCCCGCATAAACAGACTTTCAGATGGGAGTAGTTTAGACATTAAATGCTAATGAGTAAAAGTCACTGAAAGCGCCACCTAACGATGAAATGGCAATCCATAGAATAAATTATACGTTGCCATAGGAAAATATTCATTTCAAAACTGAAAAACTATTGGTTAAAATTCACTCTGATCATGACTAAGCGTTTGACGTACCGTAACGTCTGTTCGTAAGTTTGTCCATAAACGTATGTACATGAGCAAACGTTTCAATCAAAAATAACTATGACGAGGATACTGCAATTCTTAATTTTAAAACTGTTTTGACATTTTTAATACTACTTAATATTTTTTTTAATATTATTATTTCATTAATATTGTTTTTTTATATTTGGGCATTTTTTATAACATAGTATTATTTAATATTATTTTTATAAATCTCTACTTCTCAGACTTGCCTAAAACAAATGTGGTCGTAGCATAAAAATACTATTGCCAATTTTGCACAAAACATTTTCACTTTTGATATATGTATTTTAATATGCTGAAAAAGTTGAAAGTGGAAAAAGAAAAATAATTTTCTAGATGTAGATATCATCCTAAATATGTTTTCAAGTTTTCCTCTCCTCGCTTAAGTGGGGAAAAAACACGATATTGATTTCAACAATCGAAAGACACCTGAAATAAAACATTTTGAAACCAAAATAGTCACTAATCATTGAAACCATTTATAAAATTGGTTTATAATTCCAAAATAATTTTATGAAGAAAAATTTTTTTTCACAGTTATTTATAATTTAAATTAATTTTAATAAAACCAAATAATTGTAGGTAAAAGTAAAATATTTCCGCAAAGTTCGTTGTAGTTGAAGGTTAAGGGCCCACAATTTCGAGACCAAACGTGATTGTGGCAATGTGTTCGACAATGTGCTAAACAGCTCTTATTTCCCAGATAAGGGGATACCATCCGATTTAATGCAGTGTGGACTTGACACCACAACTAAGGATCGAGCCCAAGTCCTTCACCAGATTTTTCTTGTGGGCTTAATTTGGACCAAATTTTAAAAAATACGGATATTTCAAATTATATATTTCTTTTTTTGTTTACAATTAGATTAAACGTTTTTTTATCTAAAATTTCATTTTATATTATAACACAATAGTTGAAGAATTAAAATTTAACTTTTTGGAAACTGGAGTTAAAGTTAAATAAACTTTTTCGACTCGAACTCCAGCAAAATTTTCTTCAACTTGCCTCTGACCTTATAATTACTCAACCACTGTGTAAGCAACGAAAAAATAAATAATAAATGATATTTACATTAGCTGATATGATAATATCCAATGTTGCTTTTTTTCCGAATAGTCTTCCAATTATTAACTCATAGTATAATTATCGGACCTAACTAATTAGAGAAAGCCTTAAATACCTCATCTAAACGTTAAAATTTAATTGTGAAGTTAGAATGTTAAGTGCACTAAAATTTTTATTTAATGACATTTACAAAATCAGATGAATGTTTGAAATCGGATTATTAATACAGATTGGGGTTTGAAATGTCAGTATTACTTGATTGAAGTTAAAGTTGCGATTAACGAAAGAAAATATACATTTAATTACAACATATTTATTGACTAGCTTTCGTGTCTGTAACGACGAAATCTTTCTATCATATGTTTGATATCTCTCCGACTAGTTAGAGTGCTCCAATTTCTATATATTCTATATATTTCTATAGTACTATGTAAACAGATTACAGAAATTGAAACAATTAATCATCAATCCAAATTTCGATTCCTATTAAAGAAATAGAAGAATTCAGTAAATTCATTCCCTCTCCTATTTCGTTCGAACCGTAATCTATGTGGACGCCATTCATTTCTTTGTTCTTCTACATCAGTGTTGTGCGTGTTTGCCTTACATCTGTAGCAAATATACACAAACACTTTTCTTCAATTCTGTACATTTTAAAAACTTAGTTCTATTGAAGGGTCTTAAAAGGGGAAGATGTGAAGGGAATTTTCACATGGGTCAGAAATTAAATACGCTTTTCTTACTTAATTTGGGTCTAAGAAGAAAAAAAACAAGTATGACGCAGAATTACTTTTGAAAGATGTGGAGGGAATTTTTACAGGGGATAGAAATTAAGAACTTTTTTTTTTATTTAATTCTGACAAAAAATTATTTTCTTTTCAATTCTAGAAATGAATATTTCTCAAAAAGAAATTATTTCATTTCTTTTAATCAGTATCTTTTTTTTTTAACATAAACGCATTGACAGTTCTTTCTTATTCTGCAAAAATACATGAAAAGTTGCGAATTTAAAAAAATCTCACTTTTTTTCTTCCAATTGTTTTATTTTTAGATCAAACTTTTTATTGCTTTGGGTCCAGTGGCCACCGTAGGATACATCACAAATGCTATTAAATATCTATCTCCTCTAGCTATAAATTTCGATGTAAGTAAAATTCAAATTTACTTTGCACAAAAATTATTCTTAAAAAAAGTAGTTAAGAATTTGCTCACATTCCACATGTCCCCAATCACTTTATTTTTTATTTTTTTTGCACTGAAGACTCTGTCAAGTTCACCGCCCTTGAAACTTATTGACCACTACTCTAAAGTGACCACTTTTATCAAGAACAAAATTTATTCTTCATAATAAAACGAAATCTTTGTAACATGATCACCTGTCTTTCTCGTATCTTGACCGCACAAATAAGTCAAATTTGTCTGATACTTTTATAGTTTGTAATAATGTGACAAACAAAGGCCTCCAGCGATTGTCCTCTTGCGAATTAAGTCAGGGAAGTGCTCCTTTTTTTTAACAGAGTAGTCACCGCAAGAATGTAAGCTCAGAATCCCACGGATAGATGGCAGCACCAGCCATTTGTGAGGCAATTTTCTCAATTTAGACATAGATCTGAAGGGGGAGGAAATTTTAACCAGATCTCCGTATTCATGGTTCAGTGACGGATCACAAGACTCTCGATTCCACAGATTTTACGAACACGTATATCGCATGCACTCGGTGAGTCATGCTGAGTCCAGGATCGAACCTCACCCCCTCCAGACCGGAGTCCGATTACCTCACCACTGGACTACCACGGCTCTAATAGTACTATTGTAAGCATTTCATAAATTTATCAACAACAAAAAAACATTTTTGGAAATTTTCTATATTATTCTGTTATCGAATTTATCCCTAAATTGGTAAAGCAGTATTAAAAGCTCCCTTTTGTGAGTTGAACATATGAGAAAACTATTAAAACCTTTCGTAACAGTAGGAGGTTTTCTAACCTCTGCTATGGCATCTCATTCATACTTTTTTTTCCTTTCAACACCAAAATTTCTCGAAGTATTACAGAACATTCTGTTTTCAAAATATACAATTATCGTGGCTTCATTTGTGAACACACCTTGCTATTATGAAAATCACAACGAAATAGATGATTACCTAAATTTGAAAAATAATCATCTATACTTGAAAAAAATTTAACCTGAAGAATTCAGATTAGGCAAATGAATACGAAGAAATAAATGAGAAATAATTTTATTCGTTGATGAGATATATAACACTTCAATAAGTGATCGCTTCTTCTCGTTTTCTATTAAGTTTTTATATTTTTTAAAAATTTCAATATAAATGTTACTTTGCAACTTTTTTGCTTGTTATATACACGAGCACGAGCTCTTAAAATGAAGAAATAAAGATCTGGTGAGGAATAAAATAAATTTTCTACAACAATGGATAAATAGTCAAAGTTCAAAGCAAAAACACTGAAACAGATTTGCGAAAAAACTCTTAAATTTGCAATAACTTTCGAACAAATTGGACAGCTCGATATAAAACAATATATGTCCAATATATATCGATATAACTGTATGTTGCACAATATCGATCGAAACAAAATTCACGTTAAATTCTCAAATAAAAATGATTCTTTCAGCACGTCAAAATTTTAACTTCGTTGTTGCATTTTAGAAAGTTGCAGATTATTCAAAAATGGTATTTTTCCCCGCAACAAACTTAATAGTTTATACTTGTTTAATAGTTTATTATATATTAATTATATATTAATTCATTATGTTAATAGTTTATCTTTCTTGAACTGAATTATCGAATCTCGTTTTTTTATTTCGTCGTACTTCCTGTACTTTTTTCAACATACCTTGGTAATTTCACGTTTCTAAATCTTATAGATTTTGTGCAGCATATCAAATTATTACATAAAGCAAAAAATCGCGTAAAAAATTCAAGAAAAAAGTTTTTAAAATTGAATTAAGTTTCTAACAAAATAGCATTTCGAAAAAGAATTTGCGCTTAAGTTCCTTAAACAAATAAGGCCCTTTAAGCATGCGAAATTTCAACTCTGCAGCTGCAATCCTGGGGCCTGCAGAGCGAACCGTATGTTAATTTTTACGTCAAGTTTAACAGTTAATAATTCTCGAACTAATAATAGAATATTATTTTTTTATTCTATTCTGCTCCCTGTATACAATTATACACCGAAGAGCCATTGCATTATGATCACCCTGCTAATAACATGTAGGACCATCTTTAGCCCTCAAAACTGCTAGCACCCGCCGTAGCATTGATTCCACAAGATGCTGATAGGTAGTCTGAGGTATCTGGTACCAAGCGCTCACCAACTGGTTCCTCACATTACGAGGGGGTAGCGTGGCAGTACGAATTTGGTTTTCCAAGTAGGACCACAAATGCTCTATTGGANCTTTTGTGAGTTGAACATATGAGAAAACTATTAACACCTTTCGTAACACTAGGAGGTTTGCCAACCTCTGCTATGGCTTCTCATTCATAATTTTTTTTTCTCTTCCAACGTCAAAATTTTCCAATGTTTTACCGAACATTTTGTTTTCGAAATATATAATTATCGTAGCTTCATTTGTGAACACCTTGCTAGTATGAAAATCGTAACGAAATAGATGATTACCTAATTTTGAAAAATAATCATCTGTACTTGGAAAAGAAATTTAACCTGAAGAATACAGATTATGCAAAGGAATACGAAGAAATAAATGAGAAATAATTTTATTCGTTGATGAGATATATAACACTTCAATAAGTGATCGCTTGTTATATACACGAGAACGAGTTTTTAAAATGAAGAAATAAAGATCTGGTGAGGAAAAAAAAAACTTTCGACAACAGAGGATAAATAGTCAAAGTTCAAATCTAAAACACTGAAACAGATTTGCGAAAAAACTCTTAAATTTGCATTAACTTTCGAACAAATTGGACAGCTCGATATAAAACAATATCTGTCCAATATATATCGTAATAATTGCTGTATATTGGACAATATCGATCGAAATAAAATTCACGTTAAATTCACAAATGAAAATGATTCTTTCAGTACGTCAAAATTTTAACTTCGTTGTTGCATTTTAGAGGGTTACAGATTATTCAAAAATGGTATTTTTCGACGCAACAAGCTGAATAGTTTATAATTGTTTAATAGTTTATTATATATTAATTAATTATATTAATAGTTTATCTTCCTTGAACTACATTGTCAAATTTCTTTTTTTTTTAATTTCGTCGTACTCTCTGTACTTTTTCTACATACCTTGGTAATTTCACGTTTCTAAATCTTATAGATTTTGTGCAGCATAGCAAATTGTTACAAAAAACGAAAAAAAACGTGTAAAAAATTCATGAAAAAAGTTTTCTAACCAAATAGAATTTCGAAAAAAAAATTGAGCTAAGTTCCTTAAACAAATAAGGCTCCTTTAAGCATGCAAAATTTCAACTCTGCAGTTGCAATCCTGAGGCCTACAGAGCAGGCTGTATGGTAATTTTTACGTCAAATATAACAGTTAATAATTCTCGAACTAATATTCGAATTTTATTTTTTTATTCTATCCTGCACCCTGTATACTATTATATAGTCTTACAGTTTTTTTTTTTATAATTTTTGTTATTACTAGTACATAAAACAAAATTTCAAAATGTGCAAGTGCGTTTAATATATTATAACTAAAATATACGGCACCCCATTCTTATAAAACACTTCTCCATAATATTTGTTATTTGTATATAAATGCACGTTTCATGCGTATGAAATCCATTTAAGTACTTTCATTATAATTAATAAGCACATTTTTTTAACACTTACGAATAATAATACTTAAAATCATAGAATCTAACAATATTAAATAAAATGTAAGTAAGGAGAAATTACCAAGCTCACCTGAAGGCATAGAGATGTCTAACCCAGTGGCAAAACTATACCAAACTATACCACTTAATACTTTACTACTTACTATACCACCATACTTTGTGTAATATTGTGGTTGTTAATGCCAACCAGTTTTTTTCGCTATTTTACTTTGAAATGAATCGTATTCAATTGGATGCCTACTAGCAACAAATTGTCTTTGATAATTTTTTTTTCTGTAAGCATGTAAATCAACTTAAACACATCTCTACAGGGAAATTAAATGACTGCAAGCGACGTCACGCGTATGCCGAACATGCTCGACACACGCATGACGTTGCTCGCAGGTATCCAATTAAATCTGATCCTAAAACTAATTCAGCGTGATAGTAAACCTGAGCCTTAAAACTGTGACGTTAACACACTATGCGAAACCACGAGATTAGTTGCAAGTACCCAATTCATTTAGTGGGACGGATAAGATTGTTCCATATTACCCAGGTTTTTAAATCGTGGTATAAAGTTATTGATATAGGCCCATCTCATTTCTTTTACGATATTTATTTTCGAGCAATATTTATTCTTTAAATCAGCAACTGCAAAAAAACCAGGTTCACACTAGCTTGAGTATGAGAAATATTAAGATTTTTTCCACCCGATCGGTTACTCATATCTCACATACATTCAAAACTCAAACAACTCCACCTAGAGCCATTTTCTTTTACTAGCAACCAATTACCATTTTATGATTCATACTAGACTTAAAGTCATGCACATCTCGTGACCCACTCGCGTCACAGCGTTGCTCCCTGGGGTGCAGTAGGAATTTTAAGAATGCATTTTGGAAACATCTGTATTAGACTCCATGTATATGGCTATAGTTTCAATTCGTCAGCGTCAAACAGAATTTTTATAGCACCTTATAAAGCAGTTCCATCTGCATTAAACACACTTTCAGAGAAACGTCAGAGCTGACGTCACTTCACTTGCCTGTCCACTCGAAGTCCATCACTGATCAATCAGTTGCAGATGCAACCAATAGGAATACGTTTTTATTGGGATAAGAACACAATTCATCCAATAGGAATAATGCGAATGAAAATTGATTGAATGATAGTGGAACACTGATCTAGTTCAATCTCTGACTAGGACATCTCTATAGCTATAAGGAAAATTAAGTGGGAGATTCGAAAATTTAGTCAGCAGCCTGTATATTAAGAGTGTTTATTCCGAATAGCACTGTATAGAGATGCCTAAGCTGACGCCACTTCACTCACCTGCCTGTTGAAAGTTTATCACTGATCAGTCAGTTTCTAGTCGCAGCCAATAAGAATACGTTTTATTTCAATGTAAAATAGTGTAAACTGCTGCCATTAACGATCAACAAATGAGATAGATTGAATGGTGAAAGTCAAATGATGTAGTTCTGCCACTGGTTTGGACATCTCTGTACGAAAACTTATTATAATTGACCAGTAAAATTCTTGTCAAACATTAATGTTTAATTTTTTTCATCAGTGGTTCTTAAAACTAGTGGGATACAATGAATTCTTGCCCACTTCTGAACTTATGAAATATCTGAGTGATAAAGTATGCGAGTCGGAAGCTAAACCAATCTGCGATGAGATGCTCAAGTTGATATATGGGTGGGAGCCAAAGCAAATGAATGAGGTAAGTTATAATTTTTGTTAAGTGCAAATAGTACGTACTCGTTACAAAGCTCAAAATAAAGCAAAAATTGAACACCTCTAAGACTTCTGACCCAGTGATTGTGATTTTAGCGTAGAAGTAGGATTCAGTCTAAATGGTTCAAAGGTCTAACCTTAAATATGCTAATTACTTTTTGAAGATAATAATATTTAAATTAATGGAATTAGACACAAAACGTCTTAACTTTGAATAAACCATACCCTTTTTTTCGATGATTTTAGAGTCTTGACCCTCAGAGTCGAGGGATAATAATTCCTATCACTATCTGTACCCCGATCCAAATTGTCATAGTGTTGTACGAGCATGACCCCAGACCATCGTCTATAGCCAACAAATTCAAACTAACCAGATCTAGTCAAAATATTCCTTAAGTCTTTTGTGAAGATTTTAATCTGTTTCATTATAGTATTTTATTTTCATGGAATTATTTTAAATTTTCATTGAACTGAAATTAATAAAAAAAACACTATGAGTTAGGTCGAAACTATTAACTGGAATTTTCGGAAAGTAGGTAATCAAACTATTTGCTTTATTTAAAAAGTTGAAGCAATTCGAACTGGGTCCCCATTGGCTCCATTTCACGAAACTCTCCTCTATGTTGCACGCTTAAGATATAACTATAGGTTAACTACATTACATGTTTATTTCTTTTTTATTCCATTTAGACGAGACTTCCAGTTTATCTGTCACATTATCCATCCGGAACTTCAACTAAAAGTATAGTTCATTTTGCTCAAGTAAGTTTAATAATTTTGTGTGCTTTATATCATCACATTTAAACGATTTTCACACTTTATCTGACCAAAAACATCCAGGCCCCTAAATAAAGAAGTGGAAGAAGCATCATGGCTGTTTTCATGATTCGGCCTGGGTCCGCTAGCTCCTGTGGTTGAAAAGATGAACTCTAATATGCATCTGGAACTCTTGAACGGTACTGCTCTCCCAACTCTACGGCAATATTTCGGGAAATGCCCATTTTTTTCCAGCAGAATAACTACTGTATACACGCAAATGGAGACTTGTGCAGCCATGGTTTGACAAAATAGTTGTCTCAAGAACTGGACTGGCCTTGTCAGAGACCCGATCTAAATCTCATTGCACACCTTTTGACGAATTATAACACGAATTGCGTAAACCACCTAAACCATCCATCACTATCCTGCAATCACGTGAGCTGTAATGAACGCCTGGAAGTCAATCTTTATGGTCACCTGTCAAAAACTAGTGAAAAGTCTCCCCAGGCATTGCGGAGGCTGCCATCCATGAAAAAAAGGGAACCGGCATTATATCAATATATGTATGTCTCAGGCATGAGTGTCGGTGGCGAGGGAGACGATCGGCATATATGGCTCCCTCATTAATTAGAAATCTCTAAAATTCACCCTTAGTAATTCGGACCAATAGAGAAAAATCTCATGCATATTCTTCGATTTAAATTTAGTTAAGTTAAAAACAAATTAAGAAATTTATAAAAAAATAAATAAATAAACTTCTAGCAGATAAGAGAGAAAAGAAAGATCGATCTGCCATTTTTTAAGTGAAATTTAGAGACACATTCTAATTGTGTATTTGTCAAAATCAGAGTCAAAAGTTTTCAGTTTTCAAAAACTAAGTCAAGACCAAGTGAGATATAGGTGTCTCAGTCAGAAACTGAGACACCTATGTCTAAGCACTCTTCCAACTCATAATATCCGGATACTTATGGTCAAATGATGTTCTCTCTTTAGCTTGCATAATTTTAAATTTGTCAACGGCAATGCGTGAAATGCCCGTTAGAGTAATGCATTGTATAGAATACCTGACATTTTTAGAGGCTAATTATATAATATCACAATTATTCTTTATTTAACCTAGGCATTGTATATAATGATAAATGAGCTTGAAGCAAAACATGACTGTTTGGTGGATGTAAATCACAAAAGAATGAAACAGTGTACTATTATTTTATTTTTATTTCAAGAAAAAATAATGAATTGATGATCAAAAACGAATTTTATTTTTCAATAAATAACTTTTTTATGAAGCAAACATTTTACTTTAACCAGCTTATTTAATTGTTATCAGTTATGTCCGATTAAGAAAGATATCATGGTAGAAAGTACCAGGCAATGGCCCTTAAACTTGAAAAAAGCATCAGCGTAACAGTACCAATTAGGTTCTTCACCTTAAGCATCAATGTAGAATACTCCGGGAAATGTCCAATATATCTCTGCCAAAATTATTTTCTCTGTTAATTTTTTTTTATTAATGCATGGTGATTACTACTAATTTATGCCCTTCTTATTAAAAAAAAATTGTATAATATGAACCTATTGAAATATATAGATGATAGATGATTTTCATAGGTGAATGTTGACATTGTCAATATGAATTCGCCCCTCGTTGGTGACCTGGACGTGATCTGAACTCGCCTACCTCGACAGACACGTCCACTTTTTGAACACACCTACTTCGATGAATGGTCCACAATGAACAGTTGACTTGGGACTGCCACATTATCCACCTCCTCATGCTGTTGCTACTCAGTCTCCATGACATGCAACATCGGCCTGTATACACTCGACTGCTAGCGGCAACACGGGAGAGACCGTGAATTTAATACAGCTCTCACGATCAGAACTCTAAGTCCGGTGACCTTAATGCAAAAAGAAAATTTTCGAGTGACTTGTAATAACAATTAATAAGTGACTTGTAATAACAATTATTTCTAAAATTCATTTAAACTATCCCGAAAATGAGGACTGTCGTGTGAAAATATGGTACTATTTTTTTTAGATTCCTAATTTATACTGGTTTTAAAATATAAATTTTGAAAATCTTAATCTTAAAATATAAAATTGATATTAATTATTACATATCGATTTCAGATGGTGGAGTCGAAAAAATTCCAAAAATACGATTATGGAAAGCACAATATGGATCATTACAACCAGGTAAGTAAAATTAAAATATCCACCAATTTGATATTTTAGCGTGCCCCACTTAAATAAAACTACAATGATTTTATGTCATAACTGCACTCAAAGAAAACCAATGAAGAGCAATGTATATTATGTTAGTCTCTAATCTAAACTATAATCTATATCTAAACGATAGTCTGTATCTAAACGATAGTCTATATCTAAACGATAGTCTATATCTAAACGATAGTCTATATTTAAACTCATATTTTATATATAAACGATAGTCTATATCTAAACGATAGTCTATATCTAAACTCATATTTTATATCTAAACGATAGTCTATATCTAAACACATATTCTATATCTAAAAGCATATTCTATATCTAAACTATAGTCTATATCTAAGCACATATTCTATATCTAAAAGCATATTCTATATCTAAACACATATTCTATATCTAAAAGCATATTCTATATCTACACGATAGTCTATATCTAAACACATTTTCTATATCTGAAAGCATATTCTATATCTAAACGCATATTTTGTAGCTAAACGCATATATATCTAAACGATAGTCTACATCTAAGCGCATATTCTATATCTAAACGCATATTTTATATTTAAATGATAGTCAATATCTAAACGCATATTCTGATATTCTGTATCTATACGCATATTTTATACCTAAACGATAGTCAATATCTAAACGCATATTTTATATCTAAACGATTGTCTTTATCTAAACACATATTCTATATCTAAAAGCATATTCTGTATCTATAAGCATATTCTATATCTAAAAGCATATTCTACATCTAAACGATAGTCTATATCTAAACACATATTCTATATCTAAAAGCATATTCTATATCTAAACGATAGTCTATATCTAAACATTTCTATACCTAAAAGCATATTCTATATCTAAACGCATATTGTATAGCTAAACGCATATATATCTGAACGATCGTCTACATCTAAGCGCATATTCTAATCTAAACGAATATTTTATATCTAAACGATAGTCTATATCTAAACGCATATTCTGTTATTCTGTATCTACACGCATATTCTATACCTAAACGATAGTCTATATCTAAACGGATATTCTATATCTAAACAAATATTTTGTATATAAACACATATTCTATATTTAAACGATAGTCTATATCTAAACGCAAGGAGCTACTCATTTCCTGCTCCTCCTGGACAGGAGAAAATCGAATAATCAAAAAAGGAGAGGAAAAAATGTCCTATTCAAATAAAACAACTTCTTATTTTAGCTAATATATCCACCATGTTTATACAGGGTGTTCCAAAATTATCTTTACAACTTCAAAAATTCATAACTTCAAACATAAACAAGATATTTATATTCTGTCTTTTGCATGTATTACTGCAACTAATAAATTTTTTTTTCAATAGGCTAAAAAGTTATAAGTGAGGATGTGGACACCACAACAGAAAGCTCAATGCGTCTCGTGGTTCATAGAGACGAAATCAGATACACAGGGTCAACGGAACTTCAGGACAAATTTCCAAAGAGACCCACCATCCAGACCCTCCATCCGTGCATGGCACACAAGCTTCATGCGCACCGGATCAGTATTGCATAAAAGTGGAGCCGGACGACCCAGCACAAGTCCAGAAAATGTGGAGCGAATACGGCCATGAGACGCATTGAGCTTTCTGTTGTGGTGTCCACATCCTCACTTAAAACTTTTCAGCCTACTGAAATAAAAACTGTATTGGTTGCAGTAATACATGCAAAAGACAGAATATAAATATCTTGTTTATGTTCGAAGTTATGAATTTTTGAAGTTGTAAAGATAATTTTGGAACACCCTGTATATTACTTGAAACATATAATGACGCTCTCCATTTACTGAACCCTAGAGGACATTAGCATCAATATTACCCCAAGTTTCAATGATGGCAGTCTTAATTCTGTCACAAACTGAAACTGCTACTTGTTAACATATGCAGTCCTCCTGAGGATGACCTCCTCGTTTTCTTGGGAATGTATATAAGGTAAAAAGACAGCCTCTTCATGGCGTATGCATCCTATTATCCAGAAACCATCACTGTGAAGATTTTGGAAAGGTAAATTGGCATTGCCCTGCTGAAAAATCTATCTTGAGCCACCAATTCTCCATACAGCCTTGGGGAGCAGCTAGGTCAAGTTTACCACCATATCTGCATACTTCCTATTATCCAAAAACCATCACTGTGAAGATTATGGCAACGTAAATAGAGACATTGCCCTGCTGAAAAATCTGTCTTGAGCCACCAGTTCTCCATACAGCCTAGGGGAGCAGCTAGGTCAAGTTTGCCACCATATTTGAAACCTTCCTCCACAAATAATGTGCCTCCACCATGGAGAAGAAATCCTTTTCTTTTCTCATACTATTGTAATAGCACACAAAATTTTTTGGGTCATCTTAATTCTTTCATTTTACACCATGGGCATCGTTGAGGGCGGGATGTTCCCCTCAGTTATTACAAATCTCTGCCCCCTCAATTTCTCAAAGTAAATTTTCATGAATTATCATCCATGTAAGCTGATAAAAATTAAAAATCAAGAAAGAGATCAATGTTTCCGAAGATGTTTAGCAAACTTAGGAAATATTTTTTGTTGGGTGCAAAAATTTTGGATAGCTAGTGTGACTGTGTATTTTAATCAAAAATTCATCTCCCTCAAAAATTGAACACTCTCAATGTCCGTGTTGTTTTTTTACACTTCTTTGCATGATATAGCTTTTGGCATGGACTACTGCTAATTTTTTTTCCGCAAATTTCTTGTAAAATATATGAGACAAAGCAGTGATAATTGACAAAAAGAGAAAATCGTCTCTAAATGGACAACAATCTAGAGGTTTATAAATGCTGTGGAATGGCTCATGGTCCATGGTAAACTTAATATGACCTTTCCTCCAGGCCGCATGAAGACTGCCGATTACCAAAGAGAAAAAAAAATGCTAAAGGCTCATTTACTCGCATTTAGGGAGAATTGTGGGCATAAGCCGGATTTTCGACCAAGAGAATGCACTCGTTTACGTTGCAAAAAACTTCAGAATGGTGATTCTTGGATAATAGGGTGTATATATGTCATGGGGCCGGGATAGCCTGGTTGGTAGGACGTTGGAATCGTGTTCATGAGAATTGGAGTTCAAATTCAGCCGGAAGATTCCCAGTGTATTAAATGGTGACTGGTGCACGTTATATCTGCCTGGGCCACAAAGTCAAGAAGTTCCCATTACAAATCAATACCACTGGGGGAGAACCGTAGGCGCTCAGGGGACAGAGCTCGTGTGTCCCAACGAGGTGAGCCGGGTTCGAATCCCAGCGGTAGCTGAGATTCGAATTCCGCAGCCGGTTCGTACCGACCACAATGCTGACGTAATATAAAGTGGTAGACGGATCATGGGTTAGAATCTTCTTGCTGTCAGGCTGAACATAAGAGATTTGCTTGGTTTTCCTCACAATGTAATGTAAATGTGGGTTAGTTTCAACAAAAAGATCTCCACGAAAGCAAATATCTCCCAATACTTGAACCAGGTATTTCCTTGTCTTCTGAGTTGAGTTCAAAATTACAAGGATACGGAGTTGAACTTTAACAGTTTTGAACATAGAATTGGGTTGGTTGTTCAACGACGGTTGTAAAATAAAATAAAAATAGCTTTGAAAGCACTGAATTGGAGATTGATCGTTCTCTGTTCCAGGGCAAAATTACAATCTGTGGTTGGATAAAAGGTGAGTCCTCCCTGTGAAAAGGGTTGTGACGCATGTGTGTGGCTAAATCGTATTCTTGGCCATAGATGAAGCATGAAGCCACTGAAACAACAAGAAGCTCATTCTGTGCCTTAAAAATTAGCTTGATTTCAAGCAGGCCTGTTGATGTTGGCAATTGACACTAGTAGTAAAGCCGCGATGGCTCAGGGGATAGAGCACTCGCCTTCCAATGCGGCGAACCGGGTTTGAATCCCAGTCAATGCGAATTCCGCTTCCGGCTTGCGCCGACCACAGTGCTGACGTGAAATATCCTCAGCGGTAGACGGATCATGAGTTAGAGTCCCCTTGCCGTCAGGCTAACCGTGGGAGGTTCTCGTGGTCTTCCTCTCCATGCATCGCAAATGCTGGTTAGCTCCATCAAAAAGTCCTCCGCAGAGGCAAATTTGTCCCAATACACGATCCACGAGTTCCCTTGTCTTCTGGATTTGGTTCAAAATTGCGAGGCTACGGTGTTGAACATTAGTAGTCGTCAACCCATAAAATTGGGTTGGCTGTTCAACGACGGTCATAAAATGAAATAAAGTGACATTAGTAACAACAACAACATATGTCAGGAATGGTTTGCCCTTCCTCATGATCTCAATTCCCATGAAAACGTGAAAGGCTATCCTCACAGTAAGTCTGTAAAGATAGACAAAATGAAGCAGTTTCAATTGTGGCAGATTTGAAGGCTGTCATCATTGAAGCTTGACAGAAAGCTATTGTTTCCTTAGAATTGGTAAATGATATGCAGCATCATATATTTTAGTCATATAAAAATATGGCGGGTGCCTTTTCTATAATCAGAAGTGACTATTTTTCGGCGGGGCAATATTTTGAGACTTTTTTTTTTACTCGTGGGTGGTCTAGGAAGAGTAGGAAGTAATAGATATAGACATAGATATCCAAAGAATATTGTTAAGATATAGATTTTCTTATTTTTAGTTTTCAAAAGTTTCCTTCTTTTCTTTTTTTTCCCTTTCAAATATGAAGTAGCTTTATTTGAATCGGACACATTGCTTGTATCTACTTGTTCCATACCACATTTCATTGATAATATTTTCATTTAATTCGATTAAATTGCAAATTTTTTCTTAAAAATATTCAATAAAAATTAAAACTGATTGATTTTGGTAAATTTTGACTATTATGTGTTGGCCATGAGCAATAACCTTGAGTCAAATGATACTCAGTATAGTTAATTTTTAATTTGATGAAATGAACCTTTAAGAGCGTGTTTTGTTCAATCTAATAACGTAAAGCCATCAGTAAGTCAAGCAATTTACAATAAATAAAAAGACTGTAATTACTTTTAGCTTAATTGTGTCAGCATAAGCTTTTTAATTACGTGCATGATTTCGTAGTATGAATTAAAACGAATTCATTGATTAGTTATTTATTTTTTTATACACGTAAAAAGAACGGATATTTAATCATAACGGGCAAGCTGAAAGTTTTTGCGATATTCTCTAATGATATGAATTACTATATCTCTAATAAAATGGGTTATTTTACCTCCAATGAAATAAATTGCTATGTCACAAATGAAATGAATCACTATGTCTCTAATACAATGAATTATTATGTCTCTAATGAAATATATTACTATTTCTCTAATGACCTAGAAATATACTTTTATTAATTTCCATTTGTTAGATTTATTCATTGTTTTATTAATCCGATATATCTAATTAATTACTTCCTTCGCTAACAAAAATTATTAGTATTCGTCTCTAATCTCTTGATTCAGATTGCTAGGATTAATTTTCTAAAAATGTATAGTAATTGCAGAATTTAGAGAACACCCTTTTCTTAATCTGAAATTCCTTCTCCGTTTTAGGATACGCCTCCTGAATACAACGTCACAAAGATAACCACTCCCACAGCCCTTTTTTGGGCAACGGCTGATTCATTGGCCGATTTCATTGACGTCAGCTTGCTCGAGAGGAGACTGAAATGTCTTGTATTAAGCTACTGTGTACCCAACCGGGACTTTATCCATGGAGAATTTGTGTATGGTATCCATGCTCCTGAACTTGTATACGATGAAGTTATTTCATTAATGCAGAAATATCGTTGATTTTTTTTGCGAGAAGGGATTGTACGAATTGCTGAAATAACATATTTGTTGTACTAACGCAGGATACTCCGCAATGACCACCTTTATACATATATTAAGAACCAAAACCAGTTTGATTACCTGGTGTAGCTTGAAGGGCCATTCCAATATTTCGGGTTTTGTGATTTGCTAATTTCTGCTGACAAGGTAGGAGAATGACATATTCTGCTGACAAATGAGCATTGCTTACATAAAACACAAAAATCTCCGGTTTTTTTTCGCTTTTTTTTTTTAAGAAAGAAAATTTAAATGCAACAAAAAAATTTGGAACACTGGGAGCATTTAAATTAAATTAACAATTTTTTTTTTTTTTTTTTTTTTTAGGTAACTTCAGTAAAATTCAAATTTAAAGCGAAAACTTTTTTACGTAATCCTAAAAAGGTTTTTTTAATTTTTTTTTTAAAAAAGTGGGAGGGGTCATCAAAAAATACTAAAATATTCGTGATAGCAGCGCTGGAATACGCCATCTAGGGAGAAGACCTGTTCTATGGCTTGACCCTTCCCTCTCCTCCTTTTCTCTGTTGAATAGGAATGTGCTAAGACATTTTCCCCTTTCTTAATATTTTTCGTATTTAATTGTCACATATATTTTTTAAAATTTCCTCGACTCCCTCTTTTGAAACTATGTTCAATGTAATTTTGAGTTCCATATAGTTTCTTAACTTAAAAGTTTTTAATATATTTGAAAATCAAGACAGAAACTAACGTATTCTTTCTCCCATGACTCTCCACACGCTAATGGTGAAAGCATGCGAAGTGTTGCTTAATATGGAGAATTCTGCTCTAAGCCACCTGTAGCTCATTTCAATCGGCAATATTTAAACGGCCCCTTTTTAATCTTTTTTTAACTCATATCTGTTTCATCCGGCAATCAAACAAGTTTCTATGTCTTCAGTCCCTCCATCCACTGTAGTGATTCCTTAAACTTCGATAACCATTTCCTTTTTTTCTCGTTCAACATCTTGCTGAACACTCACATAATTTTAATGTTTCCTTTCTAGTCACAAAATATTTCAAATCTAACAGAGATTTTTACAACAATTAACTAAAGAATGATGTTAATCTTAGTTGAACAATAATATAATGAAAATATTAGTGTACATTAAAATGCAACAGCCCTAAGTGAGTCTACAATATATTCATTTATGACCCTAAATATGCATACTGTATTTTCACTCCATTTTGAAAATTGAATTCTTAAAATATATGTGAAGGGTGGTCATTACCAAACACTCTGTACCTCATCCATGTTTTACTTGCACTTTGTATGTCCTATTATTGTCTCATCATAAATGTCAAATATCATTTCCCATTTCATTATGAAAAATATTAAAAATATGTATTGTTAAGTCTTATTTTGTATTATATTTTTTTGGAAATAAAAGTATTGTTTCCGCTTGTAATTTTATTTTAATGTATGTTCACGAAGGAAGTATGAAGCAAATAAATATTTTTCTTCGGAGTTTGAAACGTTGTAATATAGCTTATTATAAAAACGTACAGTGCACAAAAAAATGGACCACTCTAAATAACTTTTAATTTATGGATCGGATCTTCACGTTCTAGGACTCTGTCTTAATGGTTGAAGGGGGCGACCTCAAATATGCTAACTAATCAGTGCAGGCGATATTTTAAGTTACGGAATCCGACACAAAAACTTACTTTCTCTAAATAAACGTGCCTTTTTTTTACGGATTAATGTCTCCCAAAACATAGAGGGTAGCCGCAGGACAGCGTTCAAAAGTTTGATCCCCTTAATGTAAATTTTATCTTTTGCATACTTCGTCGTATCTCGAAAAATTTTCGCACACAATTATAAAATCCGCTTACCCATAGATAATTCCATGCAAAATATAACTTTGAGTAAATATTTGTTATATTTTATTATTTTATTTAATAATAGTAATAAAAAAAATTTAATTGTGAGATACCTATGCAATTTTTGTTACACAAACTGTAAGGAATGTAATTCCAAAAACAAAATTTGTGCGAAATCAGCGACTGAGAAATAGAATTTTAAAAATATTACTTACAATTATTATAATTAACTGTAGTTAATGTTAATTATTAATATTATTATTAACATTAAGGGGATTTGAACCACTCTCCTGACCACACTATTGAGATCTACTGTACTGATGTACAAATATTTTGTTTCCTACTTACTTTTTATCATTCTCACGTACAATTCTTACTCTATCAATTTTAGTATTTTTTTCATCGTTAAACTAAATCAAATTTTAAATTCTATATGATGTACTTCTACATAAGGCTCCAGGTTGTTGCAGTTGAGTAAGAATTTTTGCCCAGGGCCCTTAAATAAGACCAGGTCATTATACTCGTGATAACTTCCCTTACTATTGATCAACGCGTAATTAGAAATTGGTACAAAGTCACCACTTGAATATCAATATTCTCGGTCGGCAACATCGAATTTTCAACTATAAAAACACATTCCATTTTCTGGTGGTTGTTTTGTAGATGACCCACATTATCCACTTTTTACCTTATTCTTATTACGTTTTCCATTGCCGTCTATGAATTAAATAACTGAACCCCAACCATCATCAAACATTTATGATTCAGCTAAAAAAATGTGTCGGAAATTCGTCTATATTTGATCTACGACATTAATTTGTCTCTATTGTAGAAATCTAGACGTATAACCGAATTTTGCTTTTTGTGTTTTGTTCTAATTGGTCGTTTATGAAATATATAGACCTCAAGCAGCCTGGAACATCCATGATTGAATTACTAAAAAATAAAACGTGTCGGAAAGTCAACCATTTTCATCTACGAGATCAACTGAACTCTGTGGTAGAAATCTGGATGCCTAAGTAGAATTCCAAGCGTAACAGGGGAAATCACACAGGTATTTTATCCTAAAAAATGTATTAAATATATGTGAAAACAAAAAATTGTGCTATAATGTGCTACTTTAAAGTGCATTGTTTAATTTAATTGCGTAAAATAATGAAAGAGCCTCACCATTTAATTGCCAGGTAATTAAAAGCGTCCGTAACAGAGGGGACAAAGAAAATCCCACATTTTTGACATGCACTGCTATTTCCGCTATATTCTGTGATTTGGAACATCCTAAACATTATTTGTAATTTTTTTTAATGATCACATTTCAAGGTAAAATAAATTATTATAAGACTTTTTAAATTGCTTGCACATTTTTATTGACTTCAAGAAATGCAATGTAACAGAGGGAACATTTTGCAAATTTGATAATAAGTTACAGGGAAATATCACGCCATTTAATTAAACATTGTACCTTAAAGTAGCATATTATTGCAAAATGTTTTGTTTTAACATATATTAAATACATTTTTTATGATAAAATACCTGTGTGATTTCCCCTCTGTTACGCTTGGAATTCTACTACTGTTTCCAGTTGGCATGGAATTCAACTTAATCGACGAAATTCAATTTGTGTGTTTTGTTCCAATTGGCCGTTAATAAAATGTCTAGACCTCAACCAGCCAGTAACATTCATGATAAAGCTCCAGAAAAACGTGTCGAAAATTCACCATAGAATGTCAACTGGACTTGGTGGTAGAAATCCGGACGTCTAATCAACGAAATGTGCTTTGGATGTTTTGTTCGAACTTAATATATTTATTTCATTTCGTTTAACCGTGAAAAAATTTATCTTTCACTTTCTTTAAGATAAAAAAAAAAGTACGAATGGATGGTTGACTGAATGTAAACAATAACTAGCTTCCTAAAACCGGAAGAAATTTAGAAAACTTCCGGTGTATCCCTCCGCTTATGCTTACGAGGCGATGTGTGAACAGGCTTAATATTCTTGGAAGCTTATTTTTGTGATTTGTGTTTAAATTTACTCATAATTTTACCATTCGTAGGAGTTTTCTGTAATTTATAAAATTCTAACAGGCTGTGAGCCTGTTAGCCGGATCATAGCAAGCTAGCGGAGTCTTCCGAATTCATTTGTTGTTTGTTTCGTTGAAAGTTAGATTTGAAGAACGTGTTATATTGAAAACACACTACAAGTATAATAATATTGTATGGTGCGTTTTTTCAAGCTTATAGGCATTAAAATAAGTCGGAAGTGGTAACCCGGAAGTCTTACAACCAATTTTAAACCCCTAGCGCCATCTGCGCTTAGCTTTACTCAGTCAACCATACATACGTAAAGGTATAAAGAGATAGGTCATTTTTAGTGATATATAAATAGGTGGGTGTAATATGACGGGTAATGTAGTTTAATCTCTAAAGCAAAAACAACTAAAATCTTCATAACGTATTTTGACTTTCTAATACCCCAGAAAAATATGCCAGGTGATAAAACATTTGTGATCACTTTTATTTAGCGAGCATGACTAAATATTCTTATCTTTGAAAAATGATCCTTTGTTTTATGAATGTCTTCCGAGGATTTTATTTTCAAATGGGTGGGGTAAAGATAAAACGTGCCTATTTACTTATGACGTCAATGATACTTTTATTTTTTGGAGAGAAAAAAATTTAATTTTGTACATCTACCATTTTTTGCACGTTTTGAGTGAGATTTTTACTAGTCGTATTGCGACATTTGATTATTGTGTAAAACCTTTTTATACCGGAGCATAAAGAGTCTGCAGTGAAGGGCAACCAAAAGCATTGATGAACCTATAAGCTTAAATCGCATGTACCCCAATAGTAGGTCCCAGGGCTCTGGCCACAAAGCCACATGGGAACCCTCTAAAAGGGTCGATATGTTTCAATTGACATGTATGGTTTTTATTCACAATATCAAAAGACAATCTTTTAGGCAAAAACAGATAGTAAAGAACCTAATAATTTATTTAGAAGTACATCATTAGTATTCAGTATTTAATTTAGCTGAAGTATGAAAAAAATTCTTAAAATTTAATTGATAGTGTATGTGGGAATGATGAAAAGTCTGTATATTCGTTCTAAGTACGTAGCAAAGCATCTACAGCATTCTAAAAAATCATTTTCAAGATTTATTATTTACATTAAAAAAACACTATTTATCAAGTTTATTTGAAGTTGTAATAATTTTATGAAATGGAGACAACTCACATTAAATGTATTTTACACTTTAAAATACTTGGATGACGTTATACTTGGTTGACGTTATGATATGAAAAAGTAAAAAAAGAATTTTGGGGCCCTTTACAAGTTAAAGGCCAAACTAGTTTTTAAAAAAATACTTCCAATGTGATTTGGGGTGGGTCTCCTCACAAGTTTGGGGTCCTGGGTACATGCCCGGAATGCGCCCTCCCACAAATCAGGCACTGTAAATGGCTGTCGTAAATGATGTCGAATTTCGTGGTAGGCTACTAAACAACATATAGAGGTGTGGGAGAGGTTAAAAATTACAATGCAAATTCACTTACTTTCACTTAACATACTATATTTCTTTTAGTTTTTTATTTTATTACCGGCGTTTAACAGCCGACCGAGACTGTGAGTTTACGTGAACTTCCCATGGTTAACCCGACGACATTCGGACTCTAACCCATAATCCATCCATCTACCACCGAGGATATTTCACGTGAATACCGTGGTCCGTGCGTGCCGAGAGCAGAATTCGTACCAGTCTCCGCTGGGATTCGAATCGGGATCACCTCACTGTGAGTCAAACTCTCTATCCCCTAACCCAGTGTTCCCCAACCCCCGGTCCGTGGATCAAATAGTACCGGGTCGTCCATTTCATTGAAATTAAATTTAAATTCCTAAGTTTGTACCCCAAATTAAAAATATCTGTGTTCCATTAAAATTTCATTTATTTAAAAAAAGAGGCCCCCGAGGGCAGTGACATAATTTTTTAATGTTTGTAATGCATCATTGTCTCCGTTTACCCCCAGATGGAACCGTGTCCTTGCAAAGAAACAGGCTCAGGGTTCTTATTGTTTTTACTTTCTAGTAAGTTAAAATGTTAAATCCCTTTACATTTATTTTTTATGGAAACTGTATTTTATTTTGAAGGCATGTTTAAATACAATTAAATAAAAATTAATAAGTCAAAATAATCTAAAATATAAGCAATCAACATCTCCCTCCCCCCCCAGCGGGCCGCGTTAAAATTATCAAACGTTGACAGGTCTGAGTTGATAAAAAGGTTGGGGAACACTGACCTAACCCTCCACGGCTCAGTAGATTCCTTTTCTCATTAATTGAAGAACTAAACAAAAGTAAATGTTAAGTGACATTTTTAAAAACACAGGAATATCTGGAATTAGGAATATTGTGTAGCCCATTATCAATTTATCTGTCGAATATTAATTTATTCCACAAAGTCTGGCATTAATACCAGGATGTTTCCTAAAAAAATTATAATTTGTTAACAACTTTCTTGTTAGTTTTATATATTCTAAATATGATTTTCGAAAAGTTACTAAATCGTGTTTATCCCATTCGTTCATTAACTCATGTGTCCTGTTACAAGAAGAGTTACTTTTCCAAAATAAGAAAAAAATTATAACGCAAGTATTTAATTGTTATGAATTAATTTGCAGAAGTAAGATAATTCTGCAATAATATATTAGTATTATAAATATTTCTTTTTGAATCTGAAGTCGAGCAGATTATAAACAAATGCACTGCCATTTTTTCACACCAGCGTTTTTCATATATAGACCATTTTCTTTTTTTTTTTTTTTAATTTCCTAAGAAAATCCGTTCTAATGAAGAAATTTTACTGGAGATTTCTGTTCTGAAAATGTGATAAGAGTAAAATGTTGAGTTTCTGAATATCCTTTTAGAAAATAAATTGTTTTAGTCACTAAATTCCAGTTTTTTTTTCTTNTTTTTTTTTTTTTTTTTGAATTAACGTCCTGCTCATTTTATTAAATGTTTCTGACATAATGTTTTAGATCCTTCGGAAAAAGATGTTTTATTCTACCGGAATTACTTTAATTTGAATTAAGCTTTGTAATTTTGTTCGAGATAATTTATGATAATTTTCAGATCATTAAAATGGAATAGTACGTTAAGAAAAAATAGCATTTTGGGCATCCCCTTCTCTTTTTATTTTGCGTTTAATCAAGATTCCAAGGCCGCAATAGCTATTCCTGACACTTGTGCTGTGTATAGAGAGAATATCATAGCCGAAAAAACCACTCGTGTAGTTTAATAACGGAAATTTTAACCTCAAGGGCGCATCTCATTCTAGTCACACTATTGAGTTCCATGAAAAACGATAAATTGTGCGAAAATGCGTGTCCAACCAATACCTTCCAGAAAAGAGAAGGCCTCAGCACACGTTACCATAAACAGGAAATTTGATCCTTTAGTAGTCCAAACGTAACGACATCTTTCGTATTTACCACCACTGTGCAGCTTAGAAATTTGAACGTAGTAACATCTGTGCGAAAATGCGTGTCCAACCAATATCTTCCAGAAAAGAGAAGGCCTCAGCACACGTTACCATAAACAGGAAATTTGATCCTTTAGTAGTCCAAACGTAACGACATCTTTCGTATCAACCACCACTGTGCAGCTTAGAAGTTTGAATGTAGTAACATCTTTCTTATTTTTCATCCACTGCGCAGTTTATGTTCGTTCCGTCACACTACTAAATTGATCCCTTTCTTTCTTCTAGGAGATGTTGGTCATACACAGTTGTGTATGACCAACTATCGTATTGTTATCGTATCGTATTGATCAACTATCGTATCATATTGCTTATTGTTACGCATGCGTATACAGGCCTTAAGGCCTGTATACGCATGCGTAACAATAAACCTCCTTCCATATGTATGTGTAACAAAAACTTTGCCCTTCAGGAAACAAAGCTTAGATAATCATCTTTTCGCAAAGTATAGGGCTATCATATTTTGAGAGCTGATAGGCATCATAAAGGTGGTGGAAGACTAGATTTCTTAATAAGCGATGTACAATATCAACGAATCAACCTATCATGAATGATTAACTCAGATTTGAATATCCAGGAAATTAAAATAAACTAGAAAAACAAGGATATTAACATTTTTAATTTATATTTGTATCAAAGTAGTATCCCTGTTGAACTCTCCATTGACTTCTACCACTTTCCAAATAAATGAACGTATTCAATTTTTAAAACTAACAGGACATACAAAAAATTGATAGGCACGACAATTTTTATATTTAAAAAAAAAATTTAAAATTATGAAAGATAATAATTTTTAACCAACAAGAAAAATAACAAAATTGATAGAATAGTACGTAAGATACATAAAAATAATACAAAAACCTAAATTTAAATTTTTATTGCTCTCTAACTCGTTTTGGATTTTATTAAAAAATTTTTTTAAAAAAACATTATTTTAGAGCATGTAAAAATGTTTATGTTATTAAATTATTTTTTATATGAAAGGATCCATTGCAACCATCTTTGAATAAACGAATTTTACATAAGAGCGGAAAATTTCTAGTTTGTGTTTCATTAATGACCAGATAATCCTTCAGCTGTATTTTCACACGTTCGCTGTGATCCGAAACCTCCGGACTATGGAGATAACGGAGATTATAAAATAAAATAATATCCAGTAACTAATTCAAGCTGGCATTAAATATGCAGTAAACGTGTAACTAGAAAAAAAAAAAATCGAGAAATGAAACGTATCAATATTTGATATCATATTCCTTAATTACTGCCCTTTATACAAATTTTTAGAATTTCTTAAAACAAATTTAATTGAAAAAGGTTTCAAATTAATATTTAAGCGAGGAAAAGCAATACAAAAAACATACACTAATGAAATCCAATGAATCACTACTAAGGAAGGTGAGACAGAAAAAATCGAAACTTATTCGATTGCCAGCCGTGGGAAACAGAGGGAGAAAAAGAAAGAGGTTTCCTAGAGATATATCCAGTTTTTATTAGGCAATCAAACTGTTTTTATAGTTTTATCGATAATTTTCCTAAAACCGAATTAACGTTTTTCTTCTTCCTACCTTAAACATTGCGACCATTAATGCATATAGCTTCTGTTACTTCGTTTTTGAGAAGAATTTTAATTGATTTCTAATTGGCGATGATTGCGGACCGGACACTCTGTAGAAAGTTTACTTATGTTCACTATAAGAGTAAAATACACAAGAAACGATTGAAAAAATAAATAATTAAGGTTTAAAAAAATCTTCGATGTAAATAAAATTAACTTAAATAAATTTTTAAAAAAATATTTTTCTTCTTGATGACTTTACTAGTTTACCTTGATGAAAAATAATGCCAGATTTTCATCCCGGCAGATGTTAAAAGGAGATAACGACCCGTCGAGTACACCTACAAGTCGCCAAGCATTAAAATATGATTAATTTTTTAAAAATATTCCATTGCTGCTGCTAATATTTTGTCTATTCTATATTGACATTCTGCATTTACATCGCAAACATAATAAATAATAAGTTATCAAGTGAAATCAAATCCAATTTCTTGATTTCCCGTAGTTGCAGCACAAACTGAATGTATCTTTTTTTTTACAATAATTTCATTCTTGTGATGGCAACAAGTTTAAAACTCACATCCTATTTTAAGTTTTTATTGGCAATGAGTTTTGTATGTCAGGTACTGAACTGTGTTATGTTTTGATTTCGTGTAAATAAAGTTTTAAAAATCGGTTATGCCATGTGTACTTGTTTTTACATACGTGATGCTTGAAAAATATAGAGGTAGCTATGAGTGACGAAAGGCAAAAGAAAATTGAAACTGGAAAATTGAAAGTATGTTTATTAACAATTAATTTAATAAAAGTTTTAATTTTTATATTTTAATTTCTACTTTATAAATTAAGAGTTGTATGACTCCGATGTACCGTGAACTTAATTTCTATTACTTTATAAACGTATTGCGGTTTGATATTTTACTATACATTGCGTCCTAGAATAAAATAATTTTATTTTAAAGAATATACTAATAACTGTTTATTAACATATAAGGTAGAGTTACTTTGTTTTTTATCCTTGCAAAATAGTCGATAATTTTTACCGTCTTTTTCTTGAACAGCTGGTTTTTAAGGGGCTAAGATAGAATGAGCATATTTTATTTATGCATCGTTTTTTTATTTCACCATTCAGATTAATAATTCATATGAAATGGTAAAATAAATTAAGCATTGGTGGCAATAGTATGAATATTATTTAAAACTTATTAAATTCCTATTTTAATGTTAATTGTTTACACTTTCATTTATTAAAAGAAGTAGTGCAAACAAATGCTCTAGAACTTATGTCACAGGACTTTCATCTACTTTCCACTAAACAGTATGCTTATGTCTTCCACAAGAACTATTTTAATTTTTCCCAGAATGACATTAATTCTAATATTAGATACCCAGTTATTCTAAAATTACTTATTAAATAAATACATATTTTATTAATATTCTAGGATTCTTGCAAATATTCCTTTTACACTAATCAAGGCGATGATGTAGTTTTACAATGCTGATTTTTCTACATGAAATAATCAATTTTTCTTGAGTTGATCTCTTTTTTTTTATAATCTATTCTAGTTTCTATTTCTGTTGTTTTTGCATTTATTACTATTTTTACAAATATGTTAATCTAAACTTAATTCTCTGAGATTATTCACAGGGGTCTGTCCAGGCCATATTTACTACCGTTTAGCAGTACCTTCACAAATTCCACTTTAGGAAAAACTGTAGTTTCACAAAATACTTTTTCTTAAAATTTTATTTTTGCATCCCATAAGAAATGATAAATCTATGTTTTTACCATATTTTTGTGATGACTATTTTATATAATTTTTCACAAATTGTGTCTAAATTTTCACAAAATAAGTACCTTTCAGAAATACCTAAGACCCCTGATTCACCATAATGTTGTTTTTTAACCTGAAATTTATATAAGTATAAATATATTAAAATAGGATTGAAAATTATTGCTTATTTTACTTTTTTTTTTGTTGCCTTAAATAGTTTTTTTTTTCCTTTTGTCTTTTCTTTAATAGTTCTAAAAAAGAATTCAAGAAATGCCAAAAAGTTATCAAATTTTTGGAGTTTTAATATTTGGAATATCTAATACTCTTTAATTTCTTCTAAAATGTAACTAATCATTGAAAGTTCAGCTGATACACTTGCATACGATTGGTAATGATCAGATTTAAAGAATTAGTTGCATTTGAACCTTGTTTCTTTACTAAAATTTAAAGATAAATAAAAACATATACTTCTTGCTTCATCCTACTTTCAGAGATATTTCTATATTGTGATTTGTCACATTAACTACAATCATCAGGGGGCCAAATGGATTTATAACTTGTCAATATTCAAAAGAAACAACTTGTAGACGATTCCCTGAGTGTAAATACGAGTTATACCCTCTGAGTTCGTCCTTTTCCATTATAATTATTTTTAAGCTTTTTGTAAGCCTAAATCCAGAAGTCGCCGGGACTTAATTGTTATGTCGCCGATCAGAAAATCGTGATGCACAAACATTTTCCTACTGCTTTTAAAAAGTGATGCATTACACTAAAAATTAAAAAAAAATTTCACAATAGTTTGTAAAACATTAGTTCCAATGACTGATAAAAAAAATCTTTGTTTTGTTAATTATTTAAGGCAGTTTTCAGTGTTAATATAGGTTCATTTACAATTTTCTAAGTTATTAGCCTCTAAATCTCTTCAATCATGTACTGGAAGATTAAAGGATATATTGTGGTAAAAATATTCTTCTCTATATTCTTCTCTTATACCTACTCTAATAACTACCATTTATGTTATAATTTTCTCGATTTAAATATTTTGTTCACTTATATGCTTGAATTTTTTTATAGATGGCTGAAAAGGTAAGATTATTGGTTTGTTTTAAGTTTTAAAAAGGTGTTGGGATTATTGAATTGATATTTTACTTGTTTGCTTTTGCTATATTCCATTAATAAAATTACAAATGTTCTTTATAAGTTTATTTCAGCATAAATCGTGAAATTTGTTTTAAATTTATGAGTAATAGGGATGTAATGATCAGCCCTTTTGCCGAATATTCGGCCTAGCCGAATACTGAAGTTATTCGGCCGAATAATGAAATATATGCTATTATTAATTATTTAGATTTGTGAAAGCCTTATTGTTGGCATCAAGATATTTAAAATATTACAAAAAATACATCAAGTTAAATTTTTTTTTAAATATACAAAGTTTTAAAAAGCAAATTTGTTAATATTTATTTCACTTTTAATTTAAAATTTGAAAATTATTTAATCACAAAATTAAAATTTCAAAAGTGAAACTTTTAAAAAGTTCTTAATTTTCTGAGTTTTAATAATTTTTCTGACAAAAAAAATAGTTAAGAATGCATTTAACAGTAGTAAGTAATGACTTCTTATATTAAATAAAATGGCATATAAATTACAAGTATAACTATAACTAAAATATGCTATTATTAATTATTTAGATTTATAAAAGCCATATTGCCCTGTTATTGGCATCAAGATATTGAAATTATTACAAAAAATAAATAAAGTTGTTAAAAAATTTTTGAATATACAAAGATTAAAAAGGCAATTTTGTTAATATTTATTTCATTTTTAATTTAAAATTTGAAAATTACTTTAATTACAATCAAAAGAGAAATTTTTAAAAATTAAGTATTCGGCCTAAAATTTGGCCGAATATTCGGCCCCATCACTATTCGTTACATCACTAATGAGTAATACATACGTATCTGAAAAATTAGATGAAGTTTGGTAATTTTGCAAAATAAAACCTATGCCTTTTCTTTCTTTCTTTTTTTTTTAAATACATACTGAAAAGAATTAAGTCTAACAGAAACCCTTTTAATTTCTGTGTCATAAAAGCAAAAGTTTTTTAACAAAAGCTTGGTGGGAACTATAAACAAAAATCTGTCTTTATTTTTAAACAAAAATATCTGTAGAAATCCTACTTTAATTTTTTCACATTTGCGCATATTTTGAAAAAAATATGGCAACTGATAATAAAAGCAGGGTTGGCAGGTTTTTGACATGTGACAGTTTTTGANTGTCTGAAAAATTAGATGAAGTTTGGTAATTTTGCAAAATAAAACCTATGCCTTTTCTTTCTTTCTTTTTTTTTTAAATACATACTGAAACAATACCTCGATATTTTTTACCAATACCTTGTTAGTTCAGCTAATGTTAATATTTAAATAAAATTTGTAGTTTTTCTAACACTTAAAGAAAAACTTCTGGTTTAAATAGTCACAGTGCTAAATACATTTTTTAGCATATATTAATAATTTTTTTAGGAGGTAACGAATTGTAATTTTGCTAAATATTCGATATTGGATGAGAAACAGGAAAAAAATTCTCTTAATTCTTAAAACAAAACTTTAATGCTGAAAATAATATTTTTCAGAAAAAAGTATCCATAAAACGTTAAGAGATATATAGTCTATCAGAAACGCTTTTAAAAGTGCCACACTATGATAAAAACACCAATGGAAACAAAATATTATATTTAAAAGCGAAACAAAAAAATCGCTTTAAATTCTTGAAACAAAATTTTAAAGCTGAACATTCCAGTTTTACAATTTCTGTATTTTTAAGAACAAGTAGAAAAAAGAATTAAGTCTAACAGAAACCCTTTTAATTTCTGTGTCATAAAAACAAAAGTTTTTTAACAAAAGCTTGGTGGGAACTATAAACAAAAATCTGTCTTTATTTTTAAACAAAAATATCTGTAAAAATCCTACTTTAATTTTTTCACATTTGCGCATATTTTGAAAAAAATATGGCAACTGATAATAAAAGAATAACGTTCCTTAGAAATGCTCTTTTAAAAAGCTGTTTTATAAAAAAAAAAAAAAAACGTTGCTAAAAAGAAAAGAAGAAAAAGTTGTTCTTAAAATATAGCACTATGTTAGGTGGGCCAACTTTCCTCCCACAGTAAAGACAGATAATACTGAGAATGAAAGATCCTTGTCCGGTATTCGAATTTAGGATCTTTCTGATGTGAGGTCAGCTCTCAGATCACTACACAGTCCGTTTGGCACCTTTTTAAACCTGAAAATCTAGATATTTTTAGACGTCCTGTTTACTATAATTGACCCTGGCTCCTTGCATTTTTGTTGATCTTGCTTAAAAAAATTTTTAAATGATGGTTAGCCAGTTTCATTAAAAAAGACTGGATTTCTTTTGAATAAGCTAAAATTGACTTTTTTTTCTGTTTTCTACATTACTTAATATCTGTGTATTTAAATTTAATTTATTATTTACTATTTAGTTTTAATGATAAAATATTTTATATGATTTTTAGCCTGACTGAAATTGGAAAATCCTGATTTTTGTAGACTCCAGTGTTAAAGATTTCACTTAAACTTATTTGTGTTTTTTTTCTCCTCATTATCTTGTTGTGTAATTATTATTGTTTATTTAATCCTCTTTATATATTTTCTTTTACAGTAATATATCAAGGCATTTATGACAAATATATAACCTAGTTTATATGTGCTCATTGATAATAAATTGAAGTTGTATAATTTAAGTGTAGGATTCATCAAGAAACAATGTATCATACTTTATGTTTAGCATCTTTAATTTTAGTAAGTTTTCAGATATATAATTTTTTTATTGTTCATAAGTGCATAATCAAACTTCAGTTTCTCAATTGTGCTCTAGATAAAATAGCTCGTTCACAAACTAGTTGAACTTCAGCCTTGGTTACCTCTGTTAACTATAATCCATTCCCAATCATTTTTGTTGTAGCATTTTGCTCGCTATGCACCTTACCTCACAATATGTATTGAGCACCGTTCTCTCTGAGCTGCTCAAGCCCCTGGCTGTGTACAAAAGACTTTGATAAAATAAAAAAACTTTCCGCAAACACAAAATCTTAAAAAAATTTCAGTAAGCAATTTATTAACTCCTGTAACTGGTTTCAACCCATTCTTTGCCACCTAATTTTGATAAATTCTGTTCAATCATCTGATTTTTTTTTTGTTCAAAGTATAAATTTTTATAAAACTCTACCCTATATTGATTATTATGCATTAAATTGAAATCCAGTGGTTCAATTTTGGTTGAGAGTGGTTGGTGATGTAGTATTTCCTAACCTGATTCATTCATTTTCCAATGTTTAGTTTTCTTGATAGATGCAAATTGAAAAGATTGAATTTATCAAATTTGAATTTTGAAAACCACTTTAGGCATTTGCAAACATCTAATGCACCTAGATAAATATTGCGAAAAGTTTTTAGTACCAATGCTGACTTTTTTTCTTGGGGTATCTTAGAAAGTGTACAAGGCTGTTATTGTGCCTTTTTAGATTTATTTGTTACTGAGTAAACAAATAACTCTTACTTTTAAAATGTCTTTGTTATGACTTTGAAATGCTCAATGAAGTGATGAAGGGTAAACGAGTGTCGAAATTTGCTGGTTTTACATTTTTTTAACTCCCTCCCCATTTAGAAATTGCCTATATGAAACAAAATTTTAGTATAGTTTTGCTTTTACCAAGTAGATATTTTTTTCTGCTATGTAACACTTTAGCTTTAAAAAAAGGAACACAGTGCAAACTAAAATTGAATCCTTGTTCTTTCGGATTAAAGCTTAATAATGAAACACTTATGTTACCATTTTTTTACCTTCATATTTTGAAAAACTTCTTTTAAAAGATATATAAGCCTATTTGTTTTGTTTCTCTGTTTTTTCGTACAACGCTAAAGTAAGTTCCATTTTCTGTACCATTCCATTACATCTGAATTTCCTGAAAAGATTCCCTTTATTTTTTTTTATGTCATTAAAAAGCTTTTCATTTTCTACACCATTATTTTCTTTTTTTTTTTTTCTTCTATATCAATAGCCATTGTAAAACTTGTATCCAAAATATACTAGTAGTCCAGTAAAATTAGACATTTTCTTCAATAAATAAATACCCATCTTTTTTTCCCACAGAGAGCTTTGTTATGTTATAATTGGTGCCTGATGCATGTTAAATCTGTCGAGTCACAAAGTCCTCCATGTTCCCATAACAAATCATACCTCTGGTGGTATAGATCCAGGAGTTTCCTCGTCTTCTGGATTGGTTCAAAATTACAAGGCTACAGAGTTGAACATTAGTAGTCCTAAGCACAAAATTGGGTTGGTGTTCAACGCCTGTTATAAAAAAAAAAGTGTACAGGGGGGATTAGAGAGTTTTTAGGTAACATTTATAATAACATAAGAAAGCTTTTTGGTCAAAAAATAATTTTAGGTATTAATTTTTCTGAAGAAAGATTTTTTAATTATTAGGCTATACACGAACAAATCGGAATTAAAANATACTTTTGTTAACCATTCTCAAAAATTATTAACTTTAACATAATTACTATTTTATTTTGCAACTATTTTAATAATAATCATACTTTTAACAAAAATTATTTATATCAGTGTGACAAAAAGTTTTAATCACATTATTTCTTTTTTAGTTGGCTAAATTTCAAAAGAAACAAAGTGCTAAAAATAAACGCTTGCCTAAAAGCACTGATACAGATAGTTCATTTCAATGTTCCAGTCTCAAAGATGCTGATGTAAGTATGACACTGTTATAATTTTTTTTTTTTTACTGTTTAAACAAATAAAATTTATTTTAAAAACATAATTTATGATTTTTGATCAATTAAAAAAGATGGTACTGAACTTGTTATTTACAGTTTTTAAGAGTTTATTCTTATGCCTTTCCTCAAAAAATATTATAAAAGTATTAATGCAATAAGTTATACTAAAAATGAGTATATATTTAACTATATAATATGTGATTTATATAATAGAATGAAAATATTATGTAAATATTAGTATAGTTTAAGGTTTTAATATGAGATTTACTTGGCCTTAAAATTTCACTGGGACCAGGTACCCATTGAAAATTGAATCCTTTAAACCCAGTCAGTTCTGACATTACCATTGAGACTAACAATACTTTTTGATAGGCTTTATTTTAAATCTTTTCTTCTATAATAAATATTGAATAATTTTTTTAACAAGTTATATGGATTGTTTTTCAATAGCCTAGTATTATTACAGGGTTCCCACGGTCCTTGAGAGTCCTTGAATTTTGTTTTGCTAAATTCAGGTCCTTGAAAGTGCTTGAAAAACTTGATAGGTCCTTGAATTTGTCCAAAGCTGCCGACGGCCCTTTTTATAAAACACCCGCAGATCTTTCTTATTCTTTCTGTTTTGTTCCCGAGCTCTCTCACGTGGTTTTTAACGCCACCGTTTCTAACCGGGCCTAGTGTCTTGGTGTCTGCCTAGCGCGTGGAGCACAGCAGACAATTAATGCGTTCGGGGCGAGACTCCACTTCATCTTCTGTCGCATATGCTTAAATCTTCTCTTTTCTTATCGAAACTGGAATAATCTCGAATTTCGTAGCAGTATGCTTCTTGTAGTTTTCAATAAATTTGCCGTTTTACCATCCGCACTTGTCCTTACGTTTGCGTCATTTCAAAACTTTATTGTAAAGCGTATTCGCAAAGGCACGGCTTCGTATTTGTGTTATGTAGTTTAGACTAGTTATGCCTGGGAAGTGCTATTTTAATCCCCAATGGATGGATAATCAAGCTTATAAAGAATGGATTTTATCGATGCCCAAAAAGAAGTTCAGAGTCAAGTGCCGCTTGCATGAAGGAGATCGATATCGCGAAAATGGAAGAATCTGCTCTTAAATCACACATTCTCTCTTAATTCCAAAGACATCAACATTTAATTCATCTGGTGTAAATACTCCTTCAACATCGTGTGCCCCATGTGAAACAGAAACTTTAGTGGCCGAGGTAACATTGTCTTCAAAAGGAATGTGTTTGATTCTGAAATTCTCTGGAGTCTGAAGTGCATCACTAGTAATTATTTATGTAACTCCTGTGAAGGGATTAGTAAATTGTTCTCCAAAATGTTTGCTGATAGCTGTATAGCGAGACAATTTTTTTGTAGTGCCACAAAGTGAGCCTATTTGGGCTCCTTTGGATTGGCACTATACTTCAAAGGGATTCTTATAAATGAGCTGAAGAATGTTGATTGCTACACTGTACTCTTTGATGAGACGTTAAATCAGTCTCTACAATCTAAGCAGATGGACATTATGGTAAGGAATTGATAATAAAGTTTGCACTAAGTATCTTACCTCCCAATTTATGGGTCATGGAACTGCAGAAAATATTTTGTCCTCTTTTTACAAATGCATGGATGATGGTTAAAAGCTCTCTAAAATACTTCAATTATCCATGGATGGACCCTATGTCAATTGGAAATTCTATTAGAAGCTTCAGTGTGAATTAAAAGAGAAATATTCCCACCAGGTCATATTCATTGGCAGTTGTGGATTACACATAACGAATAATGCTTTTAAACATGGTGAAAATGGGATATGTTCCTTCTAATTTTTATTTTCAGAAAGAATTGTTGCTGCATAACATTTAGAGAAGGTTGTGTAAATTATGGATGAATAATTTCAGAAACGATGTTTAATAGAGGAGAGGAGGGGGTTATGGAATAGTCATGGAATATGGAATACCTAAGATTTAGCTCTGTCTTTCATGCAGCCTTCACATGGAAATACACAGGATTAAAGGATTTCACCATTAACACCTCATTACCATTAGTTATAGATTGTGCTGAAAATGATTTTGTGAATTAATATGTAAAACCAGTAGGGTTGTTTTTAAAAAAATATAAATTTTAGTCCATAATACATATACTCTCTTCTCTCTATATAGGCAAAGCATTTAGGTATTATATTTGAAATTAATTATTGCCACAACAAGCATTGTTGCTTCTAGTAAAATAGAAGAGAATAATTTTTAAAATTGGTCTTAGATTAAGGTCCTTGAAAATTTTGTTGAGGTCCTTGAAAAGTCCTGGAAAGTCCTTGAATTTCAATCTCATCATAGAGTGGGAACCCTGTATTATGCATTTAAGAAAAAGAAGGAAATTTATAATTGTTTAATTTAAAATAAAAATATGATGTTTTATTTAAAATAAAAATATGAAATGTGACAGATATTAAGTAGAAAGGATATGAAATAAAACATCTTATTTTTATTTAAAAAATTCTGCTTTTATAAGCAATAATAGTATTATTTAAAAATTTATTTTAAAAAGCTTAACAGGAAACTTTGAAAATACACACACATAAAATGATGGATAGAATGTAATTTGCAATTAGAGAAAAAGCTCTTGTGAATGATGTTACAAATACAAACTGTTTCAAAATTTTAAACTTCTATTATTGTTATAAAAAGGTGATTATTTAGTATCGGGTGCCCCTCTTATATGTGGCAATTTGAAAATAAACCAATATTTATGAACATGAACCAAGAATTAATCACATAAGGTTAAACAAACATAGTGGTGACCCAAAGCTAACACCGTTGAAAGAAAAGGGCAGCAAAGACTATCTTGATAACTAGAAACTAGTTTCAGGAATATTGAATGAAAATTATCGCCAAACCAAGGGGTTTCCACTTCTGCACCTTTACAATAATCTTACAAGATACTGAAAAGCTACAATTTGTGATTTTATGGCTAAAACAGTCAGTAAAACAGACAAAGAAGTTGAAGTTTATTAATGGAGGGATGCTATTAAATGTTTATTTTTCGTTATGTTGTCCTTTGTATCATCGAGTTGTCTGTTCCGGATACCCAGAAGAAGAAGAAATTTGTTACCCAACCAGTTCAGGGTACCTAGTATATTTATTACCCAGCTGAGTATTATAACATTTATGTCTATCCTAGTAATATTTTGAACCCCAAAAAAGGTAAAAACAACCCCTAGATGAGGCAACAAAAAGAGGTTTTTCTGAAAAAACTGAGCAAAAAAAAATCTCTAAACCTCCTATGATTATCCTGGTGGTAAGCTCAGTGACTGGTTGGGAATTGAATTTATTAATCTAAACACACTTCTGGTAAAAATTTAAAGTTACTGATGGCCAGTTTTATTCATTACTGTTCCTTTTCTATCTTAAATGTAAACTAACTTATACTGAAAATGCAATAAAATGTTTTAAATAAGTTTTTTGAGTAATATAAAAATAGTAAGGTTTTTTGTTTTTAAAATAAGAGCTACCCACAGAAAGTTTTTTTATGCAATTTTTATTACTGTTTCTTGCACCATTTGTGAGTATCTTTAGTTCTGTGAGCTGAAAAACATAATGTATAATCCACCTATTTTCCAAGCACATTTTTTGAAGTGTGCTTTGATCAATACTTTTACACAAAAAATTCTAAATCTTAGGAGGCATATTAAGAATATTTGGTTTTAAAGTTAGTCCAAGTATTTCCTGTAAGCGCCAGTGTACTTATCTAGGGTTGCATATTTTTTTCCAAAAAATTAGGCTTCAATTTTAATTAATCTGCATATCTTTTGATGTCTCACTAGTTAAAGGTACTGATCTGTAATTGTGAAAAACCTCTGTAATCCTCATTGGCAGCTTGCTTCAAATTCATGAATGAGTCTGAGAAAGTAAAGTTGACTTGTGTGCAATGAATACATTGCCACTATCATACATTTGCTCCCCAAATTGTGTAGTCTTATTGGAATGTTTTTTTTATTACATTAGGATAAGTCTGAAGCTACTGATAGCTCTTCCAACTCCAGTATTAATACTATGAAAGAAAAATCAGAAACTTCACTTGAAGCTGTGATGGATTCTAGTCCAATTGAAGAAAGTGCCTTTCCTATTGCTGAAGATGTAAGACTTTAATAATGTATTTTTAAAAAGAAAGAAAAGAAACGATAATTCGATATATAGGCTACTGACTATTCGTGAATTTGTGAATGACTATTTTCTTGCATTTGAAATTTTTTTTGCCATATATAGATAAAATCTTTTTTGCTTCTGGACTTTCACAAATTTATTAAAATTTCAAATCTGTTACTTTTATTCATTTTTTTGTAATCAAATTTAAAGCTTAGTTTATTGTTTTGGAAAATATAGTCATGCTTTACTTTGCTAAAAATAACAAAATATGGGTACAATAACAACACACAATTTGTCTAAAATACAACAACAAAAAATTAGCTGGTATGTTTAAATTTCACTTTTAATAGTGTCTTATTTTCTGGTTCAATTTTTTATTTTTATTTTTTCAGTGGGAAGGAATAGTGTTCTAAGACTACTTCCACAACTCAAAACCAAAACGTTCACCCGTATTCAATACCGTATAGTAAATATGAAATATATATGTGCATAATTAATCATTATTCTATAATTATGTATTATAAATTATACATAATTGTAGAATCTTTTTCATTTTGACTCAAGTCTCAATTATTTGGCGACTTTTTCCTTGCGTACTGCTAACCCAAAAGAAGTTGTTTTCTTTTTTTCCAAATTCTGGTTAAATATCTTAGTAATGTTTTCAACTTTTTGCTATTGGTTTCAATTTTTCTTTCTCTTTGTTTGTCAAAATTCGATTCAAAGCAATCTTGTTGATATTTTTCTAGATTTTTTTTATAAAATTAAATTTAAAACTTTTTTTTTTTAATGTAGCCTTGTATCAGTTTGCTATGAATAAGAAGTTTGAGATTGCAGCTAATAACATGCGCTGGTTGACATTGCTTATTATAATTTCTTATTTTAGGTTAGTGATGATGGAGATCCATTGTTGCATGCCAAACAAACGGCTCTAGTCTCTTGTTTAGAACAAAAAGTAAGTATTTTGTTTTGAGAAATTTACAGATCATTCCAAATATGACGCAAAATAAATTATAGAAATTGGTTTAAAAGGAAAACTGGAAAAACTTATTTAAGAAAAAGAAAAATTTATAGTAAATTATCCACTTAGATAAAAAGGGAAAGAATTTGCATGTTTTGAAAAATGGTAAAAGGTTGTTTATTGTTTGTAATTAAAAATATGAAAAAATCATCAACTTTAAAAAAGCTTGTGGTTAAGAGATTGAAAATAATGTTACTGAGCATAAATGACTCTGTGTCCAGTTATGGAGAAGTAATCTTTGAGGAAAGGGTACGTAATGGTGTATTCATAGAAGATTTACGAGGAATTGGAAAATAATTCTGTAATGAGAAATGTCGCTTTGTGGTTGTGTCTGTAAACTGGCACTGTTTGCTGTGTTTTTAAAATATTAATTTATAATTCACTAATGCACTAATAAATAAATATATGCTAGGAACTATAATTTTGGGCTGAAGAAACAAATTTTTTCCTAATGTTCATTTTATTATTATATTTGGAGAGCTCTCATATTTTTAATGAATTTCAAATTGACTTTATTAAAATCTCAACATAGTGCAAATATTATTTTAGCTCTCATGTTTTATTTAATGAGAAAGAATTTTTTTTTTTAATTAAATATTTTTGTTTCCCTAAAAGTCTCATATTAATCCAAATTAGAACACTAAATAAATTTATGAATGAAATTGTCACACAAAAATTAGCTTATGAATACTGAAATTTTAAAATTAGATATAAAAGATAATTATTAGATTGTTCAAAATTATTTTTCTAGTAGAATGTATTTTCTAAAGTAGTTTTACAATCATACTTACCTGCCAAGTCTCCTATTTTTTAACAAAGACTCCTGTATTTTGCTACTATCTATTTACCCGTATATTCGGAAGAAATTTTTGGCACTAAAATTACCCGCTAATGGCAAAAGTACTTCTCTTATTCCTCAATAGATGGTGCTATTGTCAGTAATGCAGTATGTTGAGAGCTTATAGTTAAAGTAATTATAAATAATGGTTTTAAAAAAGTCTCATTTAGATTAAGATTTATATATATATTTTTTACTTCACTAAATGTAAGTGTATTATTTCCAATTTTGAATCTCTCTTTTTGAATAACATGATTATGAATAATGCATCAAAACTTTACTCGTAGTTCAAAAAAATTATGCTAGTGAAATATCTGTTATTTCATTTCTCCAATGTTGACAGGTATGATAATATAGCTTCCAGTAGATCTTTTGGCTTATAAAAAATTATGTGACAAAAAAAATTCTCAATTTTTTTTTAATGTGCATTAATTTTATATTAATAAAAGTGGATAACACAGCTCCAGGCATGATTCAATTATAACAATTTTCTTTTTAAATTTCATTTTAATTGCTCTTGCTAAGCTTTATTTAATTTTAAAACTGATATGCTTTTGCACCTGATCTGTGTTATATATGTTGTATTTCTTTTCATAGCTCTCAAAATATCAAGATGCCTGTAATAAAAAAGATGCAATGATAAAACAGCTTTCTCATCAATTGGCATCTTCAGTTAGAGCATCTGAAGCAGAAAGCTCAGAAACTGTAGAGAAATTTAAAGAAGAAATGAATATGCTTCATTTACAGTTGAGCAAAGTTAGTAATATACAATATATATATTTTAACTGTGACTTTTTATAATTATTAATTTGTTTTTAATTTACTGAAGAAGGCATATCTATGCAATTGTGAACTAATCCAAACAATATTTTCCCCCCCAATCCAAACAATATTTTTAGGTTGATTTGCCTGACACTAAATTAGACTAAAAATAGAGTCAAAATACTGAATAATCTGTCCAGCAAAATGGTAATAAATAATGGTGTGCAGCAGAGGATGCATTGGCATGCCTACTCTCCAATTTAGCATTAGAAAAAGCAATGAGGTTCCAACATTAACACCAAGGGAAATATTTTTAATTAATCTGTACAAGTAGGAGCCTTTGCGGATGACATAAACATTATTGCTAGAACACCTATAGCATTACGACACACTTTTATTTCTTTAGAGAATGGGGCTCTCAGGACTGGCCTGAGAATAAATGAAAGCAAAATTAAATATTTGCTCTGTACTGAAACATGCTTCTCCCACTTCGAAATTGAAGAATATAAATTTGAGGTTGTTGACGATTTTGTTTACTTACATTCTGTAATTAACAACAAGAATAATATTACAGTGAAAATACAAGAGCGAATTACTATAACCAATAGCTGGTTTAATGGAATTCGAAAATACATAAAATCTAATGTAATTCATAGAAAAACAAAAGTTTTATTGTATAAATCTCTTTTAAGATCAGTTTTAACATATGCTTGTGAAACCTGGACCATGTCTTGTATGGATGAGCTTATGTTGAGTACCTTTGAGAGAAATGTCTTGAGAAATATTTTTGGAGGAATTCAAAAAAATAGTGTGTGGCTTAGAGCAAATTTAGAAGTTTATCACTCATATAATGAACCTGACATTATTAATTTCATTAAACAACAAAGAATAAAATGGACAGGCCACATTATCAGAATGGATGAAGACCGTACCACAAAAAGAGGTTTTAATACCAGACCAGTTGGCTCTCGAATAATAGGCATTGCAAATTTTCAGTTGGAAAGATGGCCTAGAAAAAGATCTTTTGGTTTTAAAAACTGGAAAAAAGTTGGCCTGGGAAAAAAACCTCTTTGAGAAGGCCTAAGCCCACCCTGGGCTTTGGAGTGATTGATGATGATGTTAATTCAAAAGCAGATTTGCCTGGACCATGAAATATTATTGTTGTGGATTGAGTTGCATCGGATATTGTTGTGATGAGAATTTGCTGTAATAAAACAAAATACACATATAGTGCTCATAGTATACTAGTTTTTTTTTTTTTTTTGTATGATTAAAGATAAAGTTTTGTTGTGAAATAACCACTTTGCTTACAGTTTACGATCACACATTTTAGGAATTTTATACATTGGTACTAGTATAATACATTGGTAAAGTCAAGCTCTATCAAGTGGGATTTTTTAAAAAGGGTTACTGATGGAGAATTCACTAGTTTAGTGTTGGAATGTTATTCTTTATGCCAATTTAATTAGATAATGCTAATTTAGTTGAAGTTTTTTAAAAAATGAATTATTTAAAATTAAATAGTTTTAACAACTTCAGGACATTTTTAAAACTACCCTGCTTATAATTTTCTATCTTTTACTTTTCAAAATATGTAAAAACCAGTTCAATAAAACTTTAAATATTGATAAAGGGGAAGTTAAGTGTTGGATCAATTGGATTTTTCAAAATACCTATCCTTATCTCACATACACTAATTTATTTTTACAGAGTTACATTTTTTTACTAATTTAACTGGGCTTATGCTCATTTAAATAAAAGATATATTAGCTCAGTTGATAAAAGATATATTATTTAAATAATGTAATAAACCATTTTTTACAAATGAAGGGCTCTATATCAAAGAAAAACTTTTGTAAAATAACTGTTCAGCTTTTTATTTTGTCTTGTACTATGCAAAATATATGTTATTTTGGTATATGTTAGTTTGGTTCGATTTTTTATTTTGTAATGATACATCATGGTAGTTAGATTAGTTATTTCATTAAGTTAAGCTTATAACTGAAAAGGAATAAAATTGTACCTATTATAGCAGAATTTACAAGCTAGTCTTGAAAAAATGTGTATAAATTCTTTAAATAAGAATTTTTTTATTTTAATATTTTACATTTTCTGATTTTGTATGAGGATTTTTTTTATTATTTCAATATTGTACCTTTGCTGATTTTGTTTGAGATTTATCTTTTATATATATATATATACCCCCTTTTAATATTGGAAATCAAATTATTTTTTAAAAAGGACTCTCTTTGGGAATTAGTCAATAAAAAAAAAATTTAAAAAAAAACACTTTAGTTAATTCTCACACCCTTATACTTCTGTCTCAACTTCAAAATTTAATATATTTATTAATTATCCTGTTCCCCATATCTTTATTTTAAAAAATATTGTCAATTTCTAATTTTATTTTATAAAACTAAACATGACACTGATCATTTCAATACTTAATTGCAAAATCCTATATTCTCTGATTTTATATTTTTCTGTTTGATTAGATTATTACTAATAGATTAAAATCCAATAAGTTAATACATTTTAATCCATTTCTTTAGTAGATTGTTAAAATAATAGAATGCTTGTTATTGTTTTTTAGACTACCAGTATGATTCAGAAGCAAAATTCTAAGTCAAATGGCAAAGAAACACTTCAGGTAAATACTCAACTTTAATGTGTTTTTTTATTTATTTATTAACATTTCTGATATTCTTTAGAATCAATTGTATTTTATAACCGCCGTCAACCAGCCGACCCAATATTTGAGTTTACGACTCAGGGTTCTACTCAGTGGCTACCTTTGTGAAGGACTTTTTAGTGAAGCAAAACTGCATTTATGTTATATGGCTAGAAAAACCACGAAAACCTCTAGTGGTTAGTCTGACAGTAAAGAGACTCTAGCCCATGAGTCTCTTTGACTACCACTGTCTCTATTTTATGTCTATTATACTCTATTTTATGTCAACGCGGTGGTAGGTGCAAAATTTGTTTCGACCAGCCATCACTGGGATTCATGTCTGAGTCACCAAGGCTTGAATCATTCGTATTACATTTGTTGCTAATTTTACTACTTATTATCTGTCTATTTAACATATGTTTTTATTCCTTTTAGGGGCCATTGTCTGATCAAGTGCCATGTTCTAGTGAAATTGGTATACAAGTGGAAACTCCAAATACTATCAATTTAGAGAATAACGTAATCAATCTTTCTAAGACTTTAACATCATCTGATACGAATGACAGTATTTACAAAGAACAATATAAAACTCCCGGTGACGTCTTATCTGTTTTAAAGAAAATTGATTCATTGACTGCGATTACAAAATTAATCGAATCTGTTGCCGACATATCAGTCCAGAGTATTAACGAGAGTAGCGATTTTTCTCCCAGTAAATTTCAGTCACTATTTCTGAAACGTTTGAATTCAGCGGAAAGTGAAGCTACACAAATTGACATTTCAGAAAGTGAAAGTCAGTTGTCAGATATAAACTATGCTGATGAACTGTTTTTTAAAGATAACAGCCAGAGTCATGTTGAAAAAATGCACTGCCGCACTGTTCCTCAGAACTTGAATCTTGTGACAGATTTCTTGCATGGTGAAATGGAAAATATTAATTCTATACTTTCATCACTAAGAGCAGGACCTCAAGGGGATATGCTTTTCTTTGACAAATCCACGAGTTTTAAATCAATTTCAGAAACTGAAGATTTGGGTGATAAATCATTGAACAGCTTGAATTTTCATGAAGTTCTTCAACAGAAATCAAAGCTAGAAGCAAAAATATTACATTTACAGCATCTGGTAAGAAGTTTTTTTTTTCCATCCTTTAATCTCTTCCTTGTTCCCATTAACAAACATACCATCATAACAACATAAAAGTTTCAGTGCACATGATATTTTGATTTGTCTGTAAAATACTTTTCTGGAACAAGCATAATATTAAGCCTTCATCTTTTCTTCATAACCTATTGTAAAATTTGCATGATTACGCCATCCTCTTTAGCAAATGTATGATTTTTGTAAGAATATTATCTTTCATCAAAAAAAATAAATAATACTAAATAATTAATCCTAAACTTCTTCTTTTTTTTTTTCTTTTTTTTTCGCCATTCACTTGATAAAGTTAGAAATGTTTAATAGTAATGACACTTTACTCATAATAAATATACTCACTTAAGTTTTAAAACAAAAAATTTAAATGTGAATTAGCTAAAAATCAGTACTGACTAGTGTAAACTGGACTTTTTTTTCCTTAATAGTTTTGTGAAGTCAAATTATTGAAGTAACTCTTAAATCTCATTGAATTTTGCAAGCATTAGATTTTATCACTTATTTGAAATTTAAGAGAATTTCTTTTATTAGGCATTATAATTTAAGTTACTTTGTTTTTCATAAATTTAGGAAATATAAAAATAAGCAAATTTTTAATTCATTGTCTACAGGTGAAATAGTTAGCTAAAAGCAAAATTGATTTTAGTTTAATTGCCTACAGTTGAATATTTATTTATAAAGTAGAAGCGTGCACTTACTGTATGTAATTTCATTATGTTCTGTACATATTTTTTATAGTTTGTAACAAGTGATTCGGGAAATTGAAAAATGCTCGATAAATCCTAATTCATGATTAGTACAAAATATTTAAACATAAAAAGCAACAAACTTGTATTGCTTACATATTGCATGTGGAAGCATTTTTTCTCCTTTATCTAAGAAATTTGTGCTTTCAATCTTTTCTTTTATTAGATAAATCTTTTTCTTTTCAATATTTTAAATATCTTAATTAAAAGCACACCTTTACATGAATAATCTTTTCTAGTAACTCTGAAACTGAAAATGCTCTGACGATATTAAAACCAAAAAATTGCAAGAGTAAATAATCCTTTGTGATAAAATTAAATTTCGTTGAAAACAAAATTTAGGAAATTATGAATGATGATAAAAATATGTTTGATTTTTAAATGGTTTTTATTAAATTTGATATTAAAAACCTCTTAATATTCTATCCCAATCTTCTAAAAATGAGACAATAAGCTGATCTGGTATTGAATTTAGCTTCTCTTAAGGTTGCACCCTTCAGTGAATATTCTTTCTTAAATGGCATCAAAGCATATTTCATAATAATTCTGTATACCTAAATACTTTTACTGAATTTAATTTTATCATTCAATTATTTTTATCATTTTTTGATATAATTTATCAATATTGCTACTATTTCATGCTTTCAAAATTATTTCTTTCTTTAAATCCAAGAGAAAGTGAGAAAATTACTCATTAAAAGAGTGCATGTACCAAACATAACATTCATTCATTGAATCCTGAATCTCGTTAAATACTTAAACATTATGTGCAAGCTTTCAGAGTTCTCCCTAGGAATAAAGAAGGACAGGGTGTTTCTTCACAGAAAAAGGTACTTTGAGTTTTGAAAGGGCACACTCGTAACACCGTAAAAATTTATCAAAATCATAAAATTTATAAAATGAAAATATCATGTAATAACTGACCTCAACAATTTTTAAGTTACTGTCTTATACTATATTGTGTGTATATTTTAAAAAGTAATTTTCACTCATTATGTAAATAAGAGAAAAATTTGTAGCTTATAGATAATAATTAAAGGCATTCCAAGAAACAATCTATGTACATAATTTTTTTTTTTTCCAAAAAAAATAATAATAATTTTTTTTATTAGCAATTTGCATTTTTTCTGTAATTTATACTGATAAATATTAGAAAACAAACATTTAAAGGTGAATTTTTTTCTAAAAAAAAAAAAGTAAGTATTTATTTTTAAAATATTTAAAATCACTTAAAAAATTTGTTAATGTACCCCTTGAAGAAAAAAACAAAAATAATTTTACTAGTTGAAAATAATCCTAATTAATAAAGTAAATATTTGTAATAGTAATCAGAAATAAACCTATATGCTCAGGTAATTTTTGTGTGTAATTATTATTTTAACGGTTAATTAATTTAAGGCAAGGGACATTTATAGGGATAAAAGGGCAGGCAGGGTGTCGCCCTTCTAAAAACTCTTAGGAAGAACATTGGTAATATTGTGTATTTTACAATAATTATAAATTATTTATTTTTAGTTATTAAAATTAATATTTTACAGATTTACTGCAGCTTATAATTTTTCTCCTGTTATGACATTTAGACAAATTTTGAAGATACATTTTGCTTACTATTTTATTATGCAGTCCTTATCATTTAATCCTTCTATATTTTCTTTTATAGCAAAGTGGTCTTAAAGACATATCACTAGAAAATAGAACAATTGAAAATGACAATTTCACAAATTCAGATGATAATTTAATTATGGAGGAACCTCCTTTATCCTGTGTCAGTCTTTTGTCCTTGACTGATAGTGAATATCGAACTGAATGCATTACTACTGACTCAGAAGCAAACTTCAGCCGCAAAGTTTCTTTAGATTCATCTAGGCCTGCCTATGACAGAGATTATTGTCCAAAGTGTGATAAATATTTTGAACTTGTAAAAGAAAAGTATGATGACCATCTTTGCTTGCTCAAAGAATCGCTTGAAAACAATTTAAATCTAGAAAAGAATGAAGCTGTAAAAAAGTTAGAATTAGAAATCGATAAAATAAAAAGTGATAAAGATAATATGCAAGAACAGATGGCGAAGCAAATTGAGCTGCTATGCCAAGAGCAGGAAATGAAAATACAGCAAATAATTAATGAAAATCAGAAACAGTTGTCAGAAATTCAGAAATGCCAAGACGAGTGGTTAATTGAAAAAGAACAACTTCTCTCTGATATCAAAGAATACGAAAAATTATTAAGCGTAAAAGACAAAGAGCTTCATGAAGCGTGGGATGAAAAGAACAATATAGAGATTTCTCTGCAAAAACAGATAGCTGATCTTGTTGAAGAGCATCAAGAAGATTTAGAGGCTAGACACTTATCAACATCAGAGCAATTTTCACAAGAACGTAAGAAACTTGAACTGGAACATCTATCTGCATTGAATGATTTAAAAAGGCTGCACGAAGATACAACAGGGGAACTTAGGATGTCCTGTGCCAAAGAGCTACACATACTTAAAAAGTCTCATGCCGAAGAACTGGATGAACATAAAAAGTCTCTTGCCAAAGAACTTAGTGAACTTCAAAAAGCTCATGCCGAAGAGCTCGGTAAACTTCAAAAAGCTCATGTCGAAGAGCTCGGTAAACTTCAAAAAGCTCATGCCGAAGAGCTCGGTGAACTTCAAAAAGCTCATGCCGAAGAGCTCGGTGAACTTCAAAAAGCTCATGCTGCTGAGCTCGGTGAACTTCAAAAGTCTCATGATGAAAAGCTTGGAGAACTTACCAAAAAGATTGATGAAGTGAAAGTGTCCCATGTTAAAGAGCTTGAGGAATTTAAAATGTCACAAGTCAATGAACTTGATGCACTTAAAATGTCCCATGCCAAAGAGCTTAAAGAAACTGAGATGCGTCTTAGAAAAGAACATTCTGAGTCCATCAACTTCATTGAAGCTAACCATTCTGAGGAGTGTGTCACATACCAGAAAAGAATCGAAAATCTCTTGGAAGAGAAGTGTGAACTTCTGAACAAAACTACTCAAGAATACGAAGCTCTTTTGAAGAAGAATCACAAAGCTCTAGTGAAGTTGTGCAACCAGTTGCGTACCAAAATAGTTGTACATAAGAAAAAGATTCTTGATGATAGTTTTCAATCTCTCAATAGTGAGTTAGATGTAAGTGTTGCTGATACTTTAGATGTGTTGAACAAAAGCATTGAAAATGGACTTGTGAAATATTTAGAGAGTAATTATTTTGCCCAAGAAATATTTGAAGAAACACAATATTTGGAATTACAGTAAGTAGAAAACTTTTCCTTAATAGTTAGTTTTTGGATTACCCACAAGGCATGCAAATCTTTATATTGATTTACTGGGGGGGGGGATTGACTACAGGCTTGACGTTCTTGCTGTGAAAGCACATTATTTTGTGATGGGCTTAAAGGAAAGCAATATTTCTATTGATATGTTTCGAATCTTCAATCTGTTTTGTTAGTTTGTGCAAATGAAACAATGTCCCACAGAGACCGACCACAACTCGTCTGGTAATGATGGTTTTTTCGTTGAAGTAAATTGATAAAGACATTTACATGCAAACAAAAAGAATATAAAGTGAAAAAAATTTTCCTTTGTATAATATTTTCTTTTAGCATTTACAATGATATAAAAAAACGTAATGTGATTATCATTTATTTAGCTTTCATACTGTTGAAAGGGATATATTTCACTGTGTTATAATTTGTAATCATTTTCTTTTTAAGTTTTATATTTGTATAAACCCTTCAGGATCGACAAAAGGAAGAAGTAACGCTTCCCCATACTCACACACTCTGAGTTTATACGTTCTTATAAGAGATGTAGTACAAGACTATTGAGATCATATCCGTATGATTTTTAGCCTTGGGACAATAAGTGATTGGCTTACTTAACCATGATAACATTAAGGGGTATTTAAATTATACTTATCTATTAAAACGAAATTTTCACCACATAGAAAATTATGTACTAAAAATAGCATTTTATATTTGACATAAAATACTGCCTGCAAAATTCTATTTAAAATATGAAAAATGTAAATTTTTTTGTCATAAGAGTTTTTAACATAAAATTTTTTTAATATGAGTGTTCTTACTGTAGATAAAACCATCTCTTGTAGAAAGTTGTGACACATTTCGAAAACGTGCCAACCCTGAATCCTTAGAATCGATGAAAATGCACTATAGGCTGTTAAGAACATTTATAAATATGTGACAATTACCTTTAGAATCAATTCTAATTTAAGTCTAATTTTGTTTTTCCTTAATGTTTATTTTTGTTATATTTTAGATCACAACTATATGAGGATGATTTACCACGTATAATTGTACCAAACAAAAGAAAGGAAAAAATACAAAAGGTAATTTTTTTTTTTTTAAATCCCGTATTTTCTTCTTTTTTTTTTTTTAATTTGCTGATTGATTAAAGTTTTTGCTTGATGAATTAAAGTTTTTGCTTGGTAAATTAAACTTTGCAGTGTTTAAATTTTGGTGTGGTTGGATAAAACTTGACAAAATTGATCCTTAAGCAGTTACATGAATATGCTTAAATTTTTATTTTAATGAAAAATTAATGCTTTAGTTTTGAAAATAAATATTTAATGCAAAAAAACTGCGCATTATAATTTATGTATGCAAGTTTTTAAGACCCAGTATTTTAATTTCATGACCAATTACAACCCTGTAACAGTTGTCCTTTTTTTTTTTTTTTTTACCCCAAGCCTTCAGACTTTTTATCTAATAGTAAATCTTAAAAAAAAGTATTTTTAATTGTCAATAAGATATGTCAGCATCAAGTTATTACTGTACATGGTACAAAATAAAAACGGAACACCCTGAATAACTTTCGATCTAATGATTGAATATTCAAGTATGAAGACTCAATCTTAATGGTTTGAGGGCCTAATATTAGATATGCTATTGACGATATTAATTTTACTTTTTGTATATTATGTCATGTCTAGAGAATTTTTTGATGGAATTCAAAAAACCTTTTTAAGAATGTATCCTTAAATAGCAAACTACAAAAAGTTATATTTATATTTTAATTTTGATTTCAATAAAACTATTTTGCAGATTTTGTTAAAATTTTGTATTTTGCCACTTTAAATTATCTTCCTCAAAAGTTTATATACCTAACAATTCAAAAAAAAATAATTATCTTAAAAAGTTCTCAAGATACGGTGAAGTATGTGCCAATAGTGAAATTAACATTGTAGAGCTCTAGATTAATGGTCGCCAGTTTCCAACAAGCAATCATTACATGGAGAATGGCTACAAAAATGTCAAACCTTAGTTCCCTAAACAATAGCCCAAGATACATAGGAATATTTAAAGCCTGTCCATTCAAACCTAATACAGTGAATTCTTGCTACTACGATATCCAATACAACAATAACTCCTTTATTTGGATAATGTTTCATGGTCCTGACGAGCTTGCATATGAATTAAAGTCGTGCTCCTCTTAATATTACAATATTCTTTGAAGCAATAAACCCCTGTAAATCGATCGTTTTTCTAAATTTCAACCTTATTTTCTCCATTTATTATTTATAATAAATTTTTTACTTATGAAATTTTAATTGCTTACTTAGTAATTTTTTGTGATCAGCGATAACAATTGAAATAAAAAATTTCCTTGTTTCTTTCTTGCTATTTTATTTATAAATTTTTATTTTCATAATTAGATTGATGTAGCTATTCAACATGGTGGTCCTGCAGACGTTGAAAAATTGTCAGCATCAGAAGGTTCATTGTCTAGTATCTCTCTAGGTGTAGAAGATATTGAACTAATACATTCAAAAACAGCTGAACTTCAAAAAGATTTCCAGAGAGACATTGCTACATACATGGAAGTAAATGAACAACTACGCAGTGATTTATTATCTCAGCAAGATCATAATCAAGAGGTATTTGACCATTTTGAGTATATATATATATATATATATTGTATATATATATATATATGTATATTAGCAGTATAGTCTCTCGTGGCTGTCAATCCTGCATTTCTGCTCTGAGACTCAAATCTTCTGCGTTTTGCACCTTAAAAATGCTTGTTCGCACACATGCACTTGTGAGGATACTATTTCCTGCTTGTCTCTGACAATGAAGTCTTGAATTTTAGTTATGTTTCAGCCTGATTAAGGTTGTAGGTCATTAAGTAATACAAAATGATGTTTCTAGCATCTAATAGTGCTAAAAACAGAATGAGAAGATAGTGGTTTTATTTCAGATTGATCGTGACACTAAATTCCACTTATTATACCCCAATAACTGTACTGTTGATTCTTTCAATAAGGTATAGAAATAAAAATTTAAAATGTGTAAAATTCTGCAATTGTATAGTAAATATTTTTTTTTTTAATGGAGGTTAACGAGTATGCATTCTTTGAGGTTATACATATTTCTGAAATTGAAACTAAGTCACACTGACGGAGTGTAAATAATTGTTTATTATTTTTCATGTGCTTTAAATTGCAAATAAATGAAAATTTTATTATTTTATTTATATTATTCAACTGTATGCCTAGGTTTATAAAACATTTTGTGAGTTATATTTTTAAAATATGTTTCATAAAAACTCTAATTAACCTCTGTAATAATTAAATAATGAAACTTTTTAATTAAATAATGAACACTATTTTATCACATTATCTAATTGCTTAAAATCATATAACACTATTTTATCACAGTATCTAATTGCTTAAAATCAACTGTCAACAATTTAATAAAATAAACAGATGTACAAAATTTCCAGTGTGTCAAGGTATACAGTATAAAATTAGATACATTAAGATATATGTACATTTAAAATAGCTACAAAACAGTTGATACTATGTCCCTTAATATTTCAGCTTGAAAAACGAGTGAAATGTCTAGAATCAAAAATTCAAGAAAAGGATAAAGAGTTAAGTGAAAAAGAATCGCAACTGCATTCAATGGAAAATGGATCAATCAAGTAATAATGTTTTTTTTTTCCTTCTATTTAAAATGTTAGTGATTGAAATGCTAAACTTATTTATTGTAAATATGTTTAAAGATTCAAACTAAATTCCCTAATATTTATTTTATATTTTGCCTTATATCCTGGTGTGTAATTCAATTCATAATAAACAGTGAGATGGATATGAATAACTCTGTATCAATTCACCCCTTTAAAAATTATCTTTAAAATGTCATATACAATTAATTTTGCATTTTCTATCAGCATATTTTCTTTCCATGTAAAAGTTTTTTTTTTTTTTTTTTTTTTTTTTTTGAAAAAGCAATACTTTAATTTACATTTACAAAAAATGAAGGATGAAAACATAATACAAGCTTGTAAAAAAGAAATTTTTAATAAATTTTGCTACTATTGTGATAAATTTAACTCTAAAAATCTTTCGTATCTTAATCGTACATAGTTTAATCATCATTTTTTCATGTTACAAATACAAATATTTAAAAACTTAAAATTTGATTTAATAAACATCTCAAGAATCATGTCCTAAAGCAGAATTTCTTTTCACATTTTTGAAGATTGTATCCTAATTAATATAACAAAATATTTTACCTTCTTATTTTCTCTCCTAAATTATATTTCATGTAATTTTATGTTTTGTAAATATTTTTCTTTTTAAATTGCCCTATACTTTTGCTTATTGCTCATGGTCCTTTTATTTTGCTTGTTATTATTTTTATAATAAAAAATGTGACTAGCCCATTTCTGTCAAAGCTTTTATAATTTAAATTAGTTAGTCTAAATATTAATAAAATTTTTGTTGATGAAAAAAAATGTGCAACTAAAAATTCTCATTATTAATGCTTAGTGAGTAGTTTCATTGCAGATATTAATGCATAAATTTATATTAATTTTAAAACTTGCACTTTTTGCTATATTTTTTTCTGAGTCACGTATAATGTCTAAAACATGCATAGGAGTACAAATAATAAAGTTGTGATGAATCAAGTTGTTCATCTTGAAGTACTATTATAGCATAAAGTAGTTAGGCAAGACACTTATTTCTGTAAATGTTAGATTGCAAAAACCAGTCACATAATAGTGACAATGTGGTTGCCCTTGTTCACCAGTGGGCTGCATTTCCTAAGCAAGCCTGCGTCCATCGCTATTTTATTTATTTATTTTTTGAAGGAAATTTAGTATTTTGAGTGGGATATGTTACGTACAATCTGCAGTCTGCATAGTTTCCAACTGTGTTACAATGTAGCTCTTAAGAACATGTGTTTCTGAAATTACTCAGATTAATTTTAATTTTTGCTTTCTTACTTTTATTTTAACTTCCTGGTAATTTGAAAATTGTCTATCGTTTTTGAAGAGGATAATTGATTTTTCACTTTTAGGGGTGGCTTAGCAGGTTCCCAGCTTTCATCTTCTGATATTAGGTCTTGGCAGGTGTAAGTGATGTTTTTCAATCTAATTTTAACCTCAATAACCCCATTGGCCTACTAACAGCTATGTTATGTGTAATGTTAGCACCTGGTCCTCCTTATACTAACCTGCTGTGCATTAACAAATTTTCATAATTAACAACAAAAAAATCTCCACTAACACCTAACTGGTATTTTGCTCTCTATGGTGAGTTGAGAATTATAATTCTCTGTGAGTTCTTTATTATTTGTTAATATATTTTGAGATAAATTATATCATAGGTGTCAGCTCTCTCATTTCTTTAAAAGGAAAAAAAAAACTTTTTTTTTCACGTTCGAAAAAGGAGAAATGTTTTTATTACTTTCTTGTCAATTATAATTTATTTAAATCTTATTTTTAAAAATAAAATCTGGGTAAGCTAATTCCTTAATTTACCTATAATTTTTTACCAGCTTTGTAAAGTTTGCATTAAAAAAGTTTAACACTCATTGAAGATTTTTTTAAAGGCAAAAAAAAGATAACGCCCTAAGTAACTTTTGTTTTAATGCAAGGATTTTCATGCGCTAAGTGCCATTCCTACTAGTTTGGAGGGTTCTAGTTTTCATATGCTCTAATTAATTAGTGCTAACTAATACTTAAGTTATAGAATTAGACGCAAAAATGTACTCACTCAAAATATACATTTTTTTGACAGAATGGCATTTGGACTATATTAGTTTCAATTTTTGCACTGTCTCAAGAATTTATAATACTGATCACAATTTTTTTTTTTTTTTTAAATTGTAAAGCTTACTTGTTCATTGTAATTCTATGCAAAATAATAGTTTTTAATAACTTATTTTTATTATTTGGTACTGGTCAATAAATTTTGTACTGTAAAATATATTTATTTTAAACTTTGTAATTTTAAGTGACAAAATTTAAGCAGAATTAATAGATTCTGCTTTATAAAGTTTTAAAAATATCATTTTTGAAGTTTGAATTCTCTAACTATTCAATCGATTCTATTTTAATTCTATATTTCATAATTTAAAATTATAGTTTCTCTTCTGAGTAAACTATTGAGGCCAAATTTTCTGCGTTGACCCCTCATATTTTAATGATCAAGAATACAAAACCGTCAATAAAAAAAGTGTTTTTTCAGAGAAATACATATTTGTGCTTGTTTTTATAACTTAACAGTTAGCACTAATTAGTTTCCATATATGAGATCTACCCTTTGAACCATTTAGATTGGCACTTTAAGTGTAAAAATTTGATCATTAGATGTGAAGATTTGATCATTTTTGGCGATATTTTTTAATTTGTTAATGTGAATCTTTTTACGGTTTCGTAGTGTTGACAGCTATACTTATTGGCATATGATTCAGTTTGAAGTGAATGATAATGGTCATTAATTTTTGTATTTCCTGGTGTAGTGATGTTGCCCAGACAAACTCCAGGTTGCTGCACGTGCTGTCAGATTTAGTAAAGACCTTCATGGACATCGAAAGTGACATCAATCGTCATTTGTATGAGCATGGTTTAATTCCATCTCGTACTGGAACATTAGGACACCATGATGAGGAAACTGGTGAGTGCAAAAACTAATAATAGAATTGTCTATTTTATGTATGTGTCTATTTTTTGCATTTAAGCTTAATTTATTATTTTACAATGGCTGACGATGAATTAGTGTAAGTTGATTGCAAACCTAGGCTTATAAATATTAAAGTTTAAGTTAATAAACTTCAACTAATATTTATGAGTGAAGGTAACCTTCACCTTAGTATAAAACTACTTCTGAACTTTTAAATTTTTATGTAAAGTGAATTACTATTAGATTGGAAAGAATGTAGACAAAATACATTTTCACTGATTCTAGGGATGTCACAAGTGACTAAAATGCAACTATTTCTGGCATGAGGCGACTATGGCAACTTTTTTTGCATGAAAAGGTTTAAAAAGTAGCTATTTTCTGGAAAAGGAGACTATTGGGAGGCTTTTCTGTACTCTTAATGATGTTTTTTAGCATAAATTGGGTTGAAAACCTGCTGCCCACGGGAACTGCTTCTGAACACACTGAATTTTTTTTTCAAAAAAAATTTTTCAAATTTAAATTACAATTTTGAGTCTTCTCTTTTCAATTCATTCAATTTGCACAGATTCCATTGTAAGTCTTATTTTGTTTCTCAAACGCATTTTCAGTGGTTTTTGCTATGAAATTCCGCATGATTTAGAAAAAAAGAGAAAAAAATATTTAATTCGATGTCTCAATTATCATGAAATTTATATTTCGTAAAGTCTACAGGATTTTTTCCTATCCATGTTGGCGGCTATGGACTTTAAATGATTGCTTTAGCATAGGTGAGAAGGATAAATACTGCTATTAATTCATTGATTATTCACTTGTTGTGGAATGAGTACTACTAGAGTTAAGTTGCTCAGAGATGTTCATCTGACAAGTATTAGAAAGATTACTACAACCCCACATGACCATGCTGAGTACTTAAAAGATGAAGGCATCTTGTTATTACATCCTTCCTCTTTTCCTGTTATGTAATTTTCTTTTCCTGATGTTCTTAGCCCTGTCTGTTTCCTTATATCGTATGTTACACCCTTCAATTAATTTTTCAATTTCATTGTTGCATCTTTTTGTCCATGCATTATTTTCAGAAATGGCCCCATATATTCTTTGAATTATTCTACATTAAAAATTTCTTTGTTGGATAAAACCAAATTTTTGAATTAAACCAAACCTAAGTTTCAGATCCATATATTGTTATTAGTCTTATTAGGGTTTTATATATCTGTATTTTGTTTCTTAATTTATTTATGTAGTCATTAATTTACTTATCTTGATAATGAAATAAATAATAAATGTAAAATACTTGTACCTTTAATTTTATCATTAATTTTTAGATCTATTTTCATTTTTTTCCCCCTCATTAATCTCTAGTTTCTCATTTACTTTTCCTCAAAGTTCCTTTATTGTATTTATCAATTTTTTTTGTCCTTGCAATTATTACAATATCGTCTGTGTATGTGCAAATTTGTTTAGACTTAATGAACATAACCTACAAATGAAGAACTTTTTTCGGCACAATCTGGTCATTTCTGTAAACAATGCTAGAGAAGGGGGATCATTTCTGATTCCTTCAAAAGTATAAAACTGAAACACTGACTGGGGTATATATGAGAAGTTGGTAGGTACCAATTTATAAAAGATTTTAATGCTTGGTTTTATTTAAATGCAGGTCACAGTGTGGGTTCCAGAGAAGACTTTGCTTCCCTCAGTTTTGGTGAATGTCCAAATCTCGAGTTAGCAGAGGATGGACCTGATCTCACACCCAGAGCCTGGGACTTGTTTTCAGCTGTTGGAACCTACGATCATGAAATGGAAGGAGAAGATGTAGTTTTGGGTACTTGAGATTGCTTTTAACATACAAACATAGCATATATTTTATTTGCTTTTAACACCGAGACTTCTGAAAATTTGAAAATAATATAACTATACATTTTATTTAAACTAAATCTAAAGTCAAAAATAGACTGCAATGTCACCACAGTACCTACATCACCACCTTTGGCCATACCATGTTGTTTCTGTTATTTTTTAAGATTTAACTTATCTCTGCCTATAATTATAGTGATAAGCTAATGGAAAAGGTTGATAATATCACCACAGTAACCATTATCTACCTTTTCCATGCTTATCTCTGCCAAAAGCTATAAGAGAACAAGCAATTTTCATAAGCCTAAACAATAATTTTATGATTTCTGTATTTTCTGATAATTTTTATAGTAATAAATGGCTTATTTAACAATTTAGTCCCATTATAAAATGTAGGACACTGTATTATATGTGTTTTGATTTACTGAATTTTAACGAAAGTAAATCTAGTCATTGATGTATTGTTTTTCAAGGACATTAATACTATTTTTCTGTATTAAAATATTTTTATTCTTGGTTGTTTATGTAGGTGCTAGCCGTAGGCTGAGGCAAGCAGTTGACCATGTTTTGAACCTGTTAACTCGAGCTCTGGATAACCAACAAAATCAAGATTTGAAGCTTTTACTGAAACGTAATGAAGAGCTTTCTCAGGAGCTTCAGGATGAAACGAAAAGTAGAGATGATCTGCATCTTCAATTAATAGCTACTGAGGGTAGGTTTTCTAGGTTATTTGTTCTATTATCAAACATTAGATTTGTGTATTTATTTTTTTTTTTCTTTACTTAACATATCCGATGATGTAAAATAAAAGTCTGTATGTAGAAGGAGAAAAATATAGGACAAAAGCAGTCAGGGTTTTTATTAAAGTTAAGAGTCTTTTGTACTTAGGATTTCCCTATTTCTTGATCCCTATTTAAAATATAAATTCTCTACTTCTTAATACTTTTATTAATAAAGTTAATGATTATGAATTCGTTAACTTCAACTTATTACACAATACTCTGATTTATTCTTAAACTATTGATATTGATAATTATTTTGTCTATAGATAGACAAAGCTAAGAATTTCGAAACCTATATTAAATTTTAATTATCAAGGCTTTTAATTAGGACTCACCAAACACATATTTCTAGAAAAAAGCAGATATGTAATTTGATACTCAATATTCTAATTTTCTCCTCCTTCATCAGATACGTATTCTGTTTTTCTCCCTCATCAGATACGTATTTTATTTTTCTCCTACGGTTATTAATGAAGAAGAAAAGGAAATTTTTTATATGTATTTCAAGCTCTTTTATTTATTTATTTTTGCGTTGAAGAATTATTTTTTCTGGAGGATGTGTAATTTTATTGACGATTTTAGGACGTATTTGAATTGTTATACCTTACTGCATAAGTGAATTTGCTTTACCTTTTTCCCGATGAAACATTCTTCCCTTCTATAGCAAACAACTTATTTATTTAATTAGTTTATAAGTCATGAAACAATTGCATAATCAGTATTTAGAGCATTAGTTGAAGAATACCACTTTTATTTCCATCTGTCTTTCCGTTAACTGATATTTGAACCCTGCCATATCTTTTCTTAAAACAGCTGATTCAACCTGTAAAAGCGGTAAGGTCTATTTCATTTTGCTCTTCTGCAATTTTTTTTTAAACATAACCTCATATAATAGCATACAAAACTACAGAAAAAGGTTTATTTAAAATTGAAATAAGAACTATCATTTAAATATTACTGTTTCCAGCAGAAAGAAATACTATAGAAATTTGTGCCACCAATTAATTATATTAAGGATAATCATGTATTTTTAAAAGAAAAATTTATTTTCAGGTACTTTGCGTAAGTTAGAGAATGAAAAACAAAAACTTCAAGATACAATGGCTGATCTTACAGAGAATATTGACATGCTGAAAAGGGAAGTGACCATTGAAAGAAACAAGGTCACTTATTTGACTCAAGAAAAAGAAGCTGCCAATGATGAAGTTCAAACCCTAAGGAATCAATGTGAACTATTGGCCAGTAGATTAGGAGATCCAGAAAAAAGTATGAATATTTCATCAATTTACTTAATTCTGAATTTTAATTGTTATTGAAAAATAGTTTTCAAATTAAAAAACCAACTGAGCTTAGTGTGTTTTAGATTTCCATTGAAATAGAACCTCTATTTCAAAGGATTAAATTTTAAATTCTTTGAATATTTTTAAAATTGTTTTATTTATTTAACTTTATGTTGGAACATCACTTTTAGAATTATGACTAGTAAGGATTGATGTTCATTTTAAGAAGTTACTTAATACAGTTGACATCAATGTACAATTGATATCAATGTCAAAATATTACTTTTATTTTTTTTAATTATTTTTTTAAATAAAAGTTTGAAAATTTTCCTTTTTTATGAAAATCATTTAAAAATGTATGAGGAAGTAAACTAATTCTTTAACAAATAACAGGAGATAAGCAATTTCTTTTTCATTTTTAATTAAAGGTAATAATGGTAAGAATTGTTGTTTTCGCCCCACCCAAATAATGATGAATTATAAGAAAGTACTAAAAGATAAACAACATTCCTCAAATATGGTAGATAAGAAAATTTAATTTTGTATAAATTTTTAAAATCTATTTATCCTATTATCTAACAGTCAGTTTGAGTATTTATACTTAACCGTATTTGATTAGGAATTCTATTATTAAATAACTTGGATATTAATACTATTAACTTATTTGTAAACTACTTAAAAATTGTTTTAATATTAGATTTTTTTTTTTTTTTTGAAAAAGAGTTTCTATTATTTCTCCCACTTGTGTTGGGGAAAACCTGTTTTTTCTCTGGGGTGGTTTTCCCCACTGTGGAAGAAATTTAACATCTCTTACTCTAAACAATTATTAATAATAGTAGTGATGAGATATATTTCTCTTCCTTAAAATTTCTCAAAGTTTAAATACCGACCATAACACTTAGAATGGAAAAAAGTGGAAATGTGACAAAGCAGAAGAATATCAAAAATGGAGGAAAATAGAAAAAACTTATTAGGGAGTTACTAAGATTGTATTGAATAATTATACCAATAAAAAAAATGTTCCTTGTTTCATTTGTTGGAAAATTTGTTCTAAAAATTTTGGATTACACTTGATAATTCTAAATAGCTAGCATAGTAATTGATCCTATAAATTTAGAATTACGCATACGTTTATCTGTATGTAATCAGTAGCTATCATTTTTAAAAAGATTAAATATTAGTAGGGTACAAAACTTGTCATTAAGTGAAACTTAATTTTAGATACATTTGTTATTCTAACCTCTATAATTACGTCAATATTCAATTATTTTTCGACCTCGGTATGCTTTTTGATATTTCTTTATGAAGTGATGCTAAGTTGATGTTTTAAATACCTGATAAGTTAAAGAAAGTACATGTACTGGTGATTCAAAACAGATTTGGCATGATAATTTCTTTAAAAATAATTCGTGTATTTAAGTCAGTATTATAAATATTCAAATCCTTGATCCTTAATCTCTAAAATATCTATCGGGATAAAAATTACAAAAGTCAATTTGATAATTGCATTATGAAGCAACAGGAGAAACGTGATAACTTCTATGAACTCTTTAGTGTTAATTGAAGCAAGAATAATTAGGTATCACCTTACAAAAGAGAAATAGACTCTACTGTTTTAATTTGAAAGATGATGTAAATCTTATTCAATCGCCATAATAAAGCAAATTTTCATGGGTCGTTATACTCAACTGGATGATTATACTTTTGGATTTTGGTCTTCTCAAAATTTTGATTAATGAACTAGGTTTGAACCAAATTATTTCTTATAATAAAAGATCGTGTATCTATATTATTAGATAGTAGTTCTTAAATGAAAGTTGTTTTGAAGCTTAATAATGACGAACTTTTATAACGGCAATAAGGAAGTTACTAAACATTATTAAGAACTTATAAAAGTTAGATATCTCATTTTATATTTATTCATATTTAATAATTATAATAATTTTCTAATGGGCAAAAATCTTGAATTTGAAGTTAAAAAAGTTTTAACAGCATTAAAACTTTAAATGATAAAGACTACTATGTAATTATTTTTATTTTCTATTTTGCAAACCTTCTTGAAATGTCTTTTTCTTTTTTTGAAATTTAGTTGCCCTTTTGCACAATAGAATGTTTTATTTAATTTGTGAATGAATTATTATTAAAACTTTCTATGAGTACCATTATAATTTAGTTTATTTTAACTATTTTAACACTTCTTTTAAATAAGTGTTTTTAACTTCTGCATTTTTGATGTTAGTTTAGTTTGATTTTATTTAGATATAAATATTTGCATTTTTTAACAGGTAGGTTTGTGCGAGCAATCAAATTGTGGTTTTTTGTTTGCTTGATTTCCAAATGCACCTTAATGTATTACTATTTTTCGTTTTGCATGAAGTTACAGAATAGATGCATGTACATGGAATTTTGATCACTAATATTTTTTTCTTAAGTTGGGTTTTTTGAAATTTGAATTTTGTATTTTAATATTGATATTATTTTTTTTTCATAAATTGAAAAAATAGTATTACTTTTCAACTAAATAGTTTAAAATAACTTCTTTTTTTTTTAAGGGAAAGTTTTTTTTAAAAAAAAGTAAAGTAATAATATTGTATATTTCAACAAAAAAAAAATTTCCTCCTTTAAAAGTTTTTTGAAAAAAAAAATGTGGACAATTCGCTCTTTTTGTTCTTAATTCTGTATTGAAGTTTATTTATCAGCAAAATTCACACTAAAAAAAACATCAAAAAATCACATTATAGCCTGTAATATGCTTGCTTAAAATTCCATAATAAAAACAAAAACAAACAAAAAAATCTTGACAGCTATTCACTCTACACACTATTTTCTATATAGTTCTCTGCTTTTATACAGGGTAAATGATAATTATCTTTGTAAATTTGTTGTGCAACATCTGAAAAAAAATCAAGATAGCTAAATACCTATTGTTTTACTTGAAAAACATATCATTTGATGTAAGGTAACTTATTTTTGATGTAAAATAAGCAACATAACTTATAAATCTACTTCATATTAGATTTTTATTGTGGAGTAAAATTTGGAAGAAAATTGCCACTCACTCTGCCTTACATTAAAATTAAAAAAAAATTATAATAATTTCATGCAATTCAATAAATAGCCAAATTTTGTTAAGATTTGCACACCTTTCGTAACAAGCATTTGTTTTAGTTTCTCTTATTATGTTGCTTTGCTTTATTGTTTAAATGGATTTTTTGTTTATGTAAAATTTTCATTTTATTTGTTTACTGAATGCAATCTTTTTTTTTCTGATACTATTCAGTCTTTTGTTTCATAGTATTTGTTTACTTGTTCAAAAAAGTTAAATTTATTTACGTATAATTAAATATAAATTATTTTATCTTTTTATCATCTTGATTATTTTATCTCTTCAATGTGTGAAAATCAAAATTTTTATATCTCACATACGATCTATTCTACAAAAATGTACTGCAGCTTTTTACTGATATGTATTGCGTGTTTTCCTCTTGTTCTATTTTATTTGTAATGCTTAAATTTTATATATTTTTATCAAAAACATTAAAAAGATAAAAATTATTTTTTTATTAATTTAAATATTTTAACAAATCAAATAATTTATATGTAACCACTTTTGCAACCAACGTAAATTATCTTCTTTTTTGTGGTGTTTTTTCGTCTGAATTTCAAGTACTTTTTTTATGGTGCTTTCTGCAATTTTTATGCTATATTTTAATCTAATTTTTTTTATCAAGTAGGCACAATTATTTTCATTAATTAATTTTCAGTTACTAAAAAATATGTTGCAGGCTGACATTAACAATATCATGAATTTAGTGGATAATAAAACTAAAACTAAAGCCCAGATTTTACATTTTCCGTTGGACTAGCTTTAAAAATGCAAAATGCGGGATAACGTAAAATCTGGATAAAAAGAAAAATTTTGTGCAATTTTTTCAGAACTTGACGCATGATAAACTAGAAAAAATATGTAATCTTTACAACAAAGAAAAAAATTCTTTTTTTGGTATTTCAACAATATTTTGCTAAATACTTACTGTTTGCAAATTTGCTTAATGGTTTATATTCACAAATGTTTCAGAGTTATTAGACTTAAAAACTCTTGGCACCAGATAATTTTATTCGATAGCACTTAATAATTTTTTGAACTTCTATTAATTTTTCCTCAAAACTTTAAAGCAATAAAATAATGCGATTTGTGGTTTTGAGTTTTCCTTTGGACAAGCTTTAAAAACACATGAAGCGTGATAACGTAAAATCGGGTTAAAGAAAATTTAAGAATGTTTTTCAAAAATTTACACTTACAAAATGAACTACTCGAAAAAATGTGTTTTTAGATACCATTTTATCAGTATCGCTCTTAATTCTTACTATTGTTTGCTTTATAGTTTACATTTGCAAATGCTTTGTTTTAGCATTTTTATGCTTTCATACTATAGGTAAGTTATGGGTGTGTCCTCCGATATTTTTTTACTCATCTTCATCGTTTTTATCACAATCATTGGGAGCAGACATTAAATCAGATATTGAAGGAATTGGAAAGTAATGAGATGTGGATTTGAGAGTTAATATCCTTCGAAAGATCAGGCATGCGATTTTATTTCGAAGGGCCAATGCTCCCTTTGAATACGGAAAAAGGTGCATTTGACCCTTAGGCGCTTCATTAAACCCATTTGTAATGCATTTGAGTGGACACTATCCGGCGCTGTAGAAATCAAATTTAGAGCTTCCAGAACATTTATTTTTGTTTTCGATGCATCTTGCTGGTCTTTGGAATCAAGAAAAAGAAATGATTGGTTAATTACAAGATTCAAAGGCTGAAGTTTGCTGGGGAAAATTCCATTCGCAAATTTTGCAATTAAGCTCACATACTTCCTTTCACTGCCCTTCTCATGCCTACCCAATCCCACTACATTTCTAATTTTGGCTAAAGGAGGAAATCCCCTCTCCCAAACATCTAATAAAATAGTCTTTCTTAAAAAAAAAAATCTGAAAAATTTTTTGCTGGCTTTGTAGCAAAAGAATGGTTTTGATCTGTTATAAAAACGTATAAAGAAGAATTTTCTTTTAAAGGGTAACTTAAAATTTAACATCATCAGTATGGGCAATTAAATGAATATTATTGCCTAAGGCAATTTTCACGTACCACCAGGAAATGACGTAGGAAGTGGGATTAGGTACGAAACGGGCAGCGTAAAACTGGGGTTCCACTATTATATTTACTGCAAATAAATTGCACAGATATAATTATAAGTATATATACTTTCATAATTTTATTATTTACGAGAATTCTAGGACTATGTCCATAAGCTATAGCAGCAATTTCAATCTAAACTTTAACAGAAACTTGTGCAATCAAGGTCGTCTAAAGTTTCGATTGTCGAAGCCTTGCTAAACTGAAATTTTCTATTCGTCTAAAAGAAGTTTCCAGAAACAATCTCAGGGTGCGTACAGACTCCTTATACGCCTTGGAAATAAAAAAGTCTCCAAGGAGTACTTGGAACTACTTAGATTTCCAAATAAGTCCTTAGAAACTCCTTAGGGTATTGTGTTTCATAGATTAACTTACTAGGTCCGCTGATGAATCTACTGTCCAAGCATGGAAACTAAATTATATGACTTAGCTGTCAAAATATAATAGTTTACGAAAAACTTTTTAAAAAAATTTAATTGCAGGAGTTAGAAGAAAAAAATAACAGCAAATAATTTTAATTTTACAGGTAACAAGCAAACTTAATTAATAATTTACTGTAATTTTTTTTTTTTTTTTTGCATAAAATCCCTTAGATTTTCTTATGTATTCAAATTTAAAAATGTAAGATTGGATGGTTTTTATGTTAATCTTTAACATCTGTACTATTAACGTTAGCAAGAGTTATTAAAATATTTAAAGCTGTAAAATGTATTTATGTGTGAAATTATAACTTTATTTTTCTTGATGAAGTTTGACGAAGTCAAAATTTATTTCAAAAGGGCTATAAATAAATATCTTATGCAAAATATACATTTTTGCAAGTTCTTTATAAAAACTACTTTTTAATTTTAAAGAAAAACCTGTTTAGTTATCTTTCACACAAAGTTTTTAAATTTTTGATAAATCCTTAAAATTTTGGACTCCTTGGATTTCTTTTTCTGATCTCTGTATGAACCCTGCAATCTTTTTTCCTTTTTTTTTTCCCTTTGGCCATTTTACCGATTTCTGACCATCAAATCTCCAAATTTAAGCAATCGTCTTTTCCATACAATATTGGTGAGGGTTTTTTAAACAATTATGTTTGGATTTAGTAACTTTTTTCCTGTTTTAATATATAAATTGAAAATAAAATTCATGTTTTGTTTTTAAAATGACATTTATTTTATGTTACTGTGCTTCTTTTTTCTTCCTGTATTTTTTATATAAATGTTTATTTTTATTTTTTGTTGCTAGCTTTACCTAGTTTAAAACAAGGCTGCATAATAGTTTTTATTTCAAGGAGTAGGAGACCATGAATTTAGTTTTAATATCAATTAATAATAACTTAATCATTCTTGTACTAAGAATAATTCTGAGATTATCTTAAAAATTTAATTTCTTTGAAGTTTTGCATACTCTACCTTCTTTAATAAAATAAAGCAGTAAGCAATTTTTTCTACTTTTTCTGTGGAAAAGATTATTTTATTATTTTTTAATGAACATAAATTACTTCTTTATATCTTTGATTTTGAATAAATTCTTCAAGTGCATTTGTTATGCTTAAAAGCAGGGGTGTCAAACTCAAAAGCAAACTTGGGCCAAATAAACAATGCTTGACTTTAGGTGGGCCTAAAAAAAAATCAGTGTTTACAGAAACAAATATTTTTATTTTGAATAGTACATTGTAATAAGCATATATAAAGTAAAATTATTGTTTGGTATTTGACATCTCTTCTCTGCTACTATCTTTCCTATTTCGGGAGAAATTTTATTGGCCGATACTACTTTCAAAATTGACCCAACGAGAGCTATTAATATGATTTCGGACAGGAGATTTATTTTCATTCATAACAGAAAAAAATTGCTCGCACTGATAAGTACTGCCAAACATGGAAATAATTTCATATGCGAATTTTCGAGTATTTTCAAACCTTGCGGGTCAGGCACACCCACTTCAATGAATTTTGTCTTCAAATTTGAGTTGCACTGAATCTCGATGACTTCCGTTTGCATATTACTGGGTAGTGAGTCTATATTTATTGATAAAATCGAAGAAAACAAACAAATATTGTCTTCCAAAGAATTAAAATCTTTAAACCTTAATTCAAATTCTGTTCTAAGATTTGAAATTTTTCTGCGTAGTTTTGATAAGATGCAGTATCCCTGGAATGGCAGGTGCCGCAAGCCAATTAGAATTTAACATTTTCGCGAGTACAATTTAAAATGATCTGTATAGTTTATAAATAAAGTATATAATTCTATATGCTAGTTTCCTTTCTAATTCACATTTCTTTTTTACTTTGCGTTGGATATATTGACTTGGCCGCAAAAATGTTCATCTCGGGCCGCGAGTTTGACACCCCTGGTTAAAAGTGTTTTCTTTTGAAGTGGTTAAAATGTTTAACTGTAAATTTTTTAACACATTTATTGAATCCCTCTGAATTTTAAAATTTTAAGTAAAAATTTTGGTGTTTTGTTCTCTAATTTACAACTAGTTTGAAAATCAGCTATAAAATTTCTTATTACTAATTATTTAGTATCTTCATATTAATTTTTGGTTGGCAGGTTGCACATGGACCATTCAAAGGCTTCATTTGGCCTTGACGCTTCAAGTTGTGTGTTGCTATGTTAATTGTATCCCATTTAACACATACCCCCTCCCCCATTCCTTTAACAAAATTTATAGACTAATACAAATTATTTTCCTTTTCATTCCATTTTGTTTTGCTATTTTCACCTTGCTTATGCCCATTTATGTTTGCATGTTTCTACTTAATCAAAATATATTTTTAAAAAAATGTATGCTCATTTTGAAAAAATACAATAATTCCAAAACAAAATTGGGTTTTGACAAGTTTTTTTTTAAAGTAACTTTTTATGTAAACAATTTTAAAATTGTTTTATAACTTTTAAGATCATTCTCCCTTTTGTGCAGTTCTTAAAACAAGTTGGTAATGACTACTGTATTAATATATGTATCGCTGTACAAAAAATTATAAACACAAGTGAAAAAAACTTTTCATGTAATTTTTCTATTTTATTGATATGGGAAAACTTTGATTTTACTTGGAGTTTAGTAACTGCATTTTTAAATTTTGTTTAACAAATGAACTTCTAAATTTTGAACTACTTTAATTTTTTTAAAAAATCTAATTTAATATCAACTAACTCATTAATATGGTGGTGGAATCAATGCCTCTACGTTAAATTTGGCAGCTCGCACATTCCTAAATTATGATTTAAGCTATGTTTTTTTTTTCTTATGACACTTTTCCTTTTCTTTTCTATGTTTTGTTGTCTGGTTAACAGTGAGCACAAATAAAACATTGCAATCAGAAGTCATCCATGTGCATGAGAAGCCAGGTTTGTTTTTATTTTGGTAGTATTATTCTTCAGTTTTACGTAGGAAGCAAGGGAAATCTAGTTTCCAGATTATATTTTTGTGGTAATATTTTTAAAGGTTTACTAAAATAAAGTTAAAAGAAACTTATCATTTTTTAGGTCTGTATTTTTATTATTATTAATTTGTAACCGATCTTAACATGGCACAAAAATCTGATCCAAGGTTAGCATAACTCTAAATAATATTTTAACTTATCACATTACTCTAACTTTTCTTCAGAATAAATATATTTTAATAATAGAAACAAGTTCAAAGATTTGTTATTGTTCTTGGATTTTTTTTTTCTTAGTCAAAATTGAGTAAATATGCAAGTAAATAGTTAGCATAAATAATTAACTTTTATGCATATAAATAGCTCACTTTTACTTCTGTGATATATCCCCTAAGGCATTTTAACTTTAGGACACTATATGCTTATTTATTGGTAATATGTTATATGTAGGCTTTGTGTAAGATGTTCAATTACATTCAGGTGCTTTTGACTTTCTTTTTTCTTTAGTTTTTTGGTTTACATATAATTTCAAGCACCATTTTATTTTGCTCTCATGAATGAATGTTACTTTGTGTTAAACGTGTCAAATCTGTATTCGACATGTGTGCCATTTAACTATATGCAGAATCCTGCAAAATATCCCTGGCATATTTTGTACATGAAGTTGATAAGGTGATAAAAGAAGAAATTCATATTGCATGTTCTTGTCAAATCGCTTTTTTAATTAAATATATATTTAATGTATTCATTTTAAAAATGACAAAATGAATGGTCGGATTTTTATAGACTTTTCAAGTTGGTTAACCGTAGTTGAAAAATGGTTGATATCAGCAGTTGTGTAAAACAAAGCCAAAGTCAATTGCTAGTCAAGTCCAGATTGATATCTTTTTAATCTGTCCTAATTATCCAGATTGATATCTTTTTAATCCATGTAATGACTTTAAAAACTGATATAAATAAAAACATTTCAGTTTCATATTACAGAAACATAAAATAAGAATAAAACTAGCTATTTGTGAATCTCTATGTCAACGTTAGTAACTACAGTAATTTATGCAATTAGTAAAAACACATGGTTTATATTTTTTTACCCTTCCAAGTGGAGAACCATAATTTTATGATAATAAATACTATTTACTGTTTTTTATATAATTCAATTTATATCAGATGTTTTTTACTAATATGAAAAGTAAACTTAATCATAACTTTTATGTATATATTCATCTTGTTTAAATACTGCAGAATTGAGAGGAAACTGTTAACTGTAATTATTCTTCTGCGATTATTCCAGAACTTTTGCACGAGAACTCAAAACTTTCTTCAGAGAAACATAATGTCCAGATAAACCTCAGCAAAGAGCGCCAGTCATTCCAAGACAGACTTCAGCAGATGGAAATGGCCATTGAGGACTTGACCGCTGAGAAGGAAGAAATTATGGAGAGGATGTGTAAAGAAATCAGAGATTTAAAAGCTGAAATGGAGGCCATGGAGAAGCAACTTCAATCTAATAAAAAGTTTATTGAAGTAAATACCATTAGTTTTATTTCTAAAAATTGTCCTCAAAACGTTTTTTTTTTTTTTTTTTTTAGATACATGTGGGTCCTATGACCATGAGTTTTCCTGCATCTTTTCCTTTTGATTTTACAGGATTAAATTAACGATAACCACGCCGCACAATGAGACTAAAATCCACACCATGTGCATTTTATTAATTTTTTATAATAAATGTGGAATTATTATAAATATTTTGTAATCTAAAAAATATTTTATTTAGGACTTGTTCCTTTATTTTAGAAATGGACCTTGTATTGTTTTTAACATATTACTGTTTAGAAATGAGAATTACCTTACATTATTAGCATCAGCAGTTTTTAAAATCATTTAAAGTTTTCATTTTTTGAAAAAGTAGCTTGGCCACTGATAAAAAGAACATCTGGCCAGTAGCAAAGTTTCTTAATTTTGCCCTATAATTGATTTACATTTTAGTTTTTACTTCAGATTTCTTAACGTCTTTTAAATGCTTTACACAATGTTTATAAGATTTCACTAGTCTGTACCCATTTTCACTGGTCTGTTTGCATGTTCCTTATTTGATTTTTAAAATTTATTAGATAAAAGAAACAAATATGAAATTCGGGGTTAATACTTGGGGAATTTTAAAGTACCTAGTTTAATTCAGGAAAAATATTTAAAAATCTGAGGAAAAAAAGTTGAAAACTTTTTTTAGAAAAGTTTTTAAAAAAATGAATGAAAGCTGTCAAGATTTTTTTTCTTTTACCAAAAAAAATTTTTAAAAATTCCTCTGAAAAATGTGTTATTTAGCAGCAACTATATACTTAGTGTGTTTGTATTCAGCTTAGCAGAAATGCTTAAAGAAGTGGTAGTGATTTTGTATTAGTGTTAACTTTTATTTATATTTTCATGCTTGTAAAGTTCATTAATATGTTTTGTGTGCAAATGTTAATATTTGCTCTTAATTGATATGCTGTTTTATTATATATACTGCAAATGGTTAATTTGGGGAACATTGGCAAAATTGTCAAATTTCTGAATTTTATTATGAATTGAGGAAAATTAATGCTGTGCCCAATATTAATTTTTCTTAATATTTCTCCATTAGTTTGTTGCTTACATTATTATTTTATTCTCGGCAATCATAATTCATGTATAAAGCTTAACAGTTTGACTGTCAATGTTCACACTCAGTAGGAAAACTTTAAATAAGTATGTAAATAGTTTAAATGTTTTCTTTTTGTGCAAAAAAAAAAAAAATTCTGATTTGAGTTGATAGATATTTTCAGACTTTTTTATTATTTCCATGTTCTCATGTCTTAGATGCTTAGTGTGATCCCTGTATGTACAATATTTAATTTTTGTAAACTGATTAAATGATGCTAATGAAGTCTTAATGTATATTGTAATATTATTGTTTTTCTTTTGAAGTTGAACTATTTATATTAATTTTTATGTATAGGAACAAGCTCAAGAGAGAGAGCAAGAAAGAGAAGATTATCTAAAAGAATTGAACAAAATGCAAGAAACACTTCGAGAGAAGGAAAAAATACAAAGTAATGAAGCCAAATTGATGAAAGAGGTACGTTACTTACTTTTCCTATTCTAACCGGCTCATGTTATTGTTTCTGAGAAATAAAAATTAAATTATCCTGTATTATCATATTGTCCTCTCTTTTTTTTCAATTTCCTTGTTCATTTTTTGAATTTTGCCTTACAAAAGATTTGCCATTGGGTTATGTAAGTTTCACAACAATGACATGATATGTAGCATTTTTAAAAAGTGCTTAAAGGTGCTTATTTTCGTTTTTTAAAAGCTCTTAAAGGTGCTTTTTTCGTGGGGTGTTTTTAAAAAGTTCCCTTTTCGAAAACTAGATTTTTTTTCCCTTAACAATGTCGATTTTTGCCACGAATTATGCAAAAGCTTGCTTTTCGCATTGTTCTATTCAACGTTTTCACAATTCATTCAACTGCAATCCATTTCGGTCTACCGTTGTCATTCCTTTTACATGTTTTTAAAGTACTTGCGAGTCCGCATGTGTGTCTATTGAGCTGAGTTCGGTGAGATTCTAGCACTCTCGTGTGCAATTCTGCTGCATTTTGCAAGATAGTCCCAATTTCAGACTTCATTTTCCCAAGGTTGTCAAGTTTCTGTCGAGGTGGTTAAAACCACTGGTAGAAACCGGTTAAAACTGGCATGGCAGAAACCCTTTTCTGCCATATTTGTGGCAGAAAATGACATAAAAGTAAGTACTGAGATTGACATACAATGGATAATTCATAGAAAAAAAACAATTAAATGTTAAAAAAAGTACAATTTATTTACAAAATTATCACCATTAAAAACCAAATATTACAATGTTTGCACTCTGCAGTAATCTATAGCAAAAGACAAGTTTTGATGCAGTTTCTAAACCTAAACAATTTCTCAATTTGCTATGCACGAAGAAATTTGAGAAGATTCTCTCAAGTCCAGCAGAGCTAGCAGGAATTGCCATCAAGGGACAAGCAAGATTTGTGAAACTTTCATCTCTTGCATAACTAGACCACCATGTAGCAGCTGGGGTAATTAAAAAGTTTGTTACAGTTACCTGAAGTTATATGGATTTTTCAGTTTACTTAAATAAAATGTCATTATGCTATAGGCGTTTTCTTAGTTTCTGCCGGTTTTTACCGGTTATAACCAGTTTTTACCGGCAAAAAGCCAATCCTGCATTTTCCACCCCCTAAAATAAAAGGGGAAAATCTCTAGTGATCATGTAAAGTCTTTAAAAATTGTTTGGCATTTTGTTAATGTATATATTGCTTAAAAATATTTTTTGAGTGCTTGAAAAATACTTAAAAGGTGCTTATTTTTTGTTGAAAGATTTGACTACACCACTTGAGGTGCTCTAATAATCTCACACTCTTTTATATGTTTCTCTTATTTAATACCAGACATAGTTTATAAAATTTCCTTTTATTACCCTCAGCTGGGATTCCTTACCCTAATTTTAAATTTCTGAGGAAAAGCTCTTATACTTCTCTGCATTAATTGAATAAAGGAGAGTTGATTTATAAAATCAATGAATCTAGTTACCCTAGAATTCTCAACAAACATGATTTTGAAAACTCTAGAATTCGCTGAAATATTTATCCCTCTAGTATTTTTCAGTCACGGAAAAAAATACTGCTGTGTTTGAAAATTAGTTTATTTTCTTACTGGTCACCTTGCTCTTTTATTTACTTATTATTTTAGTGCAAGCTTGCACCATTATTTTTCGAATTTTATTTATGGCCATGACCTCAGTGTTTTCTGAGAAGTGTCATTTTTTACAAATTGACATTTTCAATTAGGACATAAATGCACCTTGAATTTTTACTTTTCAGGCTGCCTGCATGTCATTTTTTAGTTTTGTGGTCAGCTTTTAGAAAAAGGTTGTGCATACTTGCTGTAGTTAATAAATTTACTAATTGCAAAATAGTCTTCTCACTCTTCTTTCATCAGTGTTCTTTTCGTAGTTTTTATTTATTATACGCTCTTTTTTTGTTTTTTTGTAACTTCATGCTTGTAAAAAATTTAAAAATATATTTCATAAATTATATTAGCTAAGATTCATGTTTGTGTGTGAAAATGAGAAGAAAATAAATTTTTTTTCTAGATTGAATCACTGGAGCAATCTCTCCGCTCCAGAATAGAGGACCACAAGAGCACGATGCAGAAAAAAGATGCTGTAGAAAATGAATTGCGTCAACATGTTGATAAAATCCGTGATCTACGAGACGTCATTGAAGAACTTGAGAAGCAGCTTAACATAAAAACTAAAATGGAGATGGAATTACAGCGGGTAAATATCTGGTTAAAATAGAGATATTTTCTTTACTTATATCCAGTAGATCTTTATAACGCAAATCCTGAAACTAACCTTGCGTTTTGCAGAAATTTTGTGTAATGTAGACAGTATTACAAGGCAACTACATTTCTTTAAATACAATTACTTAACACACAGATGTGCACATGATTGAAAAATGGTTGCATTTATTATTTACAGAAAAAATCATTACTTTTGGTTTGCTTAGCATTTGAAATTCAATTTTTTCAAATAATTAAACAAATAATATTAAAGGTTAATAGGTCTAGCTTAGTTACAGAAATTTCTGCAATTTTAAATTTTTACGCCTGCAAAGTTAATATGGTTTCTATAGAATTGTGGCGTATAAAAGTGTGTTATATGAATATTCTATTGTACTTATATTCTTTTGTTCTACATTCACTTACTTGTTGTTCACTTACTTTCATGTACTTACTTTTGTTCTATATTCACTTACCCTCTGTTTGATTTTTATGCATAAATAACAATGTTTGGACTTAAAATTTTCTCGAAAGGTTTTATAAGCATGTAGTGCTTTTAAACAAGTTTCTATTGCTTCTTACCCATATCTCTTGCCTTTTGTTTTCAGTTGGCTTTTAAAGTCAAATTTTGACTTGACTTTAATATAATAAATACCTTGGAATGTAAACCCTAAAACATTGCGCTCCAACTCTAAACTCCTCTCATATAATAAAATCTATTTCTAAAAGAATGAGTCAAAAATTGCTTTGTTTAAATCTTGTCGTGTAATAAACACATTGTTTACTTTAATTTATTTTTTTAAATAAAAAAAAGTTCAAGATAAGAACAATAATGAAAATTAAAAGTACGAAGTATTCATATGTGTAAAGCATGTCGATAAAAGCTGATCTGAGGATATTTCTTACAAGTTGTGCTGATTTTTTAAATGAAATATTAGGTTTGTGAGAAAGAAATTTTGGCTATTTTGTGTAAAATAAAGCTTTTTTTACTCAAAAAAGAAATACCTCCATTCTGTTTGATGATATTTTGCCATAGTTTTGGTAACTTCATGATTCCACGCTCATTAAACTAATGATCCTTATCTACAAACAAACTGAACTAAATGCCACTTGAGGTCATTGTTATTATTAAAATGTTTACCTTTTAAAAGTTTTCTAAACTTCAAAATAAATAATAAGCTAATGGTGCTATGTCAGGGTTATATGGCAGTTGTGACCAAGCTTCATTAATTTTATATGTGTTACTAAAGATGTATAAGGCCTCACATTGTCTGAATTATTCTTTTGCAATTTATTGCATACTGAAATTACTTTCTTAACAAACCAATAGATTTTCAACTTATATCTATGTTAATTTAGCATATATCTATAACTTACTAAACAGACCTTAAAAAATTTTATTAGAGGTAAATAATTTTTCATTAATGCTAGATTTTTTTTTTTTTATAACAGTACAACTTTCTAGCTTTGCAATTTGAAATCAGAGGATTTTTCTCATAGGCTTATTTCCTATGAAAAATAACATGCAGCGGTTTTTACAAAAACATAAAAGTATTCCTGTTTGATTCATATGTATTAACGTTTTTAGGAGTTTGAATGCCTGTGAAGATCCTAAAGAATGTTCAAACTTTTAAATAAACAATTATTAAAATTATCAGAGAATACTAAAGGCTAACTAATGATTGTGTAAATAAAATTCGGAAATTTATATGGGGAAAAAAATCTGAGCTAATAGAACTCATAATGTTAATCTCTGTGCCAATTTATAGGAATTTTTATTTTCAGTTATTACCTCATCATTGTAATGTCAAATAGAAGCTTGATAAGCACTTTTTTTTTTACTTTTAGAAGTTATCCTCTTTGACCGAAACGGTGAATGCTCATGAAAGAAGAAATTCCCTTTTGGATGATGAATTGACTATACCAAAAGATGTCATTACGGGTGATGAGTCTACTGAACACTTTCAGAACCTCAAAGATAAATTAGCTTTCCAAAGCCAGGAAATTGAAGAAATGTCTCAGAATCGAACATTATTGCAAGAATTGAGGGGACAGGTATTGTAATTTTATCATATTTATATTATATATACTATTTAGGTTACATAATTTTTATATAACATGGTGCATAGCTTTTTTAAAAAGTTCTTAAATGTGCTTATTTTCATTTTTTAAAAGCCCTTGAAGATAATTTTTACTTTGGGAGTTTTTAAAAAGTGCTTAATTTTCCCTTTTCTAAAATGAGATTTTTTCTTTACCGTGTCGATTTTTGCCACATATTATACAAAAGCACGTTTTTGATTCTACTTAGTAGTAAAACTAAATGTTTTTTTTAATTAATTATTAAATCTTCAGGGCATACAAATGTACCCTCTTGACTCAGAATCAACACCTAAAATTTTCCACTACGCTCAGTGGCGGGACAGCCCATAGAGGCCTGGCTTTTTTTTTTTAATCAATTAAAGAGATACAGAAAAACGATTTTGTTATAAAAAAATTTTAATAAAAATATTTTTATTCAAAAACAAATAATTAAGTAATTATTAATACATAACAATTAAAGAATGGTTTAATCAAACAAGAATTGTAATCGTCTTGTTTGCTGTCCAAATATGTTTATAACTTTTTCAATGAATTCGAGTCATCTTTGATTCTTTTCTTATGCACACTGAGCATGCACAAATTTGGCAGATATCTAAACTATATTTTTAAATTTCATTTAATAAAATAATTATAATATTGTATTTCCTATTAGTTATTTAGTTTAACAAAGGTGTATAACACAAACTGACTTCTCACAACTGTAAAACTTCATCAACATAATAAATACTAATGTTAAGCGTGTACAAGCATGTTAGTATACGAAACTACTGTTTGTAGTTACTTGTGTTTCAAAGTCAGTAGCTATGCCAGCACCATCAATACAGTTTCTCCTGGCAAAATTTGCAAGTACAGGAAATTCGTATTTATTTTTAAATATCTTGTTAACAATGAAGAAATGTATCTTGAAAAAAATTAACAGATGAGAGTATATGTATAACAAAACAAAATGTAATAACAGAATATTTTAATTTTTTTGGGGGTGGGTAGTTTGTTAGAGGGTTGCACCCCCTTTTATATTATTCTGCCGGCGCCCTTGGCCAAGGTCTACTGTGCCCATCTCAGTTTTCTGGGGTGCAGGAGCAAATTTCCAGTCAGGTGGACAGCCGAACACGTCAGTGTTTAGTTCCCAAGCATGCTTGGTACTCTTTTATCGACCCACTGAAGGGATGAAAGGCTGAGTCAACATTGCCCGGCCCGAGGATCGAACCCAGGACCTGTGACACGGGAGCGTGAATCGCTACCACTCAGCCTCCGGGCACCTAAAATTTTCCTTTACACTCCATTTTTTTTTGTTTTAAGTAGGACAAATGTTTAAATTTTTCTCTGTACAACTCTGTAATGAAGAAAATGTTATAAACTTTTCATTTTTATGAGTAAAGTTTGATCTTTCTCTTTCTAGATTCATTTCTTGGAAGCTAAGGTTGAACAAAGAGTGAAGCAATTAGAAACAGCTTTCCTCAGCTCTGGCAGTCCAATCTTGAGCTCTGATGCTTCCCCCACAAGCTCTCATGAGAGTGAGACGATGCATCTTCCTTGTGAAGACGGTTGGGAAATGTCTCCCAGGTCAATTCATTGGTTGGAAGTTAGACGGTTGGAGGAGAAGTTCGGACGGTTGACACACATTGATGAAGAACTTATAAAAAGGAACAAGGAATTGGAAACAAAACTCAAAAAACTTCTACATGCTCATGAAGTGAGATAATTTTTTTTCCTATTTAGGCTTCTGTTTTCATATGAAATAATGTCTTTTAGCAAATAATATATTGTTTTTATAAACATAGTGGGGTTCTTTGTGACTGTTAGGTTAAATTTAGTCCATTTTTAGTTAACCTCCTCTATGCTAATTTTAAAAAAATGGTGCAAAATGTATGCCTGAAGGAAATCCATAATCACATGAAGAGGAAATAATACGAAATTTTTGATGCCTGAAAAATTGCTGCAGTGCTATAAAAGATGCAGAAATTAAGAATCTCTCAAAGATTCTAATAATTTTTATTTAGATGAACTATTTAGCCAAATTGGCAGTTTTTAAGAAAGTTTAATAATTTTTTCTAGTATTTCTTGTTAGTCTGATTTAAAGTTCAGATAATTCTAAACGAGATCGCATAAATAGTTTAATTGCTTTAATTTTAAAGCACTGTGGCTTTTTTATTTGACTTGGAGAAAAAGCTTCAAATGCATTATTAATCTTATTAAATTAAGAAGAATAAAATATCAAATCGTAAATGTTTAAATTTAAACTGAAAAATAAAGTTTTCACGAGGAACCAAGAAAGCAGACAGCTATGAAGGTACTGATTATTTTATAATAAAATCAGTGAAGTAAAGCAGTGAGGGATTCAATCTTTTATTTATTAATTTTTATTTGATATCTTACTTATGTTTCTTTTATTTACTTAATTTTTTTTTTAGCTTTTTATGACACAATATTTTATGTCTCTACATTATAATCCAGCTGTAATCCATATTACATAAAGCCCTGCTATCTACCTATATTGTTAAGAAATTTATGAAATTTCTTCACTTTTTCTTTGACTTTTATACATTTTATGAGTTCATTATAAAATAAAGGACTAACTGTTATCGATCACTAAAATTTAGAAGTATGCACTTGGATATTATATTTGGAGCAAATAATTCATAGTTTCTTGAGTTTCAAGGGTTATTAAAATGGATTTAACTAAAACATATTTAAACTAAATTGTATGTTTTATAAAATGTCTAAACTAATGGTTTTGGGGGAGGCATATTTTGCAGATTTTTATGACTTTATTTTGAAAAGAGTACTATTTACAGTTATCCAGTTGCCGGAGGGTTGAACTCAAAGAGTGGGGCTCTTGTCACTAATTATTACCTATTAGTATTACCTTTACTTGATTTTATAGAATAATTTATTTTTCAGGAATGTGAGCTAGAAAACGGTACTCTCCAAGAAAAGCTATCTGATCAAATGATGCAAGTATCCATTTTAAAATCTCACATTGAGGAACAAAAACACAGACCTATCACACCACTTAAATCTCATGCTTTGAGCAAACAGCTGGAAGAGCTCAAAGAAGCATATCATTCTGCATTAGAAAAAATTGACCAAATGACATCTCTGGTATTTACAATATTTTATTTTTTAAATGTTCTGTTAAAATGCAAAATAATTTTCAGGAAGATGCATTATCCCCAGTTAATTATTTATGTGTTACTGCTGTAAGTATTTGAACTGTACTGCTTACCTAAAGCAGCAGTTGACAAAGCTGTTAATGTGTCTAAATTGAGCAGGAATACCTTAGGTACCTCAGAAATATCTTCAATAAATATTTCATTATTAATTGTGAGGAATAATAAAAATCATTTTTTTCAATGGAGTGATAGATTGCTCCATATATACTTGCTTAATATTAAATATCCGGATTTTTATAAAGATTAACGACCGTTGCCCAATATATAATCTCTCAGTATTCCATAAGAGGATTTATTTTTTTTAATTAAAAGCTTTTACCCAGTATACCCTTTCCCTAAGAGGGTATACATATATATTTATTACACTTTTCTTTTAAAGCTGATAGCTATTTCTGGAGATATACTTGCCCTGTATTCCCTACATTGATATTTTTTTTGAAACAGTTAAGGCCCATTACTCTGTATATGAGGCTCATTACACTTGTCTTATTTTATCGCCACTCATGTTTGTTTGTTTTTTAAGGTAATTGGCCATAGTCTAATACTCTTGACCTCTATTCCTTATACTTATTATTTTTTTTAAGAATAAGAGCCATTGGCTGCCATTCACTAGCCTCGTATTTCCCAGCTTTGATGTTTTTTATGTAAATTTAACGCTCAAGATAACAGTTGAAATGTTTCTCTACCCTGATGTTTTCTTAAAGTAAAAGGTCATTGCCTAATGTATATCCACTAATATGGTGTCAATTTAAAATTAATCCAAATGTGTAATGTCAGGGTTTCAGCATTCAAAGTATTATCCATAGGGTTTTTAATGCTAGCATTTTTGTTAAGTTTGCAGTTGTTTCTTTCTTTGTTTTGAAATTGAAACGAACGATAAAATATTAAATTGACTTAATTTTGTGGAGGACTTTTTTTACTAGAACTAACCCACATCTGTGCTATATGAAGCTGTAAACCACAAAAACCTTCCATGGTTAGCCTGACAGCAAAGAGATTCTAATTCATAATCAGTCTGACTTGTGCAATATTTATGGTCAGTGCCAGTTGAAAGCGGAATTTGTATTGATTAGCTATCGCTGGGAATAGAACCTGGGTCACTTCATTATGATGTGAGTGATGTATTCCCTGAGCCACCATAGCTCCAAGCAGTGATTGGAAGCTGTGTTCTGCCAAAACAACAGTAATATTGTTGTTTTGGAAAATTTCACTATTTTATTCAATTACTGTTTAATGTTTTATGATATAAAATTGCTAATAGTTAAGTGTAATTAAGTTACTCGACCAAAAAGAATTTGAAGCTTTTTGTTATCTGATTTTTTTTTTATGCTGTTATGTTTTTAGCTTGATGAAAGATCTGATGAAATCCGGGCGCTAAACGAGGAAGTAGCTAAGGGCAATTATACACTTGCCTCATTGCAGAAAACTATGCAAACTACAATCAATGAAAAGGTAAATAAAAATTTAACTTTATAACATAACACGTAAACTTTTTTTTTTTAAAAAATGTATCTTTGATGACTAAAATTTTTATTTAATTTTCAAAACAAACTTCAATCCTTTGTATTAAACTTTGTTCCCCTGTCCAAAGTTAATTACAAAAATCTTAATTATTCATTAGTGCCCACATATATATTTTATTTTTTCACATACTTTATTTTAAAAAATTGAATGACATTGCAGATTGCTTCAGACCTCTAAGCTGCACTTTAGAGAAAAGATAGGCATATTGCCAAACTCAGATAGTACTTCACAATCATTGGAACAATTGTAATGGAGAATTTTAAAATCCCTCTATATTTATTGTCCCTAAAAATTATTACTGAGCCCCTAAATAAAGCAGTATGTTAGGCCTTTTTTTATTCCAAAAGAGAAGAACAGAAATTATTTTAAAGCTTTCTGTTTGTAAACTTCTCATTTTCTGTAAACTTCTTTTCTTAAACTATAATTTCAGCTAATTATTTTTTTGTTAACTCAGATCTAAAACTATTTTAAATTTGAAAAAAAAAGACTAAGATTATTTTTTGAAAGTAAGACATACTTGCCCTTAATTTTTGTCATAATTTCAGTAATTTGACATTTAGTTTCATTTAATTTTCATATCAAAATGTTTCTATCTAATAGTTTTTGCAACATGACAGTACAAACCACTTGTTGCAACAAAATAAATTGTTAAACTGCTGTGAAGAGGTTAGAATTTGTTAAACAGAGACACAATCTATACATATTTTAAATATTAATAATAACTGTATAAAAATGACTTACTATGGTTCTAGATTACTTGGTTTTGAGTTAAGATATCATTATATGTTTGATGACATTGTTTTTATATTTTTCATTAAATATTTTCATTGCATTTTAGGAAGAGATTGACAAAAGCAAGAAGCAAATTGAAAGTGATTTATCTTGCTTTAAATATCTTGTGCTTGAGAAAGATGAGGAACTCAAGAAAAATTCTGATTTGGTTAAAAGGCTACAAGATCAAGTTGAAGAACTCCAAAACCAAACAAACTCTTTATCTGTATGTAAACGTATTTAATTTATTTTTCAAATCTAGTACACTTTTCAGAATACCTCCTATTTAAAGTCAGATACAGTGGAAAGTTCCGTATTTAGAATTGTTGGGACTTAATCTATTATCCGGAAAATAGATTTTTAAGGTAAACGAACATCAGTTACAATCAACAACAAATAAATCCACATTTGGTTGCGCTATTTTTGCAGCTTTTGTTGCAGATTTCCACATGGTTTTTAAAATCTCCATATTTAAAGTGCTATTATAACATACCGAAAATTCCGAATCACGCATTTTAATTAGTAATTATTTCTCGATCAGTGGCAATTCTACAGTGAATCCACATCATTTGACGATCTTTTTTTTAGTAGTTATTAAGGCAGATTTTTACTTGATTTTTAAGTTTTTGATATTTTAATACCATATTATTTCGTTTGGCAAACTTTGAATCATGCATTTCGCACATAATTATTAACAATTCACCCGCAATCCCACATGGATTTACGATTGCATTTTTATCAGTTATTGCTACAGATTTTCATAGTTTTTTGTTACTACACTATTGTTGGAAATATGATCGATAATCCTATCAAATCACCCAAATCTAGGCTCGTTTATTGATAGTTGTAACAAACCACACTTGTGAGACAAAGTTACTACTCAACTCTTTATCTACCTGTTAAATAATTTACGCAAGATACTCAGTAGCTTGTAATAGGTCAATGTTGCCTAATCTAGATTTTTAAGAGATTTAACTATGTCTCTCTCTTTCTGTTTGATAAAGCTGCTTTGTAAGTTTTTCGGAAAAGAAGACATGCTCCGACGTGGAGTTGAGCATGCTAATTTCAGAATTCAAATGTCTTTTTGCTGAACTGAATTGATGTAGACATCAATTTGGACTCGTAATTTGATATGCTTAAGAAATCAAAAGTAGGGTGGAAAGAATTGGAACTTTCGGTAGTTTTTTATTTCAGAACAGAGATTAACAAACTAAAATAGCTTGGCAGTCCAAAGGAAGCGTCAAATGTTACTCACAAATATAATGGCTTATGTATGGTTTTAAATCTTGGGGAAATGTTTGAAGAAAAGCGACACTGAAAACCAACAGTGCAGAATACATTTGATCAGACGAATGATGTTTGAGGGGAAATCCGGCAGTTCAGGAGAAATATTTGGTCTAATTGAAGTGGAAAACTATTCCTGTAGAAAATTTACAAGAAAGAAGAACAAGGACTGCCTTGATGGACAAAATTTCGTGCTTTTCCCCCTTTCCTGGCCATACATGCCTAACAAGAAACATTTTCTCTTGAAGAAAGGAATGAAATGATTATTTGTTATGTTATTGCTTGTTGATCTGTTGTGTTAAATATAACACAACTACCTTTATTATGTCAATTTGTTTATTTATTTGTTTGAGTCACTTAAGTTTATAAGTGGGACCTTAAATTTAGTTTTGTAAATTATTACTATTTCGGTATATTTTGATTTCTGTTATTAGCAAATATGCTAGCTGATTCGAGAATTGTTTAAAGAAAAAATGTCAATATTATACAAAATTTACATTGTAAAAATATTTTGAAAAATTATTGCAACTGAAAAAAGATGCTTTTAAAAAAAATTTTAAAGCATTAGATCGATTTATTTGCAAACATTAAATAGTTTTTTTTTTTTAATTAAGTAATTAAATCCTTCTCTAATCTATATTTCAATGTCATACTTTTATAAATAAATTTTTATAGGTATTGCCAGATATTGAAAAAGAAATGATAAGCAAAAATGGACTCATTGAAAATTTGCAGAAAGAAAATGCTGATTTAAAGGAATTGATTGAAAATTCTAAAAAAGAATTAGACTCTGAAAAAGATCAGGTAGAAGTTCTTTTCGAACAAATCGCCACCTTGTCCCAAGAAAATGTAAGTCAATGTTTACTTTTTTTAATGTAATCTTTAAAAATTATTGTTACTAATTTTGAGTTTTAGAATATTTTAAACTAACTATTTTAACTTTTTAGGTTGTAAACAATTTTTAGCATTATTGCAGTTGAAACTTGAATATTGCAGCAAAATTATAAATATATCAATCTAAATATTTTATTATATACTAAGCATTGTGATTGATTATAATCTAGTTAAATTTTCAGCTTATTGTGAATATTTTACTTATAAAAAATAAAGCAGCTGCAAACTTGAATTTTAAAGTTATTTTAATTTAATGCTTTTACAATTTTTTCTAGCATTGAAGTCAATTTTGTTGTATTGATAAACATTTTAGATTTCAGAAGTGTCTAGTTTATCTGCTTGGCTATTCCCATTTTTTTTAACAAAGTGGATTTGAAAAACTTATGAATGGTTCCATAGTAGAAAAATAATGATAGGCTCACACAGTTACAATGAGATATGGGAAACTGTGTGCTGTGACCAATTTAGTGTGCAATCAGTGTGAGAAAACATGTTACTGTACACCAGAGCAGAGCATGAATTTTAAGTTAAACTTTTTTTAATTTACTAGGAAAAATGGTTTTAGATGCACGTAAAATGTTTGTTAAAATTCACTTTACGAAAGTAGAGAATAATAAGCGAGTTTATGAGTAGTTTAAAGGTTTAGAAACATCAAGAAATATGTCTAATATGATAACTGTGCTGATACTGCAAAAACCTATACTGACATATTCTGACTGTAGAAAAATTTATTTCAAAAGCTTGTTTTGCCTACTGATTACCTTGAATGCTAGTTAAAAATAAGACAAAATTTTGCTACTGACCAATTGCAACATTTTTAACAGTGGCTACTAGTTAAAATGGGTAGCCACTTTTTCAAAAATTAAGAATTTTTAAAGTAAAACTGTTAATTTTATTAATGTAACGTGTTTCTTTTGAAACATTTCTTAAAACATGGTTAAATGTAATTATGTTCATTTATGAAATAAAGAGAAATTGATCGAAACAAATTTAAATTAAAATAATTTTTTAGAATGTTATAAAATATTCATAATTCCATTATTTATTTAAAAAATAATATAACAAATTGCTCTTATAGAGTGTATTTTTGATATGAAAAGAGCCGATTGGTAGACAATTTTTTAATCGTCATTTTAAATATTTAGTGGCTGCTGGCGACCCTTAATTTTTCCCCAATACTAGCAAAAGTGTTTCCTTTATTTCATGAGACCATTCATCTAGTTTTTTGAACACACCTCGCATTAAATTTTTTATGCATACTCTTATGTTCAGGTAAACAACAAGCTATCACCTTGCAATTCAGAAAGCACTCACAATTCTATCCAAGCACTAGAAATGGCAAATTTAAGATTAAATCGTAAGCTGGTTTTCTGGGAAGAGCAATTAAAAGAAAAAAATGCTGAAATGTCCGTGCTGAGAGATACAGTTACAAAACTCAATGCATCCCTTCGTACTTCAGAAAGGGATCTGAATTATGAAAAGGCACAAGTGGAGATCTTATTTGAAGAATTAGGTAGCCTGACTGTTTATCAGGTACTGGTGGCTTCAGCCTTTTATTGCATGTTGCATGTGCAAGACTATAAAAGTGATTTCCTGTAGGAAGCTTCTGACTGTGCCTATCTCTCTCTCTCTCTTCTGGCTTCAAGTTTGCAATTAACAGATGGTTTGTAATTACGGTTTGCAGCTCTATCTAGAATGCCATATCTTCACGCTTTAGTTTTCCTTTGGTACTGGAGTAGCAAAAGTAACAAGTTATGCAGTTCACCCAGACTTGGAGTAATTGATTTTTTTTTAAATTTAGAAATGGGTGATTTATCAAGAGCGTTGCATGGTAAAATCAACTGATGTAAACTAACTCATATTATAATTCATTAAAAATCATATAAAAATGTAATCACAGCCTGAAGTAAAACATTCACAGTATGCTGTTGTTAAACATATATTGGAATTGAAGCTGTATTTTGATTTTAAATATCTGAACTTGGCTACCTTCAGTTGAAGCATGCATTTTTCTTCTAACTGAATGTCCTACTTGTCTATCATAAGATTTGACAGAAATGCTTTACATAACTGCAATTTGCCATTTGTGGATCTTGCTAAAAATTCAGTAATTAATGTATCAAATGATTGAATGAGTTTAATAACACTAATTTACCAGATAATTGACTTTGATAATGTGATGTGCTACATTTGCCATATTTTATAGCAGTGCATGTGATGAAAATTTCTGTCTGGTTAAATTTTTTACATAAAATTAAAATGATGCTTTGTAGAGAATGTTTAAAAAAAGAAATATAATTTGAGAGAAATTATGACTTTTTTATGCTCAATGTATTGGCTATCCAATACTTTTTTATTAATCTTTACCGATCCTTTTTTTAACAGCTCAGAAAATAATTGTTTCTATGCTACCACAGTATTCTTATACGATATTTATTCTGATTATTAGTGTGAACATGGGTCTGTCTAGGTTTTTCTGAGAGGTACCTATTTTGTGAAAATTTAGACATAATTTGTGAAAAATTAAAAATTATATTTTAAAATCAACACAAAAATATGGTGAAAATATGGATTTATCGTTCCTTAAGGGATACAAAAATAAAATTTTAAGAAAAAGTATTTTGTGAAACTACCGTTTTTCCTAAAATTGAATTTGTGAAGGTACTGATAAATTCCGCCTGGACAGACCCTGGTTAATATCTAATTTTATAGCTTTTGTAATAATTGTAGCTTCTTTAAATAAACTATATGCGAGATCTATTAATTCCTCAATCAGTTATGGGTAGTATTACTATTCCTTAATTTTAATTTAAATAGTATAATTATGTTAAACATTATAATTAAGAGGAATGATTAAAATATCACTTATCGTATTTTTCTTGGAGGAAGATATGATCGTTCTCCAACGACTGCGGAATTTTATAGTCTTAGAAAGCGTTTTTCCTTGAGTTATCAAAAGTAACATGTTAATGTTTGAATAAACTAGAATTTAAAGAATGTTGTCTTTCTCTTCAGTAAATAATTAAAATTAATAAATAAAAGATCAGGTGAAGAAATGGTTGTGTTCTTATGTACTTTGAAAAATTCAGCTTGTTTTAAAAATTTCTTATTTGCTATACTCCCACTGATAATAGTTTGAAGAGATTTCAAATGTTGAAAGGTATGCTTGATGAATGTACAATTCACTGTACATACAGTCAAACTTCATTTCAAAAGAGTTAATGGACAGCAAAAGTCTTTTCGCATTAACCCATAAAGCAACAAAATTCATTTAACTATAATTACAAGTTATGAATAACAAGTTAGTAATCATCTGCAATTGCATATAGTTCCGTTTTATTTGTCATCAAATTATAAAAATATGCCTTTAAAACACTGTAAAAGTTGAACGAGTCAAATAGAAATATAACTTGTGTTATCTTTTGCAGTATATATCAAAGAATTATTTAAAAAAAAGGTTATGATTTCATAATCTTACTGAAATTCTAGACTTAACTACATATTTCGATAAATCAGAAGAGCATTTATTATTGAAAACGGTGCAGCTCTATGACGTTGCAAGAGCATTGGATTTGATTAAACCACTAAAATTGATGCATCTTTTTCTGATATGTTCTTTGCAAATCAAATGTGAGATAAATAATTTTTACTTTTGTTTTGCTGAAGAAAATCGTTAGCTAACTACAATATTGATTATTCTTTCATCAGTTTCTTTAAATGTGAATAGAAAGACATATATTTGTTCCGTGTTTGAGATATCTTTTTATGAGTTCTTATTACTTGTTAATTGATTATTGTTGATAATAAGAAAACAAGAAAAAAGAGGTTTTGCAACTTCGTTTTTAGAGTTGGCGATATTGATATACATTGGCGCTGGGAGCTTCGCTTCCATTTGGCTTGCACTTAAATGCAAACAAGCTTTCTCCATTTGTATAATGGATTTTTTTAACTTGCAACAAAGTATAGAACTTAGATATGAAAGATATCTGCAAAGAAATATTTAATGGCCATTTTTAGTTAATCAATATGCTTGTACAAAAATTTATATTTTTTTTATTATATTACCTTACAAACAAGCCTATACTGTGCTTACATGTTTTTTTAACTAAATACATGACAATTACACATATATACATAGGGCAAAATTAACGATTGTCACTGGTCCCAAGACAACCAAATTTAACACTGGGCAGTTTAAAAATTGTCTGCTAGTCGCCACCTAATCCCCACTTTCTTTTTGGTCAAAAATGTGCTCCATGTTCATTTTATTATTTTTTTAATTTATAATTATAGTTAATATTTAATGATATTCTAAAAATTGGGTCATTTCACACTTGTTTCTTAAAATTTTTCTTTTTTTTTGCACCATACTTTGATAAATGCTTTAAATTATTAGTTTTAAGTTTATGTAATTGTTTGAAACTGTTAAAAATGCTACAACTGACCACTGCCCAATAACAAGATTTCCTAATTTTGCCCTGTAACACATATTATATGTGCTGTAATATTCTCATTAAAAAAATTAATGACTGAGGAGAAATGAATAGTAAAAATATATTTATCTCTTGAAGGATTCGCCCTCAGTGTTGTCTCTTCTTTTAAAAAATGGAAAGAACTAAAAGTGTTCACTTTTCAAAAGAATATCTTAACGTTTTTGACCGGACATACTCTGTTTGTTGCACTTTTGGTCTAGTTCATGAGTAAAGATATTAAACTGATTAAAAATAGTGCTTTTTGTTTCTAAAATTTCTACTGCTGTCTTGCCTAAACTGTTGGCATGTTTTCCAAATTGCAGCTTAATTCATAGTAATCTTTTTAAAGGCAAAAATGAATGTTAGACAATACATTTTTGTGTCTGATTTCATAACTTAGATTTATTGCCTGCCCTAATTAATAAATCTATTTAAAGTTAGGCGATCTAATTAAGATTTAAAACCATCAACATTGCATCTTAATCGGTGAAAATACGAATATTAAATAAAAAGTTATTAATATATTAAGTTTTTTTTTTTCAATTCTGTGCACTTACATTAAATAGTATTTGCTGTTTAATTGTGAAACATAAATTTATTGATGTCAATATAATCTAAAGTTTTATACAATTAAAACACGTCTCCCAACTGTGGCCAACTGCTTTGACCTGTTTTCAGACCTCTGTTTTAATGGCCATGGTAGGAATACCAAGTAACTTTAACCCTTGTTAGATGACTTGTATAAAGCTTTAACTGATACCTCTGTATCTTATCTTTCATACCTTAACCAAAGAGAAGTTGAGCGACCTTGCCGTGTTTAGACCCTGTTTAGCTAGATAGATTTCAGAGCCATAGCTCTTTACCAGCAATGGGAGCAACTCCTCAACCGACTGTTCCACCCCAGTGCCTACAGTCAATATTAAAAAATATATAATTTGTAAATTATTTTATTAAAGAAAAAAATTGAATGATTTTTACTAATCACCACTTTAATGCTGAATTGCTTGTTTTAATTTTAAATATTACATTATATAATGCAATATTGTTCTTTAACTCTAGAAAAAACTTGAAGAAGATTTAGACATTGTTCATAGTATGATGCAACAGAAGGAGCGAGAACTGGCAACATTACATGAAGAAACAGATCCTCAAGTATGTAATTCATTTTACATATACAGTACAGAACCAGTTATCCAGAAATCGGAAAACCAAAAAACTGGAATGCAATTTAATAATTTTTCCCGCCATTTTTAAAAAATAAAAATTTCTTCAGAAGATTTCAGGATTTCTCGTTCTTTTTTGAAAGATAGTTTACCTTACCATCATTTTGGAAATAATCATTAGTGTATTACTTCATCGTTTTTTCTTCTTTTTAAGATTATTTCCAAATATACATTTTTTTTTTTAGTTGGGTTTAACAATTAAAAAAACGGCTTTTTGTAGCGATTCAGAAAACCGGAAAAATCAGTTATTTGGAATAGTGATGGTCCCGATCGTTCCGGTTAATCAGTTCCCTACTGTATTTCCATTATTTCTCCATTCTTTGGTATTAGTGCATTTTTTAAATTGCTCCCTCAAATATAGGGATTTTTTATTTTTGGCCAGTTTTATAAGTTTTATAGATAAAATGTTGGTCAAAAATTATTGGACCACATTGTTGCATTAAAATGGCGATACATTAAAATTATTTCTTTGAGTTTTTCAATGAAAAAAAAATACTAGTTAATAGTATTATAATTATTCAATTTTTTATATTTATTATTTATTTATTTATTATATTTTGCTAGTTAGTAAGGCTCTTTTTAGTAGCTTGTCAGCACATGGAGGCGTTTAGCCACCTTTATCAATCTAAAACTAGACATCAAAAACCTCCTAATTTTTTACCTTAAAAACTGTAGAGGCAATATGCTACTAAGGCAATTATGCTACTAAAACATGCTAACTTTATTCAATCATGAGATACCTTTTGATAGATGAAGGTTGGCATAGTCGATAACTCCGCCCTCCACATGTTATATTATTTAACTTTAATAAGTTAAAGTAAATTATTTAAAAAATATCAAATATTTATTAATACATGTAATTATTATGTGTTCAATGGTTACACCTATAGAATTCTTACATTTTACCAAAGTTCAAGGTTTTGGACAGTTTAAGACAGTAAAACCCATGTGTCCTGTCCAACACCAGTTTAGGGCGTCCAAAGCTCCAACCCTGTTTAGCATTAAATACACCAGTATAGTTAAATTACCAGTACAGAGTTAATTTTATATTAAAGCGATGGTGTAAGTCACTCTGGGTCAATATGGCCCACTTTCACATCTTTAGGAATAAAGACGGGCAGTGGGTTTCCTCACAGAAAGGGGCACTGAGTTTCGAAACAGCACTCAACACCTTAAAAAATTTATCAAAATGTGTAATATTATGTAATAACTCAATTTGCTCCTTAACAATTTTTAAATTACTCTCTTATACTATTTTATGTGTGCATTTCAAAAAGCAATTTTCTCTCTCGTTATCAAAATAAGAGAAAAATTAATAGCTTATAAAAAAAAAATTTTAAAGCATGTAAAAAGACTGCACAAATTTTTCAAAAAAGGGTTAATGAATAAATAACTTGAAAGCTTTTTTTTATAATTTAAACTAAAAATTATGAGAAAAGGAACATTTAAAAATAAATTTAGAATCACTTAAAAAATTTGTTCATATACCTTGAGAAACTTATAAAAATTTAGCCTGTCAAGAATAATCCTTACTAAGTAAATATTTAAAATCAGAATTAATTCTGAAATAATAAGTAATTGAAGTTAAACTTATAAACACAGATAATTTTACTGGTGTGTAATTATTATTTGGAGAGTTAATTAATTTTTTAAGTGGGATATGAATAAAAGGTTTTTTAAGGGATGACTGTTTATTTTCACAAAGAGGACGCGTCAAGGGGCAGGCAGGACCGGCCACCGTTCTAAAAATGCTTAGGGAGAACATTGGTATGAAGTTAAAACTTTAGGTTAAAATTAAATTTTATTTCCTTTACTGCATTAGTTTTATTCTTTTTAATAGATAAAATTGGAAGCAGAGTTAGAATCTCTTGAAAAAGAATTGGAAAGTCAAAAATTCATTGAAGAAGATCTAAGGGCTGAATTGCTAAAAATGGAATCAGAGTTAGAAGCTTCCAACAATGTTCTGAAACAGGAGAGCGAACAATGGAAATCGCGGTTAAAAGACCTTGAAACATCTCATCAACTGGAAATTGAAAATCTAAAAAATCAACTGGAAATCTATAAAAAGACTATTTCTAGTGTGGCATCTGAGGACATTGATTTGGCGTCTTTACGAAATGAAATTATGGTATGATATTTTTTATGCTCTAAATAGCTTGCTAGGTTCATTTCAGGTCTTGAGAAATCTCAGAATTTTAACTTACCCCACCAGGTATGTTAGTTTTTCAAGATACAGGATGTTGCAATAAAAAAAAAGACAACAATTTCCTATATAATTTTATTAAAAGTAAATAAATTAACAAAAAATTATAAGAGTAGGCTTTTACTTCTAAATAAATTTAATTTGTTGCAAAGTGTCGGCCTTTTACAGCGATGCAAAAACTTAATGTAATTTTCAGCACAGTACAGGGCACAAGTTTTCTATTTTATATATCTATCTTTAATCTCGCTGATGCCCTGGTTCAAAGTTTTAGTGAGTTCAAAGTTTTGTGTGGTTTAGTGCAGAGCCCTGGCTCAGAAATGGGCCATGTACTGTAATCCTTTGGATTGAGATCTAGCGAGTAGAGTTGCCATTCTTCAGATGATATCGTGTCCAAAAATGTTTATTGTACTACTTTTGTGCCTTTTTGACCTTGTGAGCAGGTGTGAAGTCTTGTTGAAACGTTCAATTTTAATTGCAGTTCTTTTTGATCCAAAAGCTTCTAGAATGGCAGACTTTTGATTTTAACATGCCACTTGCGCAAATTATGTCCTAGACCATGATAGACTTTGGATTTTGGCAATTACATTATAGAAGTGCTTTTTGGCCCACAGCCTATAGTTGCCTGGAGGATCCAGAAACCAGATCCTATGTCTTTGATAGTTATGAACTTGTTGAATAGTAAAGAACTTCCCATCGGTTAAAAGGAATCTCTCCCAGTGCTGACTTGCAAGTGTCTTAAAGTTTTTCCGCATATCTGGGGCCACACAAGTTCATTTCTTTCAGTGAGTAGCTTTACTTTTTGAAATTTGTAAGGCTTCAGTCCAAGATCTGTTATTGTCATTCACAATAACAGACCGCACTGATCGGTCCGACATTCCTATTTTATGAGTGATCTTTCTTTCTCTTGAAAACTCTCTAATTCCTTTGAACTCACTGATGGAATTATTGGAATTGTTTACATCCATTTCCTGAACGTCGGCCATCGTTGTCAAGCTCTTGGAAATGGCCAATTGCATCGGACATGTTTTGTCTAGGCACATTGAGCAAGCTAACAATTTCACACTATAGTTTTCCCTGCTTAAACAACTCTATAATGGTAGATATTTTGTTTAACATTGTATATCACACTGAAATTTTCCGTGCTTAAAAAGCTCTAAAATAGTAGATATTTTCTTTAACATTGTAAAAAATTCAATAAACAATGTGTAGACTAAGAGATACATTATTAAATATTTTATTATTAAAGTGATAAACTAAAAGAAGTGAACACACAAATTAAGATGAAATTAAATTCTATGATGCAATAACTTAGTTTGAGTTTTTTTGGTTTAAGTATATGCCTGAATCAAACTTTGACATGCTTAAAGCATCTTTGTCAATTGCATAATAATGAAGACATATTAATACGCAGTGAGCCAAAAAAATATTCATATTTTGTCGTTTTTGTCCGTCTGAATAACTTTTATTCCAATGATGGTATTTTCACATACTAACTGCTGATCTTAACACATTGTTGACCAGTGACAGTGTTTCCGCTATGTTCCATTACAGTGTTTCCGCTATGGTAGCTTTTTTCGCAAAATACGAAAAGACCCCTCAAAAATGCTAAAATTCAACAAAGCATTTTCGCATTTTTGCTAAAGGACTTTACTAAATTCCATTAAAAAGAAGCTTCCACGAAAAACCATGATGCTAACATCCATGAAAAAAACTTGATCAAACAAGAAGGAGAAAAAAACTAAATATCTTTCTCAAGAAGAACCATGACGCTAGCGTTCACAAAAAAGCGAAGTCTCTTTGTGAAAAATGGGGTATTGATGCAACAATACGTGTTAGAAGACGCTGCAAAATGCCCGGAGAATTGGCTCGAAATGTCAGTCTTTCCGCAGAAAGTGAAATTTCTCGCGTTATGAAAAGTGTTCTTGATCGTCTCCAACAAGAAATATATACACGATTAAGTGACCTTAATTTCAAATTTGGATTTCTACTAGACGTTTAAAATTTATTAAACAAGGATAATGTTGATAACGTCCTTGAAATTTTTTTTAAAAAATTTGGGTGAATTTTATAAAACAGATTTCAATGGAATAGAACTCTTTATCGAAGTATGTGACTGCAAAATGTTGCTCCGCAGTAGAAAAGAAATTGAACTTAATTGAATTGAATTGAAATTGAACTTAATTGAATTGAACTGCTATTAGAATCTCTCACTTTTATAATCCCGTATGGAGAAGATATTTTTCCAAACCTGAGAGTGGCACTTCAAATACTCATGACTATCTCAGCATCAATTGCTAGCTGTAAATGGTCAATCAGCAAATTAAAATTAATTTTGGCATATCTACGATCAACGATGGGACAAGATCGCCTAAGTGACCTAGTATTTTTAAGTGTGGAAAGAGAAAAATTTGAAATGATCAACTTTGATGATATTATTGATAAATTTGCTTCATCAAAAGCGGAAAATTTATACATAGTAATTAGTTTTATTAATGTATTATAATCATATTATTAAATATATGTATCTCCTTAGAGATAATAAATATTTACTTTTTTATTGTTTTAAAACTGCGTGTTTTTAAAATATTTCTTTATAAATATGTAAAATAAATAATAGGTATCTTTTGAACTAATTCTAGATGANTAGCTGCCTTAATTTGATTAAAACTAATATTCGAAACAGGTTGTTAATCAACCATGTAAACAATTTGTTAATGATTAATATTGAGGGCCCTGAAAGTGCATTTAACTTTCAAGAAGCATTTGTAAAATGGGCAAACATGAAAGAAAGGAAGATTGTTAATTATAAACCAAAATGTTTTGATAAATAATAAATGTGTTTTTTTTTGTTATAGGTATTCTTTTTGATATTCTTGTACATTAAGCTATTCTTTGTCAGATAACTTACAGTACTTGTTTGATATAAAGTAATTTTATAAGCCTAATGGCATTTTAGCATTTTGCTAAAACTTTTTTTCAGATTTTAGCTTTTTTGCTAATGAATTTTTAGACTCAGCTTAAACCCTGTTGCATTATCCATTTCAATTTATGAAACTCGGGTCGATATAGAATGTTCCAAAGTGTTATTTCATTCCTTATAAATAATATTTATTGGAGTTTATTTTGAATGCTTTACTTCCATATTTTATTACAAAATAATAGCCAGCGACATGACGTAGTTTCTGCTGTGTGAAATTTCCAATCAAAACATGTTAATGTTTCAAAGGATTGATCTCAAGCCTGCTAGTGCTTTAATGCTAACTAAATAATTACAAAATCTTGATTTCTCTCAATAAATATACCTTTTTTCAGGGGGATTTGGCTTATTAACTTCTGATATATGGTTATTTCTGAACTGTTAAAAGCTACATTCTGTGAAATAGTCCCATTAGTTAAGTCAAGGAGCAGTAAAAAGCTAGGGCTTTTTGCGTTAAAAGGTCCTTCTTTTTTTTCCTTGTATTATGAATCAAGAAAAGAAATTCACCCAAATTAAAGTTCGTTTATCTAAAATAATTCTTTTTAATAAATAATTTTAAACGTTTATTATTTTATTTTATAACAGATTTTTATGTTTATTTTAAAGTATGTGACTTTAAATGACGAAATATGAACGAAATAAATTTAATGGGTTCTGAGTTATAACATTTCTACAAAATCCATGTTTTTAAATTTTTATTTCTCAGAATCTCTTTTTTGAAATTTTATCATTTAAAAGTGCATACTTTAAAATTATGTAAAATTTTTAAACTATGCAATTTTTTGACCATTATTAAATAAAACTTAATAATTTTATGTTAGAATATTTTAATATGTTGAAATTAACATTTAACGACCTAAACTTATGGCTCTTCTGACCTAACTATTGGGACCATTTTTCCCAGATTGGTGTCTTCCACTTATCATATTTCAGTTGCCAAGATTCTAAATCGATTCAAAAAAGGGTTTATTCAGGAAAAATTTTGCGTCTTTCATAACTTAATTGTTAGCACCTGTCTTTTAAGATATTGCTAACAACCTTAAAAGATTGATGCTAACTATTAATCAATGCTATTAACTAATTATAAAATACTATTAATTAATAGTATAAATGATTGTGTTTGACTTAAGATCATTAAGATAGTGACGTAGTCTGTGAAGATTGAATCATTAGAACAAAGATTAATTAGGATTATTTCTTTTTTTTTTCGTACTCACTGCATTCTTGTTGATTGAACAAGTGTTTAAATATTTATTTATTTATTTTTATTATTTTTTTTTTAATTAGCTATATTATATTACTTAAATATCAAAGTCATTTATTTATATTTTGGGTTTCTTCCTTTGAGGAAAAGCAATAAAATTTTATTTTTGTTTAAATCATATTTAATCTTTATTATGCACAATGTAATAAGTACATATATTATTCAACTCTATATCTTTTGTTAAAATTTTATTTTTTAGGAAGCTACCAAAATTATAAGGTTCGAAAATCCCAGTGATAACAAAGACTACTCCAATCTTGTTTACTCTGTTTTAAAAAAAGCTGTTGACAGCAAATTAATGCAAACACAAAAAGAACATGAGGCTAATGTGAGTAGTATTCATGAAAATTGGCAGCATAAGATTGAAGATGAATATGTCGACAAAAGTAATGTAGAATCTCTTCGTAAGAAGTACAAAAAAGAACTTCATGAAAGATTGAAAAAAGAGGCAGCAGACAAAGATTCGTACTGGCAGTCTAGATTAGAAGAACTTAAAAATTCTCTAAAGGAAAGTTACGATGAGCAACTTTCTAAGGAACTGAACTTTCTTCAGAGTAAATTGAAGGAAATAACCTCAGAAAAGACCCGTCTTGAGATTCAGGTTCGAAAGTTGACTCAACAGGTCGAGAAACTCGTCGAAAGCCTTAAGATTCAAAAAGAGAAGATTCCTGCCCTGAAGGAGAAGTTCACCGAAAAGTATGAAAGAGAGCTAAAAATGTGTGAAGAAAACTCAAAAAAGAAGCTCGAACTTGAGGTCAAATGTGCTCTAGAACAAGAAAAAGAAAGACACCAAGAAGAAATTGCTGAACTGCAGAAAATGTACGAAAAACGTTGGAGCAGTGAGATGCAAAAAATAATGACCAATCAAATGGAAGAGCTTAAAAAGTTGAGCAATAACAAGAAAATTAACCTTCAAGCAGTTTACAATCAGTTTTCCACTGAGTTCAATGAACAGTTAAAGAAAGTTCAGAATGAGTGTCTCTCGCAAATGAAAGAGGAACGTCAGCGTTTTCATGCAGAGCACAAAGAAGATCTTCAAAAAATCGAACTTGATTTGCAAAAGCAGTTTGAAAAGGAAAAGAAATCTCTCCTTCTTACCAAAGAGAAGGAAATTGCAACTTTTTCTCAAGCATTGAAAGAAAGGATGGCAGAAATATCTAAATTAAAGGCTTCACTTTTGAATAAAGACATTGATAGTTGGGAAGAGGAAAAGACAAATCTTGTATCTGAGCACAAAAAGGAAATTGAAGATTTAAAGCATAAATACGAAAGATTTGTCCAAAACCACAATGCCGAGGTTAAAAATATGGAAGAGGCTTATAACCATCTTTTGGAAGAAGTTTATGAGCTGTTAAAAAGTAAGTAAATTTGTATTTCCTATTAAACTTATAGAGCAAAAAATTTTCCATTAAACATGTTTTATTTATTTATTTATTTAATCAATACAAATTCAATATAAAGGATCCTAAGATATTTAAGGTAATGTATCTTTTCATTTAAAATAGAATAAGGAAAAGGAATGAAAATAATAAATGGACTACATAAATTTAAACATTAATAATAAAAGCATGTTTTAGTTATAACAGTTTGAGAAATAAATTACTTTTTGTTATTTATATTAAAATAGAGCAAAACTTAACAATTATCGACAATGCCAACCTTCATCTATCAAAAGGTACTTCAAGATTGAATCACGTTACCCTGTCTTATATACTAATAAATTGATGTTTAGTTTTCATAGTGGTAGTTACGCCACAATACTCCCCCACCAGAATTTTATCAAGGATAGAATTCGATGAACGGATACCACTAGTTGCTGTGCTTGTGAAAGACCGGGAGAGCTGGATTAACAGTGTTTTCATCATAGAAAAAAAATGGGTGAGAATTTCTCACCCTTTCTCAAAAACAGGGTGAGATTTCAGAAAGTTAAGTGAGATTTCCAAAAACTTAAAAAACACAAATAGACTTGGAAAAAAAATCATTTCTTTTATTATAATACATTTTTANTTTGATAATAAAGTACTCAACGTGGTGAGAGTAATTATCGACAATGCCAACATTCATCTATCAAAAGGTACCTCAAGATTGAATCAAGTTAGCCTGTCTTATATACTAATGAATTGATGTTTAATTTTCGTAGTGGTAGTTATGCCACAATACTCTCCCACCAGAATTTTATCAGGGATAGAATTCGATGAACGGATACCACTAGTTGCTGTACTTGTGAAAGACCGGGAGAGCTGGGTTAAGGTCACCAGGTTTTTTTTTTTTTTAGTGCTGAATGTGGGAGGTGTATTAACTTTTCTGTCGTAGTCGCTCCTGTGTTGCCTTTAGCAGTCGAGTGTATACATTGTGTGTGATTGAAATTGAGCAGCAGCAGCGCTATAAGGTGAATGATGTTGCAGTCACAAGTAGCAAGTCAACTGTTCAATGTGTACCATCCAAAGAAGTGGGCATTACTGTCAAGATAGGCGTCATCATATCACGTCCGCGTCACCAATGTGGGGGGGGGGTATCAACAATGCCAATCTTCGTTTTCGTAGTGGTAGTTACGCCACAATACTATTTGAGAATATAACAGTGATAAATATAAACATACTACATATATGCCATACAAATTTACACTGCTAGCAGAAAATTTTATTTTAAAAAAATAAATTTTAGAAATGCTCCTTTATTTTCATTTATACAGTTGATTGTAGTATAAATAATTTATTTAATAGATAGATAATGTTTAAAAAACTTTAACTCTCTCAATAATTACAATATTTAACTAATTTTATAATTTAGCAGAACATACATTTAATGATGGTATATTTTATTTTAGTATTTTCATCCATATTGTTTCGGCGCTAATTTTAATTTAATGTTTTCAGAATGTGAAGGAGCATATCTTACTGATAATATTTGATTTGCAATACTCCATAATTAGTTTTTGATTTGAATTGTGTACTGAGTTGAACTATATTGTCATACTTCTTAAACTTGATTACATGAAACTAACACCTTGTAAAGGTTGCAACAAATTTACGTTGTTTTTTTTTTTTGTGAAGGGTACATTCTTGTTGATTGANTTTTTTTTTTTTTGAAGGGTACTAATAATAAGAGTCCAGCATTTTCCTGGTTTTTCCAGGAGTGTTCTAAGAGTATTTTTAATCTAGATTAATTCGTGTCTTACAGAGATACTTTTAACTCCTTTGCAAGCATATTTCATGCATTGAAAATCAGAAGACTTCTTGAAAAAAACTAGTCTGATTTCTTTCATGTTTTGTATTTTAAATTAAAACTTAATTATTTTTTTTTTCTCTACATCCCAACTCTGCTATAGCAATACACTTGTAAACAGCTGAATGTGCAAAAAGGTTTTTATCATTAGTATTAGTTGTAGTTTTAAATATAAGAACTATAGGCAAGGTTTGGGTATTGGACGTTCTAAACTAGTTTTGAACAAGATTCGTGGGTTTTATTGACTAAAACTGTCTTAAAGTGCCCAAAACCTTGAACACTGATAAAAAGGTAAAAATTCTAGATGTGTAACCATTGTACACTTAATAATTGCATATATTAATAAATATTTTATACTTTTTGTACAATTTGGTTTAATTTATTAAAGGAAAATATTATAATATAATAGGAAAATATGACTTTTGAAGCTCCACAATTCATTGAACTACAAAAGTGAATGCCTTATCCTTTAAATATAAATAAATATGCTTTTAATAGTGATAAATTATGTTATTGCATAAGGATAAATAATGCAATATTAAAAATAACGATAAGCATTTTTAATAAAGCAAAAACTATTCTTCATTTTGTTTCTTATTCAAAAATTTACCTTTTATTTTTCTTAATATTTTCTTAAATTGTGACATAATCTGAGTAAAAAGGTTTTGGACAGGATGGTGTAAACTATCGGTTTATCCATTCTGTCCTAAACCTTGCCAACTCTGACTATAGGTTTTTGTTTTCTAATTAAATATATGAAAAAAATTACTCCACCACTACAAAATATTCTCTAGCACTTGCCTGGAAAACCTGAATTGGGCTTAAATGCTACAAATAGTGCCTTTAGTTACAGGCCTTAATTATATATTCTGAGTACAAAATTCCTCCACTAGATGCAGCAAATATTTACACTGGTCCTAGTTATAGTTAATATTTTTTTTATGTCAGAATTATAAAACTATTGTTTTTAACATTAAAATCTATCAATTTTAAATGTATATAATTTGTCTTGTAGTTGCTAAACGTGCTGCAACAGGAAGTGTTCTCTCTGACTCTGGTTCAAATAGGACTGCTACTCCATCTTCCGAAATAACTTCTTCCGACGAAGCTTGCAGCTCGTGCCGAGACGACATGCTGATTGGAAATAAAAATCTTTTAGCGGATAAGATTTACCAAGAAGGCAAGAGGGTGTGTATGACTTCCTGTAAAACAATTTTAGTTTTGTCATGTCTATCCGAGTAGCAGAAATTGTACGAAATGTTGGTGAATTATAGCCTTTAAAATACAATGTATAATTTATATTATTAAAATTTTATTCAGACAGGTTTATTGCCAGATTGAATTATCTTAACAACTATTTTTGTTTTAAAAGAAATTGAGCCATTTGTTTAATTATTTTGTTTGAATTATTTCCATTAGATCTTAAATTTAGTTGATTCATCTGACCTAACCTCAGGAGTGGAAAAAGAAGCCTGCTTATGGTTGGAAGAAAGAACTTATGTTGATGGAAAACTGAGACACTTAATAAACAAAATTTCTGTAAGCAACTTTCATTTTTTATTTCAATTTTAAGACTGCTAGGTTCTAAAAGTTTATCTGATTTAGACCCACTTAGTTAAGTGGCCTCATTGTTTAACCCCTTCCTTCTCGCTCCTGTGAAAATGGCGGGGTGAGGTTTCGCCCTCTATTTCTCGCTTCCGTGAAATTTCCGGGCTGTAGTGTTCAGTAGTAATGCACCAATAAGAATGAAACTAATTAATTTCTTTTGCCCAGAAAACATTTTATTTCTCATTTTACACACCAGATGGCAGTACCAGGATATTTTTAAGGTAATTGTATAGAGTTAGTTTATTTTAAACTAGATATCAGCACTAATCAAATACATGTTTTTGGCAAAATAGGCAGTTTTATGACCATTTCCTTGAAAATTAACTGACTAAATTCAATCAACCGTCAAAAAAGATTAGAGATTGAGGAAAATTCTGAAGCCTATTTACATGTGATTTATTTAGATGATCTTTTTTCATACCCGGTAACAACCCCGGAATTTCCGGAGTATCTCCGGAAATTCCAGTGTACTCCGGGCACTCCGCAAAGATATACATTTTACCCGGAAAATAAACCCAGTAGCTAATTTTCACATTTTTCTTAAGATGACGTCACGTAATCCTATTCCCCGCCCCTTTCATGTCAGCTCCTTCTCCTCCCAATCGAGAAC